AAATATAGTGTGATATGCTAAGCATTGACACTAAAAGAGGGAGAGGTAGTAGAATTATCCCAGATAAAAATATTAACATTTTAAATAGGTTTATGCTACAATCTTTTTCTATATGGAAAAAGTTTTCGTTACACTTTGTGTGCCCGGGTAAAAAACTTCCTCCAGAGTGATATCATTTTTTCAACACCCTTACCCTATTGGCGGAGAATCCTATTTCCGGTGCCTTTTTTTTTTTTTCTTTGGCGAAAAAGAAACAAGATTTAAAGTTACTGGTTTCTATAGCAACCAGCAAAGATCAGAGATCAACAGAAAAAACAAGAAAAAAAAGAACAAAAAAAAGAAAAAAAAAAGGTGCACAAACAAAAAAAAACATTTTTGATCTGTTACAATTTTTTAAAGTTTTCTTTTACAACCCACGTTTTCTTCTAAATCTTTTTTTTTTTTCTTAAAAAAAAAAAAAAAAAAAAAAAAAAAACTTGCACTCCCTGTTTTTTATATTTTTTTATTTATAGAGCAGCTGGTAAAAAAAAATAGTAGATCCCATTCTTACATCATCCCTTTTATATTTTAGTGCATGGCAAAGTAGATAGAGCGGAGATATGAATATGGAGCCTGTAACAAACAAATTTTTGGCCCTAGTGTTATGGAATTCCGTACGGTGCCTATTATCCCCATATGGTGCATTTGGTCACACATGATATCTGTTAAAAAGATGAGCTACACAGCAGAACTTCTTAAAGTAGAAATTTTAAAAAAATTATAAAAAGTCATTCTTATTTTTTATAAAGACTCACCACTTCTCTCTCTTTTTTTTTTTTTTTTTTTTTTTTACCCCTTGTTTCTTTTTTTGTTTTTTTAATATATATCATACATATTAAAAAAAATCACTACACACACACACAAATAAAATAAAATAACAATGGCTCACGCAATTTTTAACGTTTCTCCAGTCAAATTCTTATCTTCCATTCAAGATCATGTCTTTACTGTAACACCCACCTTTAAAAATAAAACTTATAAGACTGACAAAAGGAAATCTTATCAACAACAAGAAGATAATATTAGACATTCTTCAGCGTCACCCGTAACACTGCAGCTCACTTTACCAACAGAATCGCTTGACAATCAAATGACCGATACACAACAGCAGCAACAACAACAACAGCAACTACAGCAACAACAGCAACAACAGCAACAACTTCTACTGCTACAACAGCAGCAGCTACAGCAACAACAACAGCAACAGCAACAACAACAGCAACAACAACAACAACAACAACCCACTTATGAACAACCCCTTTCACCTTCTGTTGCTCCCATTGATATACCCAGATCTTATGCCACACCCAATATGCAAATAAACACAAACTATGATGGTAAATACTCCTTTTTTTTTTTGTGTACAAAATAACCTTACTTATCTTTACTGTTTGACCAGGTCTGGTTATGCCCAACCACCACCTTCTTTCCACGTCTTACAACTCACACAACTCGTACAGTTATCAACAAGATCACAATTTATTATCGTTAGCCAATGGTCTCGGTCAATCACCATATCTCCCCGCCGAAGATTTGACCTTATGCTTTGATGGTTTAGCGGTAAGATCTCCTACCGGCTCCTTTTATTCAAACCATAATGGCGGAATCTATTCTCCTCAACAAATTCATAGTCCCGTCAATATTGGAAGTCCTCGCCTCGGTTACGGCAGTCCAAATTCTCCCGTCTTTTTTGGTGGCTGTAGTCCGCAATCCACCCAATTTAATCAGGCCAACTTTTCCAATACCAATGACCAATTTGTCCCTTCTGGATCCTATGCTGGCGACCCTATCAATGGTTCATTTAACAATCACAACTCATTTATGGGTGGCTCTTCATTTAACAACAACAATAACTCATTTGTTGGTAGTCCTTCATTCAACAATAACAATTCATTTGTTGGCAGTCCCAATTCGCCCACACAATTCCTCAATAGTCCATCATTGGCACCTTCATATGTAAACAGTCCCTCTTTAGCCCCCACCACTAACACCACCACACCTTACACTACTGAACTTGGCATTGATACTTCCTTTCATCAAGGATCGTATGGATTCACGTATCTTTCTCCGTCGTTACCCCCACAACAAACTCAGCTCTCACCTATAAATAGTCCTTCTCCCACGGGCAGCTATCACAATAACTTGTATTTATTCCCTCCCAACGCCACCACCAACAATAACAATAACTATTCACGGCCTACTTCGCCTGTACCTGATGACGTGATCTTGACTGCATCTGAAGTCAATGATTATATCAATTCACCTTATCTCTCGCCTTCAGTCTCGACCACGACAGGGCCATTGACGATGCAAGGACAAGACGTATTTGGAACACCAGATGATATGGAACTATACCCAACCTCCATTGTCACACCTTCCTCGCCACAAGCACAGCCACACTTGTTTTTCTCGGATGAGGATGGGGAAGAGGATGGGGAGTATGACGAAGAGGAGGAAGATGAAGAGATAGAAAAACGGGCGGCGGTGCGCAACAAGATTCAAATGACGCCTTCGGGAAGAAGAGCCAAGATCCATAAATGTCCTTATTGCAATCATACCAGTAACCGAGCCAACAATATGCGCGAACATACACAAATTCATAACCCCAATCGACCCAAACCTCATGCCTGTAAAATCTGTAATCGTGCTTTTGCTCGTAAACATGATATGAATCGACATCATATTGCTTGTAAGAAAAACAAGGCTGGAAATAATCGTTATATTGTCACATAGATTTTTGTAAATTACTTGTAAATAGATCATGTGTATTTCCCTCCCCCCCCCCTCCTTTTCCTGTATAAAAAAAATCACGCAAAAAATCTATTAAAAGACTATTGTTTCATAAACCAAACCAAAGTGACACTGATATTTTGTCAAATGAACGCCTCATTGCATTACATTAAACACTTGCATGTGTGCATAATGCGCCTGTACATCTCACCAAATGCCACTATTCTTTGGAAATTACACGGTTCTTTTCTTTTTCTAATGTGCCACTATTGAGAGTGGGGGGAACAGCTCATATTTTTTTCCTTTCTGTGTATGTGTGTGTGTTACCTTACAAGGTCATGAGGTCGCATAAGTTTGTTATTATATCACACATGGCGATAATCTAGAGTGGCGATAGGTCTTTCCACCTGTGGTTATGTACTGACATTACCCCAAAGGTCCCCCCATATATAGATTAGGACCAATCAGAACGGGTTCCATCATTACTCCATTAAAAACATGTGTGTTCAAACAAACAATGTGTGTTACTGTACCCGCATTTTTTTTATTTAACTGAAAGCTGTCATACCAAAATAATTTTACTCCTTGAATTTATTGACAAGGTAAAAAAAAAGGGGGGGTATACATATATGCATATATATTCAGTCTTATTGTTTCTGAATCCATACTGTCACATACATTGTTCATAAGTCAAGTTGAAAAGATAAATAAGTGCTTCATGACCTGACTAGAATCATTCATCGGGTGATGCTTCTTTAAATGTTTGAAGCACAAAAAAAAAAGACCAGAATTTTCGATCTGGTTTCGTTCCCAGGATGCATTTGAGTATAATTCGACATATGGTGATTCTTTATTGTTTATTATCGATCCCTTTCCATCTTTACGCCCTCGATGGTTGTTTGTATATAGATCGAAATAATAAAATAACTGATTCCCCTGCAATTACTTATATACAAGTCAGAAAAAAGTAACATGTCAGCTGACAGGTTTTTTAGTAATCTAGATTTAGTATCTACCATAAGCAGGTAAGTCGACATTTTTCTCGTGCGCGGCCCCCCTCTCACATACACTCAACTTGTTTTATGACGTAAAGTTATAATTTATACAAAGTTTGGTTTAGCAGGAATATTTTAAAATAAATAAGTATAAATAGTAAACATTCGATTATTATAATAAGTGCAGACTAAAAAATATAAACACTAAAATGCCTATCGTAATTCACTTTTATATTTATTAAATCAGCCCTGTGTACAAAGCTGGCTGTACTATTTAGAAAAGGTATAGTACGAATGCCATTTAAAAAAGTGTAAATCATTGTGATTTTTTTTCATGACCCAGAATAGAAACATAAAAATCATTTTTTTCCTGCATATTCTAATCGAATGTCTTTTCATGCAGGTTTTTTGCAATTTCGGGTTATTGTTGATACTACTGTCAAAAATCAATTGTTCGAAAAGTGACACACAGTGGAGAAAAAAAAAGACGAGTTCCGGATCTGTAGGTGTCCGGCTCGGACAAACAGCTAAGTTGCATGGCTGAGTATGAAAACGGCGCGGAGAGCGAGACGGGGCAAGCGGCTGAGGGAGGGGAGGTTGATAACCTGTAATGAAATTCAAGTATGAAATAAAATCTTCCTCTCTCTAATCCTTAATCGAAATGGCTGCTTCTGGAATCGCCGTCGGCATCAACAAAGGTCACATCGTCACCAAGCGTGTCCTCAAGGCCAAGCCCTCTAACAAGATTGGTGTATGTATAAATCAACAAAATGGATGGATGGATGGGATATGTCTTTTTTTTTGGGCTATGTGTGCGTTATGTGTGTATACTATTTTTCGTTTGTAGCTCTCTCTCTTTTTTTTTTTTTCGGGGTTCATGTCAAAAAAAAAAGTAGTTCCTTTGAAACAATATAGTGTTATGGTGTAGACAACGTAACTATGAAAAAGAGAAAAGAGAAAGACAACGAAAAGTACAAGTAGACATGTCGAAAGAAAAAGCTTTCCCGTCCAACGCAATCCTATTCCTCCAATTCACGAATTGTAGACACTAACTTTTTTGGTTCCTTGTATAGGCTGCCTCCAAGCGTGTCACCTTTGTTAAAAGCATCATCCGTGAGGTTGCTGGTTTCGCTCCCTATGAACGTCGTCTTATGGAATTGATCAAGAACTCCAAGGATAAGCGTGCCAGAAAGCTCTGTAAGGCCAAGGTAAGCTAAAAATCTCAATTACTTCTAAACAAAATAGAATCTAAATTATGTCTTTATAGCTCGGTTCTTTCCTCCGTGCCAAGAAGAAGATTGAGGAACTCCAATCTGCTATTGCTTCTTCTCGTCGTGTTTAAATTTGATTTTTGAAGTTTTTCTTCTAATTCGTAATAGCAAAAAAGAAGATTATCTAACAATAAAGAATCAAAACACTTGTAGCTCTCATGTATAACTTTTACTCTCTTTTCTTTTTATCACTTTTCCCATCCCTTTATATTTTATTGTGTGTGTCGAGAATTGTCTTGATTTGGTCCCAGTGATCAACGCGGTACAAATGGCTTGGTTGGGTTATATCGTCTTGTACACTATACCCGAAATGGTTTAATGATTCTAACAAGGATGTGTCTTTCCCGATAATTATACCGATGTTGGATTCAACTTTGTGTGTGTGTGTGTGTGTGTGTGTGTTAATACTCAAGAAAAACATTCACAAAAAAAAAGAAGGTAATACCTAATGGCTGAATATCACCTAGTGAATCACCAATGTAAATGATTTTCTCTCCAGTCATGATGGAGTTTTGAATGACCCGCTGTTTGTCCCCTGTGGTTAAAATGTGGGGTACAATTTCACCCGTGCAATTATCATTGACAAAGCTTAAATCATTGCAATAAATCTGCTCCCGTTTTAAACCTGTAAACCCCACAATCCAATCTTTAGACCAGTTTAAAGAGACAATGCGAATATTGTCTTCGTAGGCCTTTAAAGTGGTCATGACGTTGGGTAAAAGCTCAGTCCGGCTTAAAGATTGGCCTTGCTGTATAAAATCTTGACGAGGTATACCTTGAAATACATTATGCTGTGTGATACGTGCCAAGGAGGCTTGTTCGATAGGTCGGTAACTATCCAGCTGCCGAAGAAAGCCTTTAAAGTCTGCTGGTTTCGATAGCCCGTCACGGTGTTGTCTGTATTGTTTTAAATAACTATCGACAAAGTAAGACCAAGGCTTTGGGTTGTGTGTCTGTGATACTCCAAACTGACCTAAAGCACCAATGGTGTCATGGAGGGTAATGGTCTGGTCAAAATCGATTAGGATAAGCATGGGTATTTGTGACATGAGTCTTCTTATTGGTCTCGAAATCATTAAAACGGGAAAGAGAAAAAAAAATCAGGGTTGTGACCAGGTTTTTTCTGATTTACACAAAATATCACAAAATATCACAGCCAAAGAAGAAAAGAAAAAAATAGCTCAAAAGGTATGGATGGGGTTGAGAAAGATAAGCGTATGGTAGGCAACAGAGAAAATGTTGCTAGCTCGTGAATACGTGGAGTTTTTTTTTTGGCCTATCACGCAATGATGAAACAGGTTCATTTTTTCGAATGCACTTACAAATTAAATCATGATATTGTACATGTTTCATTGGAACCCCAAAGTTTGAACAGTTACCTAAAAGCATGTACTCACCTCATGCTTGCTAGGTGGTTGAGATTAAAGATAAGCATACAAACCCGGTCTATTTTTCGTTACCAATTCCTTCACATTTCCCTCGCTTGCTTGTTTGTCCCTGTGTAACACACCTTCATAAACATTTTTTCAGAATGATGATTTGTGTTTTGTTTACATGTTTTTCTTCTCTTTTGTTACATGTTTAAACATTCTTTAAAAGTTTTACCCTTTTTCTTTTTAAATAATAACAATCAAAGAGAAAAGTGAGAGATAGGTTGCCTAGTATTGATATGAGTGCATAAGCTAACATTCACATGAAAAACAGAAATGCTACGATGGTGATACCTTGTAACACTTTCACGTGGAAAAGTAATAATAAAAGAAGGCGTTACTTTTTTGCTGGTTTTTTTTTCTCTCTCTTTCTTACTGCTCAAACATATGAATAAATATTAATAGCACATAACCTTAAAAAAAAAACTCGAAAACTCAAAAAAAAACAATATATATATTAACCTATAGTCCTACTTTATTATCTTTTTTTCTTCTTCTTTATTAAATATATTTTTAAAGCTTCTTCACAAAAACAACAACACTCAAAAACAACAAAACAAATGTCTACACTCTATTCTAGAGTTTTATCACACACAGATAAACTACCTACTATGAATGCTTGGTTTCCCAGCTATAGTAAAAAGGAAGAAGTGGAATTACAGCAAGTACAGGACGATGAAAATTTTAACGCTTACAGACGTTTGACACCACCCGGCTCACCTCGTTATTCTATGGCACCCCCTCCTTATGAAGCAACGACAAGCTCACCAGCTGTTGCAGAAAACAAGCGATTCTCGACCCTCACTACCATGTGGAAGCGTGCTTCCTTTTCAAGTGGTACACAAACCGACATGAAGGCACCTCTTACACAAACAACCACCATTGATAAAAAGCAGGTAGATCACGCAATCACTTTAATCAATGTAGCTACGGATATGAATAACTCTGGAAATCAACAAATGGCGATTGATCTTTACATGATGGGTCTTGATAAACTCATGTGTGCTTTGCCCTGTAAGTCTTATTATTTTAATCATGTTTGCATGTATAACATCCTAATTTATAAATAAAAATAATAGTGGAGTCCGATCCTTCCGTAAAGAGCGCACTCGAGAGAAAATTGGTCGAATTAAAAGAACGTCATCAACTCAGTCTGATTTCCTTGAATGACCTTTTAGGTCCAGAAGAAGAACAGGATGATGATGATCAATCACGACCTATTCGTACTCAGATTTCAAACTTGGTCATCAATGCTGCTGTTCTTAGTGCTGTCGCATTGAAGAAAAGCCCAATTCCAGGTAGAGTTTCTATATCTAACATTTGCATGTGTTATTATATACTTACTTCTTTACAACCTATTTTAGATGCAATTTCAACTGTCATGAACTTTGCTGTTGACGGCATGCAAACCATGGATGAAAAACATCAAATTCGTCAACGTACTTGGGACTTGGCTGCTCGAGGTGTTGGAAAAGCTGTCCAAATCGATCGTCAATTTGAGATTCATCAGATGGTCACTGGTGCTGTTTACACTGGTTTTACGGCTTTTGTCAAGGCTGGTTTAGCTTATGCTGAAACACCTACAAATTAAATATAATCTTTTTTTGGTTCGTTTATAATAGATTGTAATTTTTTTTTTTTTTTTTTTTGTTTTATGCCATCCTCCCCCTTTCTCCCTCACACGCACATACAGTGTTTTCCAAAAAAAAATAAAAGTGTGTCGCACATATAAGTAAAAAGTGTCGCTCTTTAAAAATAAAAAGTGTCGCATAACCATTGAAAAAAGTTGTCGTATTCAAATATGTAGTATGTTACTTGTTTATTATATGGAACGTCTTGCTAAATACTCATCAAAACGTTTAACAAAGTGCCGAGAAAAACCCCCTCGAAAGAAGAGGCTAAATCTCCATTACAAGCAGTAGCGGTCATTATAGGAAGTGTGTCTTTTTTGAGGACGAGTTCTCTTTTTCACTCCTCTCTTAACGACCGACCAAAACTGTTCAATGGGAACTAAGTTCAAGAGAATAAGGTGGAAGATAAACACATCTATAACCACGCTCTTCAACTATAGCTCTGATTATGTTGTTCGTATGTATAGGCGCATTATCCATAATCAAGAAATACCCATCATTCATAGGGAACTTGTCCATCTCGCTGATGAAGTTAACATAATGATTAGTATTTGTACCTTTCGCATGTCTCTTAGCCCTTCCTGTCAACTTTTGTTTCTTGAAACTTGGAGGAGGAACAGGCTTCCTCAAGCAGACCTTTATCAGACCTTTTGGATAAGTAGCACCTAAAATAGAAATGGAGCTAGCCCTAGCCGTCTTTACTTTCACGATAGAAGTTTTTTTCAATGGGTGCCCATCCTTGCTTTCTTCTCAAATTAGCATTGAAACCAGCTTCGTCAACAAATACGCAATTGGCCATGTAATCTGTCTTCTGGCTCAAAAAAAAAAAAAAATCTTGCAAGCAAAAGACTATACACTTAATAAAGAAGATTCACTTCTTAACCTTGAATTAATACTAAAATTCTTGTTTATTTTTCAATTGTGAATATGTATAATTCTTGTGATATTGCATGCTACATCTTGTTTAAATTTTGGTATCTGTTAGTTTTTTATTTTATTTTTTGAAGTACTAATATTAGTAGCTAATAAAAGGTTTTACTCTTTTTTTAAAAAAATTTCTTGAGAAGATAAAGTCTCTGGTCCATCTTCTTTCTCTGAATCTTCCCAATATTGAGTAAGCCATTCCGAGCCTTGAATGTTACTAGTGTTGTTGTGCGTATTGCTTTTTTGAATAATATTAAATGTGTTTCTAGCAATAAGCTCCCTAAAGTGATCGCTACTGCTTTTAATGGAGTTTTAGCCTCTTCTTTCGAGGGACTTACTCGGCATTTTGTCAGACATTTTGATGACTGTATAGCAAGCCGTCCCATCTAATAAACAAGTAATACACTACATACATGAATACGACAACTTTTTCTAATGGTTATGCGACACTTTTCACTTAAATGTGCGACACACTTCTATTTTTTTGATACGTCATTATTTTTTCGAAATGTGCGACAACTTAAAATGTTTTAGTGCGACATCATTTTGGCAAACACCGTACACACACATACCTTTTTAATAAAAAAAAGAGAGGTTTGTGTGACACTGGCTGTGGGATTTATTTGTCTTATGATTGTAATACATCTCTACTATTGGATAATAATGTAAATGTACGATTGTTCAATACACAATGTGATCTATGATCGAACTTTCTCATGATCTCCTTCAAAGAGTATTCATTTACAAACAATAATGCTCCTCGGGATATCTTTATTCGAATCAATGACACATTTAACCCTTCAGTAACACAAAACATATTTAAGAATAGCGTCAAAAAAAAGTTATTACAACTAGAAATCAGGATCGTTATTCCATAAACTACAAACAATAGCCATAAAGCGTAATTTCACAAGTGCTACAGAATGCTTTGATGGATGGTTGATCAACTGATTTTATCGTACATACAAAAGAAAAAAAAAAGAATGCTCATAAGAGATTCGACTGGAATGATGAAAAGCGATGTAATTGAAATATAGTAAACGGTAAGCTGGAAAAAAGTGTTCCAGCTGTGAGCTCAATTCTGTTACAAGTCATTTTGTAATGTACGTTTGTTTTTGCCATCAAGATTAACTCATTATGCTTTTAAAATACACAATAAATTTATACCTGAGAAGAATCTATTGTGAAAATAGTGTTATCTATTATTTATTAAGTGCAACCATTATGCCAATCATGAGCAAAATTCAAAATTTCATTTTTATATCAGCTTATAAATCGCGTAACAAAAGTTCTCTAGGACAAATTCTGTCTTTTAGCATATACAGCTTATATGGACAGGGATACTAAAGTAATGTCACTTCCTCTACCTATCTAGTTTTTTTTTTGGATATGACATTATTAGGTTTATGTGATTCATGCGTTATGACTGGTACCTTTTCACCAGTCAAACGGATCCCCCACTTATATTGAATACATATATATATTACTATTGCGCCCAATTAGTTCACAGAGATAGTCCATATAAAGGAATGATGTAATAATAAATAAAGTCCTCATGTGATGAGCGCACATCTGTTTTATCTACAATATTGTAGTTTAAACCAATTACTTCCTCGGGTTGGTATGGGTGGTGGCCATTGGCTTGGAATAATTCAAGTAATTATTGGGTTTGATTATGGGCACAAATATGAATTCCTTAAGATAACTTGTTTCAATATATATTTCCATGAAAGTTAAGTATACATTTGCGGTCCGAGTAAAACCCCATTGAGAATTAGTATGAGTAATTTTAATTTTTGAAGCGCTCCTAATGGATGTCAATGGAAGACACTTGTGACCGGAAAATTATCTCATCGCTCTGTTTCAATCTGGGAGCCAGCAGCACACGAGCTTATATATTTGACAAGATTCTGACTGCTCTTACTCTTTACCGCTTTCTATATGGGGCATAGTTTAAGTCAAGAAGGAAATTCATTCCTCATATCAGATCAACAAAGTCTTTGGTGCCAGGTTGCTTGTTTTTGATTTTGCTTTCGAGACGCATGAATGTGTCAAGAACAATTACAACCAGAGCAGAACTATGACTCAACTACTTAGTGATTGGGATCTGTTGGCGAGATGGAGCTGGTTACTGTTTTTATTGAAAGACCGATGATGACGACAAAAAAATGCTTTTGTGACACTGCCGGACGCTCTTCAAAGTTCGGGTACGCACTATAAGAGGAGTATTATTAGGTGCCTTAATAAGGGGGGTATGGGAATCACCATTTTTTTTTCTGTCTGGTCATGGGTAATTTGAGTGACTAGAAATGGCTTTAAACTGGATATCGACCCCCCATGTATTTCATTATATAGCAAATACTGAAAATAACATGCTGTAATTGCAGTTATTGATCCATCTTGACAACTGTCACGTAGGAACAGATTAAATACTTAATTGTCCAATGTCATTGAACAGCAAATGTTAAAAGATAGCATACTTTTGAAAAGAAGGGCAATAAATTCACTCAAAATTCGACTGGCATGTAGAAAACAGATTTGAGAATTTTCAAACTCTGCAGAGAGTTACTTTTTATGAGTCACGTGTGGTGAAGAACTCCTCTCATGTGAAGATCCTCCGTGTGAGTCGGCAAAGATTTAAAAAATTAATCATCTTTAATCTATTTATCCCTCTTTTTTTTTTTTTTTTTTTCAGTTTTTCTTCTTCTTTTCCTTTACAACCCCCCTCTCTCTTCCCAGTACATTACATGTTTAGAACTATAATAGCTCAACGTGTACCCACGGTTTTACCCCGTGTCGCCACCAGAGTCATTTCACCTTCCATGGCAGCTCGTTTAAGTTTTAGACGCCCTATTTCAACTTCTGCCAGTCAAGCTATTTGGATCCCTTTTGATAGAAATTCTTTACCTGAAGACGACCCACGTCGCGCAGAGCAATTCGAGGATGAAACAGACGTTGTAATTATTGGTGGTGGTCCCTCTGGTTTAGCTGCTGCTATTCGTCTTAAGCAACTTGCCAATGAGGAAGGCAAGGAATGTCGTGTCATGGTGATCGAAAAGGCCGGTGAAGCCGGTGCTCATACCTTGAGTGGTGCTGTATTAGAACCAAGAGCCTTGAATGAATTAATCCCTGATTGGAAAGAAAGAGGTGCCCCTTTAAATACACCTGTCACCAGTGATTCAATGCGTCTCTTGACAAGTACATTGTCAATTCCTTTACCTCATCCTCCTCAAATGAATAATAAGGGTAATTATATCGTTTCTCTTTCTAACTTTGTGAAATGGCTCGGTGAGCAAGCAGAAGAATTAGGCGTTGAAATCTATCCTGGATTCGCTGCTAGTGAAGTCAATTACAATGAAGATGGTAGTGTACGTGGTGTCAATTTAAATGATGTCGGTTTGGACAAGAACTTTGAACCCAAGGTACGTCTCTCTTTTATTTATTTTTTCCCACGATGTACCAAAACAGAAAAAAAAAAAAATTAACCTTTTAACTTTTTATAGGATAATTATGAAAGAGGTATGGCAGTAAAGGCAAAGGTGACTTTATTCGCTGAGGGTTGTCATGGTTCTCTTACCAAGACATTGACAAAGAAATTCGGTTTGCGTGATGAGAGTGGACCTCAAAAGTATGGTATTGGTATTAAGGAAGTTTGGGAAGTCTTGCCCAAAAACCATAAGCCTGGTTCCGTTACACATTCCGTAGGCTGGCCTGTAGATATCCATACTTATGGTGGTAGTTTCATCTATCATTTCGAGCCTGAGCGTCATCTTGTTACCGTCGGCTATGTTGTCGGTCTTGATTATACCAACCCTTATTTAAGTCCTTACAAGACATTCCAACAATTCAAGCATCATCCTTCAATCGAGAAGGTATTAAAGGGCGGTAAATGTATTTCTTACGGTGCAAGAGCGATTAACGAAGGTGGTTATCAATCTATCCCTAAACTTGTTTTCCCTGGTGGTGCATTGATTGGTTGTACTGCTGGTTTCTTGAACGTTCCTAAAATTAAGGGTACTCATACTGCCATGAAGTCCGGTATGCTTGCTGCTGAATCTGCTTATGAAAAAATATTCGGTGCCGAGGTTGAAGAGGAATTGACCGAGCCCATTCTCCTTGACAACTATGAAGAGAGCATTAAGAACTCTTGGGTTTACAAAGAACTTTATGAGGTTCGTAACATTCAGCCTTCTTTCCATAATCCTTTGGGTATGTGGGGTGGTATGATCTACGCTGGTATCGATTCTTTATTCTTAAAGGGTCGTACTCCTTGGACATTCAAGCATAAAAAGGCCGATTGGGAGGTTATGAAGACAGCAGCGTAAGTTTTTTTTTTTAGAGTTTGGTTTATATTTCTCACGGTCTAATTTGGTAACTGTTTCTTAGTGATTCAAAGCCTATTGATTATCCTAAACCCGATGGTGTAATCTCGTTTGATTTATTAACCAGTGTCTCCCGTACTGGTACAAACCATGCTGAAAACCAACCTGTTCATTTACGTCTCCGTGATGATAAAATTCCCGTCGAAAGAAATTTAGCCGTATTTGATGGTCCTGAAAACAGATTCTGCCCCGCTGGTGTCTATGAATACGTGGATGATGAGAATAAGGCTGGTGAAAAACGTCTTCAAATCAACTCTCAAAACTGTATCCATTGTAAGACTTGTGATATCAAGGATCCCTCTCAAAACATCGATTGGACTGTCCCTGAAGGTGGAGGAGGACCCCAATATACTTGGACTTAATCGTATTCCCTACTTTTTGTAATAGAAGCTTCCCTTTCTCTTTCTCTCTCTCTCTTTTTTTTTGCTGTTTCTGCCCATTCTTTAAAAAATAAAATTCTTATTATTCTCTATCCTAATGATGTGTTAGTTGGTATACCATTCCCTAATAAAAAAATAAGTGTAACACGCACGAGTTTTTCTGACGGTAAATCGTTTAGTATGCATTTCTCTGTACCACATGAATCCCACATTGTGCTTGAACAAGAACAATTCCTTAAAAAACAGATCCACTTGCGCAAAGGATTTACTTTTACGTAGCTCTTTCAAATAACCAGTCTAGATAATGTTGCTATTCGCAATTTCCGCCGATAGTAACATAACCTACTTTTTCAATTGCTTGGCTAAAGCTCTTCCCTTTGCCTTACTGATCCTCGTTTTTGTCTTTTGTTTTTTTGAATGCATTGTACTCAACAGTCCGCTCCAAAATATCTACTTATACCCAATGTTTAATTTAACAAGAACGTTGCCTTAATTTTTTTTAAATAGGAAACATAGAGCGTATAAGCATTAATTGAGTCAACGATATGATTATCTTGCAAGTCTTATAATACAAAGTACAAGCTGATGTGTTTAAGAAGTATTGATTCGATAGGACGTGCAAGGACTAGTTATAGTGACGATGGAATCTCCTAATGAAAGATGAGTATGACTGTTAAACAGGGCTTGAGAAGGGGTTTTTTTCTGGTATTTGAGTGGCTCTTCACAAATCATTTTAAGCATGCGAGCTTCACTTAAAGCTGGTTTGTTATTGTTGTTATTGTTGTTTTTGTTGTATTTGTATTTGTTGTAATTCCTTCCAAATAGACTTCTTACAGCCTTTGCATGAACTGTTGAAAAAAAAAATGCTGCGCTTTAATTTGATTGGCTCAGACAGTGTCTACGTCAGCGGGAACTTAAAAGATTATTTAAAGCAGACCCAGGCTTTTTTTTTTTTTTTTTTCTTCAGCGATCCTGGGGCTCTCTTCTGTAATGAAATGTCGTTGATGGGAATACGTTGCACCCGTAGGAGGTTGTAATTTATTTTGATGTATAGTACGGCAATCGTTTTCCAACCTCACATACACGACTTGTGGGATATAGGACTAGTAGGTGCTACGGCATAACGTACAAGTTGTCAATAAGGCCCACGAACATCCGACAAGCTTTAAGTCAGTGACCAGACTCATCTTAAGGGAGAAAGTAGTTATGTTGGCCCTGGCTATTTTTTCTCCTGGAGTAGGGTTCCTTTGGCGGCCTCTTTCATTACTTACAGTTAGCATTGGGTGGATACTGTACATTAGACTTGTCTTTTGTACCAAAAGGTTTTGCACGCACCTTTTTTCACATTTTTTTGGGACCAGATATGCTTCCACCTTCTCGTGGTTGGTTCTGTTAATCAATATGGTTATTTATAATAAACATGTTGAGAACTGAGAGAAGCATTTGTTGTTGTTATTTTGTAAATAAATGCTTGTAATGTACTTTAAACTTTTGTCTTTCTAATGTGTTGAGTTTTATTATTGTATACTGAAGGAAATGAAAAAGCCATGGCAAACTCTACCAGTACTTTATTCTTTAAAGAACGTTGGCAGGACGCAAGTAAAAGTAAAAAGCTGATTACAGTCTAGTAACACTCTCTAAAAAGAATACAATTGCTCATTAGACAATTCAGGACAGGGTAAAAAACCGAAAGGGACTTTTTGTTTTCATGTTTAAAAGAAATGTTTTCAAGCAGCATTCTACATCTTTTATTCAGCTAAATTCTATGATGATTGGCGTTTGGTAGAACAAAGTAGAGTAAGGCCGATTAACGAGAAGCCCTTTACGCAGAGCAATACTTAATTAAGTGTCGGCCTTCTTCTAGTAGTCGTCAAACAAAGTCTATAACTATCTTGATTCTGACAGAACAATTTCAAGGAATATGGTGGTATTGATTAAGCATAAACTGTGATAGATATATAAAAGTAACATGTAAAGGTATACTTCGGGCCATTTGGAAACCAAGCTAAGATTCGTGGTACGGTTACACTAAATTCGATCACATAAAACATGTTTAAGCACCATTTGTTGTCATTTTTTTTTTTTTTTTTACAGTATTTTCTACCTTTATCTGATTTAAACATGACCACTGAAGAATCCTCCAACACAACCCACACAACTTACATAAAACGCGAAGAAAAAAATTATTGGGGAGTATACTGGTTGCGTATAGCTAATTACAGCATGTCTCAGATTTCGAAGACAGTTGGATTACCTGTTTCGTCAGTACAAACAATAATCAACAGAATCAAAGAAAAGGGTACACCTCTCCCCGAGAAACAAAATGGCGCACCAAAAAAACTTGATGCCAGAGATGTGAGACGTCTACAGGCTATCACAAGACGCGAGCCTTTCGCGTCCTATGACAAAATAAATTCAGAACTGAAACTCCATAACATCCACATTTCGAGACCAACTCTGATAAATTATTTAAAAGACTTTGGCTTTGGTTCTTACTTTGCGACATACAAGCCAGAGTTAACGGGAATTCAAAAGCTGAGACGGCTCCGTTGGGCTAAAGAACGAGTCAACTGGACTATGGACCAATGGAAAGGGGTTGTCTGGTTAGATGGGTCCCGTTTTACGGTTGAAGAATACGATGGAGGTGCTAGAGTACTTCCTAATTTTGGGGAGAAATACAAGAAGGAGCATACTGCTGAGCAGACACAGCGGGTTAAAGGAAGCACAATGATTTGGAGCTTCTTTTGGGCGGGTGGTTTTGGACCTTTAGTCTCCATCGATAGTAATGTTGATCAAACAACCTACAAAGATATTTTGGCTTCGAGAATCCTTCCTTGGTTTGTGAATCTTTGTGAAAAGGAAGACAGGGATTTCATATTGCAAGAGGAGGATGCCATCTGCCTTACAGGTGGTTATAAGACGTGGTGGGAAGGGAACACCCATTTGGTTAGACGCTTTGACCATTGGCCCGCTCAAAGCCCTGACTTAAATCCAGTTGAACATATTTGGAGCTCTCTCCAGTCTCTTATCAGTGATAAGAGGGATCGTATCAACAGTGTTGATGAGTTGAAAGTAGCTTTAGAGGAAGCTCGGAAAGAAATAAGTGTCGACCTTGCTGGTAGGCTTGTTGGTAGCATGAAAGATCGATGCCAAGCGGTCATTGATGCCAAAGGCGGACCAACTAAGTTCTAAAACTTTTTTATTTTTATTTTTTTTATTATTATTATTATTAAAATACATGTGCCAACAATGTAAACCAATTTAGTGTGAATATACACTGGGTGCCATAGTCTTACCCGTAGCGTGATTTACTTTCATTAAAGAAAATAATTTGTGTCTAACTAGAGGCGATGTAAGTTAATGGACATCTCATGGGTTGGCAAGTAAAGCGATTTGACAATGTGTATGAGCTATGATTGAATTTGGCTATAAAGGTACGTTGTGGATGATGTATTTGTAATAAAAGTACCAAATATTCCAAAGAGCTGTATGAACAATTGCAAATATGTCCTGCGCATCAGATACTCTCATAGATCGTAGTATTTGCGATTTACACATGATTTGGGTTATATCAGAGAATTTAAGTTGGGCAATGGAAAAATAATAATCCTTGATGGTACCCTTTATAGGTGCTTTAATTAAGCAATACACCAGCAAATATAACCAGATCTTTATCATTTTGATGGCATAAGCAAGCATTTGAAGAGTTTGAGTGTTTACTTTATCATTGTATCATAATTAGGAATCGAATTTAAATTATTATCATCACAGTTTTAATGGATGCGGTTGATACGATTAAGATGGGTTGAAGCGTATGAGCACAGGTACACCGTCAAGGAGTTAGAGTCATCAAGACCCATTCAAGTTATGCAATAAAAAAAATGACACACGGAGTTTAATGAGATTATCGAAGGGATGTCGATGGGGGAGTAAGGTTTGAAATTGGAAACCAGGTTCCTCGGGCCTACGAGCGCGTATCGACTTCCTCAGCTTCAATGTCAACTGATGGCGATTCTTTGTAGGTAGATTTTTTTTTGCTTTTGTTCACTCGAGTTTCCTGTTTCAAAGACGCCGTCAATACACCAGGCATTTTTGACAGCATTATCCTAGAAAAATGAGTTTTTTTTTTAAAAAAAAAATCAATTTACCTTCATATAATACTATTGCGGCAGACAATTCTTCCTTAAAAAATTCAGGTCTCCAACATGGTTATAGCATTTCCAGATACAGTAACCAGATGTTTGACAGATCACAGCTTCATGCTATATATTGAGCTTTAACAATGGTACTGACATACTTATTAACCATACGAGCCTTTGCATGAAAAATTGCTGCGCTTTAATTTGATTGGCTCAGACAGTGTCTACGTCAACGGGAACTTAAAAGATTATTTAAAGCAGACCCAGGCTTTTTTTTTTTTTTTTTTTCTTCAGCGATCCTGGGGCTCTCTTCTGTAATGAAATGTCGTTGATGGGAATACGTTGCACCCGTAGGAGGTTGTAATTTATTTTGATGTATAGTACGGCAATCGTTTTCCAACCTCACATACACGACTTGTGGGATATAGGACTAGTAGGTGCTACGGCATAACGTACAAGTTGTCAATAAGGCCCACGAACATCCGACAAGCTTTAAGTCAGTGACCAGACTCATCTTAAGGGAGAAAGTAGTTATGTTGGCCCTGGCTATTTTTCTCCTGGAGTAGGGTTCCTTTGGCGGCCTCTTTCATTACTTACAGTTAGCATTGGGTGGATACTGTACATTAGACTTGTCTTTTGTACCAAAAGGTTTTGCACGCACCTTTTTTCACATTTTTTTGGGACCAGATATGCTTCCACCTTCTCGTGGTTGGTTCTGTTAATCAATATGGTTATTTATAATAACCATGTTGAGAACTGAGAGAAGCATTTGTTTTTGTTTTTTTGTAAATAAATGCTTGTTATGTACTTTAAACTTTTGTCTTTCTAATGTGTTAAGTTTTATCATTGTATACTGAAGGAAATGAAGAAGGCCATAGCAAACTCTACTATTACCTTGTTCTTGAACGAGCGTCGGCAGTGTGCAAGCTAAAGCACAAAGTTACTTACAGTTCAGTAAAAGGTTTTGCCAAGTTGCTACTGTCCATCATTAGAAAACCCAAGACACGCTAATTAAGAAAGATTTTCTAATCTTATTCACAAACACACCCAGAAAGTGAATACTATAATAGCAGCATTCAATGCTTATATCATGCTGAAAAGGATGAAAAAGAAGAAAAGCTCTGGTTGCGCCATTAGGCACATGTTTATTTTGAAGGCAAAGAGCACAATTTACTAGCCACATTACAAAATGTGGTAGTGTCACTAAAGAGGAATCCGTCCCTATCGTTTTCAAATGTCCTAAACAAAAAAAAAACAACCACAAAAAATGCCATGGAAGATGACCCAGCCGCAGTAACACCATTCTGGATAACTAGCTTTTATAAAAATCTACTCTAAAATAAATTATGTGGCAATTGCATTGTGGTTGAGCTACATCCGGACGATGAAGTTTGTGCCAGATTACTGGAAGAGATGATGTTATAAGAGAGAAACTTCGTATTAGAAAAGTTCTCTCAATGACCCATCCAGGGAATAAAACAGGTATTATCATTAATTGACTCGTTGTATATGATTATAATTATTTGAAGTGATAGGTCTTTGATATTGCAATTATTTAATCTGAGTATGAATTAATAGACAGATACTCTCGAATATACACACATCGATAAGACGTTTTATATTTAGGGATATGTTTTACTTTTTCAAAGATAAGAAATAATACCACATGATGATTGGACATAACTACTATTGGATATGTTCTACTACAATAAATGAATTGTCTGTGTTCTTTTGACAGCTAACGTTACACGACTTTTGACTGGTTTATGTAAATGAGAACAATAAGAGTGTTCTCGGACCTATTATCTTATCCGAGATAACAAGTTTTTTGAATTCAAATCATGGAATTTAATTAAGATAAAGGTGGAAAACTGAGTATATATGTATTCACAGATCAGAAAGTTTGCCTTCACAGAGGTCTTAGTAACAGTTTTTTTCATAGCATGAATAGTGAGGATCTAATCCATAATTTGTAACTATAATACACTTGGATCAAATCAATTTAACCCTAATAAGTATATCAACAAGTCTTTATCTCGTTCTGTTGTTTAAAATAAACGCTAAATAATTATCACTTGGAAGTACGGATGCATGCACCCTTGAATCTCAGTTATTCGGCAACTCTTTCCCTCCTTGATTAGGCTTAAAGCCTGCATCCAGAACTCCAATTGTTCTATGCTCTCTTTACACAATGGATAGATGCAACGATTTCCTGATATTGTGATAGAAATCAATAGAAGCTAGTTAAGACTTTCCTATTATGAATTATGTGTGTGTGTGTGTGTGTGTGTGTCATGAGCAACGCTTAGAAGGGATTCTAAGAAGCCATGGAGAGACAGAGGAAGTGGTTGAGTTTGACAGAAAGTGTTTATAAATAACTCGACCTAACAAACAAATCCGATTATGCTTATTCGTTGAATAAATTTTTATTCTAACTATCTTGTGAATAAAGGCTACTGCTGTCCTGCTACTTAATGTCCCTTTCAATGGTGAGTTGCCCCCTTTTGATTGCTGTGAGAAATCATATTCTCACTTAAGACGTATATGCATGTTAGTACACTGCTGCATTGACTATAAATTCATTTGACATAGTTTAGACTTTATGACGTAAAAGAATATAGGTTAGATTACAGCTGCATCCTTGTTAATAATGTAAATAAGGATTCATGTGAATTATTTATTGCATGAAGATAGAAAACTGGACTATTTCTTTTTCTTTTGTATCCATGTTATGTCATGGAAATAAACTGAAAGTGAATACCTGGGAACGCAAACATGTTCCTCTCACCCCTATTTTTTAAAGAAAATAATGTAGCTACTGTTTTTTAGAAAATCCAGAATACCTGAGCCGCAGATATTAAATAAAAAAAAAAAGGCGAGTTTTAAACCAGATGCAGGAGTGAAGAAGTGGCTTAGTGAATATGAACGTATCACTTGAGTGTTTATAATAATTTAAAAAAAAGTGCTGCCTATCCCCCCCCCTTTTTTTTGTGTAATCCAATCCCAATTTGTTTTGTGTTTTGGGATTCAGATTAACACCAAAATAAAAACTTTAATTTTGATTGTGTGACCCTTATTATTATGGGATTTTGTATTATGTGCATACAAGGGTCGAGTTCGCATATTATATCTTGGGGGATAACAGCATCTCTTAAATAGATGTACATGGTAAAATGACAAAATAACCATGATTTGTTATAACAAGAAATGTGCCCTGAAAAAGAAGGGGGGAAACAACATCGGTGTATTAAAAAAAGACTTTTTTTTTCTTTTACCACTTAAAATGCTGGAATTCCATGCATGGAAGATAAGAGTTCCAAATGAATTTCCTGTAGGATTATTATAATTTAGACACGTTCTGTCTCATTGAATGTTTCATCATTTGGGTTTGCAGTATCACATGTTTTATCTATTTTACCCCTCCAAAAAAATGATATCATTAAGCATTGGAAACGTCAATTTTTTTTTTGTAACACATTGTGGTTAATCAGGGGCATGGCAGGGGGGAGGGGAGGCAGTAAGAGTTTATATAATAATTAGTATAAATGGTAGTTAAGCCGAGGAGGACAAACAAAGGTAACAAAAAGTGTTATCTTGCGTAACACAGATCCACCTGACATTGATTACGTTTTTTTTATCTCTGACCAATCGATTGATGTCTAATTGAAAGGGGAGACAAACAGAGTTTTTTTTTTTATCATTGATTTATTTATTTATAATTTTATGTACAAGCACAACAAAAAAAAGAAAAAAGAAAAAATATTAAAATGAGCCCCTTTGCCCCAAATAGTTTAAGCTACTTTAGGTAAAACAATATGAGATAAGAAAGCATCACGTACACCATCCTCCTTCAAGAATTCGTTCAAAGTTTTCCCGCTTTGTCCCGTTAACAATTCCAAATCTCGAGTGATTTCCAAGCGTCTACCAGTTAGCTTTTGTTGCAAACCCCACATTTCCAATAAGAATACAGCATGATCTTCGTTACCAATAGAATCACCAATGATTTGTTGTAATGTTGCCATGTCCATGAGATTAACGGTATCACCTCGATCTAATCCTGAGAGAACACGCTGACTGACTTCTTCAAATGTCAACAATTGAGGTGAGGAAATCTTGTATGCGTTTTGACTATGGCGAAGGGTAGGCGAATGAGCAACACATGCTGTGGCACGTGCAATGTCAATCATATTACAACTTTCTACCGTAATCTCTGTTTGTTGATTTGGTAAAGGGAAGGCATTATGTTGGGCAATGTATTTACCAAACACAAGCAAATGTTGATGAAGAACACCGGGATACCTTAAAAGGGTAATCTGATTGTTATTAAATTGTGTATGCAAATAAGACTCAATAAGCATAAATTGGGATCGATAAGAGTAAGCAGGTACTTGTTCAAGGCTTGGTCCAAATACCGTGTCCAGTGGAGTAAAAGGGCTTAAGAAGATGACATGTTCTACTTTGGCCTCCTTGGCTGCATCAATAAAACTATTATATTGGTTAATATAAAATGTTGATCATATTGAGTAAACAAGATAAAACTTACGCTTTGCCGTAATTATAAGCATTGGCTCTTTGCATTCTTTCACTCAAGGGATCAATTAACAAACATAGCTTAGTGACACCAGTAAGAGCATGTACAGCAGCTTCATGGTCATGAAAGATATCAAAAGCAACGACTTTAGCACCTAATCCTTGAAGTGATTTAGCTCTAGGAGTACTATCATCGGGTAAGCCAGCATAGATAATTTGGGGGCACAAATGTTTGTATTGCTCAGGCAACTGTAACAGTTGTTGAACAATAGCAACACCTTTATCTCCATCTGTTCCAGAGACAAAGATAGATCCTCTTCCAGTGGCTGATGTAGACATTTTTTTTTATATAGTGTAAGAAAAAGAGAAAGAAAAAAAATTTATTTCCTCCAAAAACCCGACTTTTTCAGGTCCAATTTATATCCAGTCTCCCTCAGAAATTAGTGAAGCCAATCAGAATCATTTCCTGTATCTATTATCACTCACTTTTTGGGACTTGTTATTTTGGACTACACACACACACACATATACGCTACACACATATTTTTTTTCTTGAGGGTTGTTTAATTTTTTTCAGCACCGTAACAAAATAAATAATAATGGCTACTGAAAATAAAAAGGCTCTCGTCTACTCTATTCTTGAATTCTTGCAAAAGTCTTGTGAAGATGGTACTATTAACAAGGATGATACCGAGGGTATCGAAGGTAAAAAAAAAAAACAACAAATAAAAAAAAAAAAAACTTAACATCTGCATACAGTTGCCATGCAGTGCATCGGTGAAGCCTTTGGTGTAGATGCTGAGGATGAAGCTCAAAAGCAACTTTATTCTACAAAGCCTGCCAACTTGCTCTCTATTTTCGATGTCTATCTCAAGACAAAGTCTTCTGCTTCCTCCAAGGTAATTGTTTTTTTTTATTGATCATCTACAGTATAAAAAAAAAAAAACTGACGCGTTTCTTGTCATCCCCAGTCACCTGTTACTGTTCAAAGTAAGTTTTTTCTCTTTAACTATATCCTTGTTTGCAAAAACATAATACTCACATGTCTTTTTCTTTTTTAGACGTAAGCACTTCAATAAACAACGCAAACACGAACTAACCTATTGAAAAAAAAGGCTGCTAGTAATGAAGAGAACAGATTAGCTGCTGAACAAAAGAAGGCTTTAGGTAACCGTAAGGTCGCTGAACGTAACTATCCCGAAGCCATCAAGCTTTATACTGAAGCCATTGCCCTTGATGCTACCAACGCTGTCTATTATGCTAACCGGTAAGTTATCTTATGATAGATTGAAAAAAAGGGGGGGGGGAAGGGTTCAGAAACAGGTGATTCCTAACAAAATAAGAAACTAGTGCTGCTGCTTATAGTCAACAAGGTGATCACGAGAAGGCTGTCAATGATGCCAAGAAGGCTGTTGAGGTGGATCCCAAGTACAGTAAAGCCTATAGCCGTATGGGGTAAGAATCTAAAAAAGAGAGTGTGTGTGTGTACAATGAGATCATTCTATCCTAACCCGTATATTTAAACTTTTTTTTATGATAGTCATGCTTATTTCTGTTTAAACAAGTTTGATGATGCTGTTGCAGCTTACGAAAAGGGTTTAGAACTTGATCCCGAGAATGCTACTCTCAAGTCTTCTTTACAAACTGCCAAGATTAAGGCCGATAGTAAGACGGTTGAGCGTTCTGTGCCTTCTCTTGGTGGAGGAGCACCCGGTGCCGGTGCTGGTGGTATGCCTGATTTCAGTGCTCTTAGTGCTGCTCTTGGTGGTGCTGGAGGTAGTGGTGGAGGAGCACCTGACCTTGGATCTTTGTTGAATAACCCTGCTTTAATGGGTATGGCTCAACAAATGATGCAATCCGGTGCTCTTGATAATTTGATGAACAACCCCAATATTGCTAGAATGTAAGAAATCTATTTTGTTTGTTTTTACATAGCAACGTCATGACATTTATATATAGGGCTCAACAAATGATGGGTGGTGGTGCAAATGGAGGAGCACCTGATCTTCAAGAGATGATGAACAATCCCGAGATGATGAAGATGTAAGTTTAAAGAGAGAGAGTACAATAGGGTTAAGGAGGAAACAGTCAACTCATCTCAAAAATCTTTTTTTTTTTGTTAGGGCCCGTGATGCCATGGCTGGAAACAACCCTTCTCCCGACAATGATAAGAAATAAACAATTTTTTTTTTATAAATGAAAGTAAAATATATATATATATATATTATTCGTCTTCTTCTTCATCGGAGGCATTCAACCATTCGATGAATTTAGCACTCTTTGTCTCCAATGGGCTTGCTTTTTGAAGCGTATCGTACCATTGAACAAAGGCTTCTTCTTCAACCATTTCACAGTCGTACCAATGAGATAATGCAACAGCAGTTTTGTTGACCATGATTGGTTTACGTTGAGTTACAAAAGTTTCCCAGGCTTTTAATAACAAAATTTGATCTGCATTTGTTTTAACAAGCTATAAAAAGAAAGGGGGCAGGATTGAAACACTTAGTTTTTAAAAACAAACACAAAACATTTTTGGTAACAAAAACTTACGGTTTTAAAAAGATGATCGCGGGACTTTAAAATGGGTAATAAAGAATCAGTGTCTTCCAATAAACAAACAAGCAAAATATAGAGTAATTGTTTCTTGGATAGATCATTGCGCATCTCAATCTTGGTCACTTCCTTCACATCTTGCATCAATTTTCCTTTGGCGGCAACGGTAGCTACATTGTTTGTAAAGAACTTTTTTAGTTCGGTAATGATGAGTTCTGTTTGAGCGGATTTCGCAGGTGCTATGACCGTCTTTTGTTGCACTGCATTACTATAAAGTACAAGTCAATATAAAAGAAGAAGAAAATGACGCATGACTACATATTATGTAATTGAATTTTTTTTTTTACCTTTCCATTTCATCTTGTTCTTCTTTGGAGAGTTTAAGTACTTTCATCCAAGATTTCTCTGTAGTGACAGGTGCTACCATTGTCTTTTTCTCTTTGGGTGTAGTAGCTTTTTTGGTGATAGGCGGAGTACGCTGTTCCACAAATACAACAGGTCGGGTCATTTCCTCTTCCATGACTTGAATGGGTGGAGGCGCCATGGTAGGTGGTGGTGTCTTGGGTGACGTAGATCGCCATGAACTTTCTCGGTTCGATCTACCCTTTGGTGCTACCTCATCTTCCTCTGAAGAGGATCTGGTACGGTATTCGTTGGATCTCCAACTCGTTTCATTAGGATGATGACTACTACTACTAAAGCGCCAGACATTTGTTGTTTAATTTATGTTCAAAGGGGCTATTGTATACGGGAGCTCAGAAAAAAAAACTTACTTGTTCTTGTCATGTCTCCAGTTTGTACGTTGGTCTGTTTCGACATTGATATTTTGTTGTTGTTGTTGTTGTTGTTGAAAAGAACGAGGGCGTAATTGAGTGACAGGTTCTGCTTCTTCTGGTTTCTTGGGCCTGATCTTTAACTCGCTCTCACCATGCGCTGTCATAACCAAAAAAAAAAAAAAAAAAATAAGAGTGAGCATTCATTATGTGTGGAAAGTAGTAGTCATAATAAATAAATAAATAAAGTTTCTTTACCAAAGTGACATTTGGGACCGTATTGACAAAACTTCTCCTTGATGAATTTCTCACATAGTCTAGTCTTAAAAAGTTGGTTGCCCGCATCCATCATTTGATTGGCAGGTACGGTGGTTGGAATGGGAACCGTTGTTTCTTGTTCCTTTCCGCGTAATTCAAGGACACCATGTGCAAAATTACATTTTGGTCCATAAGGACAAACACCTTCCGTTTCATATCTTTCACACAGACGAGTCTTGTAGAGAGGAGAAGGTGTCTGCTGTTGTTGCTGTTGCTGCTGCGGCTGTTGCGACTGTTGTTGCGACTGTTGCTGAGCTGGAACAGGTACAACAGGTGCTGTTGTGACTGCGGGTGCTGCGGTGGGTCGACTCTTGAGCTTGATCTCTTCGACGGTTGATGACTTTGTCTCCGTCAAGGTAGGACGACCCATCATGCGTGGTTGATCAAAATGCTTTCTTCTTTGCTGCTTTGATTCAATAAAAGTTTGAGCATGTTTAAAGACATCCTGCATGCTCTTAAAAATAACTTTCTCAGAACAAGCGCTTTGATTGTACCATTGCATATGAACCCCCTCTGCATTGGGTAATAATCGAACATGATTATCTAATAATTGCGCTAAATGATATTGCACTTTCTTTGGCCTACATGTATATAAAAAATCTTTTTTTAGTTGTCGCTTTAAAATCATAATAAAAATGGTGTAAGCGTGTGTGTGTGTACGTTACTTGGTGCCTGAAAGATACTTGAGTTCAATCGTAAACCCTTCTTCAATACGTAATTCAGAAGGACGTAAACCTGTCGTCTCAAAGGTCTCGCGGAGTGCACATCTATATATATATAAAAAAAGGAAGTTAGAACAAAAGAATGAAGATGAATTAGGGAAGACAGCCTACTTGATTTCGTCTTCGTTTCCAATTACTTGTCCTTTGGGACAAAACCAATGCTTCTTGTTTGTAAAAGAGTCGTTTAATAATAAATACTCTACGTTTCTTTGAATACGATAAATGACTAGTCCGGCGTAAAGTTTGGTTTGAGAGGGTTTATCCATATGTTTTCTTATTTAAAATACGTCTTCTGCCTTCTTTTTTTTTTTTGTGTGTGTGTTGTTTGTATGAAAGTTGTTGTTTGTTTTTCTCTTTATCGAATTATAAGTTGTGGTTTTTTTTTCCCTTATAACGATATATTATAAGCAAAAAAGAAAGAAAGAAAGGGCAAAAATAAAAATAAAAAAGATTTTTTTTTCTATTTATACACTACCACAAAAAAACCGTCTTTTTCATGTGTCGTCAGCAGCGCATAAATTTAGATTTTTTTTAAAATGTATTCCACTTAACAACCCTTCTTAAAAAAACATGTCTTTTAGTTCCAACACGGATCAGTTTTTAAGTGCAATAAGAGTTTCCCTTGACTGGGGGGAGGGGATGTCCTCCTTCCCTCACAAAAGAGCCTTAGCAGATCGAGCCAATCAGCTTTTCCAGGCACGTCTGAAAGCCTATTCGTCCACAGTTAACGCACTAAAAAAAAAGAGAGAGAGAATTCCCCATATAATACAGTCCGGTGCTTAAAAAATGAAGATCTCATGGTTGCGATCTTCATCTTGCAGCCTTTCTATCCGTCATGAATGCATTTGACGCTAGATTACGTAAGAAGCCCTGCGTTTACTCATCATAACGGTCAACAGGAATTTATCGGATGCTGAATTGCATGATTTCGCACAGTTATTTTCCCACGAAAAAAAAAAAATCCTCAAGCATTAAGTATATAACCATTGTTTATTTCATCCCTTTATCTCCTCTTCTCCTCTTTTTTTTTTTCTGCTTATCAGCATATTTTGAAACAATGACGTTAGACTATACATATAATGAAGGTTTTGGTAACCATTTCTCCTCTGAAGCGTTACCTGGTGCACTTCCCAAGGGTCAAAATACACCTCAAAAGTGTCCTTACAACCTCTATGCTGAACAGTTGTCCGGAAGTGCATTTACTGTTCCTAGAACGCATAACCAGAGAAGGTAATATAAAATAGAAAATAAAAATGGAAAAGTAGAATTTAACTCCAAACCTATTTTTTTTTAAAGCTGGCTCTATCGTATCCGTCCTTCTGTTGTCCACTCACCTTTTATCAACAAATCCGGTGAAAACCTTTTGGTTTCCAAATTCGGTGGTGATGATGTCTTGATTACGCCTACGCAAATTCGTTGGAGTCCATTTGATATACCTAACAGGGAGACCGAGAAAGTTGATTTTGTTGAGGGTTTAAAATCCTTAGCGGGTGCAGGAGATCCTGCCTGTCGAAGTGGACTTGCCATTCACATTTATGCTGCAAATACGGACATGGATCATACTGCCTTTTATAATTCAGATGGAGATTTCTTGTTGGTACCTCAACAAGGTGTCTTGGATATCACCACTGAATTTGGAAAAATGTCGGTGGCTCCAAATGAAATTGCCGTAATTCAAAGAGGTATTCGTTTCTCTGTTGCTCTTCCCGACGGACCATCGTAAATTATTCTTTTATTTTGCTTGTCCTTTTACTCTCTTGTGAGTCTAACACTATTTTTTTTTTTTTTTTTTTTTGAAAAAAATAGACGCGGTTATGTGCTTGAAGTATTTGGTGCTCACTTTGAATTACCAGATCTTGGCCCCATCGGTTCCAACGGACTCGCTAATCCTCGCGATTTCTTAACTCCCGTTGCTGCTTTCACGGAAGATAACAATTCTGACTGGGAAATCATCACAAAGTTTAACGGTAAAATGTTTACCGCCAAACAAAAACATACACCCTTTGATGTCGTTGCCTGGCACGGTAACTATGCTCCCTATAAATACAACCTTGCCAACTTTTGCGTCATCAACAGTGTCTCCTTTGACCACATTGTAAGTTTTTTGTGTTTATTTTTATTTATATATATATATGTTTAAACAAGATGGTTTTTTTAGGATCCTTCAATTTTCACAGTGTTGACAGCAAAGTCGGATACACCCGGTGTTGCTGTTGCTGATTTTGTGATTTTCCCTCCTCGTTGGGCTGTACAAGAAAAGACGGTAAGTCCTTTTTATGACTGATTTACACTGGATAATCGAAACTAAAAGCATGTTTATGATAGTTCCGTCCACCTTATTTCCATCGTAATTGTATGTCTGAATTTATGGGATTAATCAATGGAGACTATGATGGTAAAACTGACGGATTTTCACCTGGTGGTGGCTCACTTCACTCTGCCATGACACCTCACGGCCCTGACGCCGCAGTATTTGAAGGTGCCTCTAAAGCTGAATTAAAGCCAGTATATGTGGGAGCCAATAATCAAGCGTTCATGTTTGAGACCTGTTTTATGTTGTCACTTACACCTTGGGGATTAGAGACATGTGGTAAAGTGCAAGAGAATTATTACAAGGCTTGGGAGAAATTAGAAAATAAATTTAATGGAAAACCTTGATAAAAAAAGATAATAAAAATAAATAAAATGTAGTATAAATATTAGACGGGTGGGGGAATCTATTATTTATTCTCGGGTAACCAATCTTGGGAAACAATGCCTTCTCTTCTTAAATGACGCACCATAATTTCAAACGTATCTTCATATATATTAAAATGGCCTAATGCCATCATTTGGTCTGCTAAACCTGTAATGGTCTCGACTTTTTGTCGTCTCGCGTTTTCTTCGTCTTCGGTAAGTGTCACTGGAATATCTTGAGGCTTTTTATTCTTGTTCTTTTTATCCAACATTTTTTGTTTCCATGCTGGCACTTTCTTGGGTAAAGAGTTAGCTAAACTGGTTAATGCCTCCTGTACTGTTTGACCTGGTTTTAAATATTCCACCAAAGCACGATAAATATCTGTCTGTGTCTGAGGAATATTGGACTGTCTTTCTGCTTCCTTTAATGCTTCATCGCGTTCACGTTTCTGAAGTGCTTCCTTGGCCTTGTTCATATCTTTACGAGAAATGCCTTCCATCCATTTATCATGAAATGCTTGAGGATCCACTTTATTACGGATATAATTTCCTTTATCATCTAAACTTCCTTCTTCCAATTCTTGATTCATGTTAAAAGCAGAAATCTTGCCTTCCTTCTTCTTTCCATCTTCCACGTCCGATTCATCGGATTCCTCACGGTCAAACGAATTGAATTCCTGTCCTTCAATTTCTTTGAGTGTATCTACTTTAGTTTTACCCTTGACGGGTTCTGGGTCGCCACCAAACATATCAAAATCTTCTGTCGCTGCTACAGGAACTTCCTCTTCTTTTCCTTTTCCTTCATCTTCAGAGTCACTGCTAAAGACACCTCCACCTACTTCTTCATCTTCGCTGTCATAGACGTCGAAATTAACGGCTCCACGACGTGATTTCTTGCCTTCTAGTTCATCTTCATGCGTGAATTCAATATCGTCATCGGCTCTTGCTTTTGCTTTTTTGTCAAAACGGGCTCGTTTACTGGAGCCTTCTCCTGCCATGTCAAACGATCTTTTTCCTGTCGCCATAATGTGTTTATATAAGTAACCCTTTTGTGAGAAAGAGTGGAGGGGGATATTTATATAAAAAAAAAGTAGGCTTTATTTAAAAAAATTAAATCCAAACCCTCCACACAGTCACGTTTGCCTATTTTTTTTTTTTTTTTTTTTGCAGGATTTTTGGGTAAGACCTGCATTTTGCCTGTTAGAAAAGATAAATGTACCCTCCCTTTGAGAAAATAGATAGTTAAATTAAACTTGCAAGGAAATCTGCAGGGTGCAAGTTAAAACCATGTTCAAAAAGACTATAATATTTACGGCTTGTGAGACCAACTAGAAAAGAGCATACATGTTATTTTCTTGCTCTTTTTCTTTTCTTTTAATTATGCACTTTATAAAAGAAGCGTGTAGCAAAAGAGTAAAATGCGTCATTTTTATTATAAAATTTTAGCTGGTATTGAACAATTACTTTTTCTTCTAGTCACTTGAGTCCAAGACGTTAACTTACAGTCGTGGCGCTACTTCTATCCTGATGGGATTTTTATTTGTAGCTTATTGTGCCTACCTTATCTCTCAAGTAATGTGAATTTCCACCTTTTTCTTCTGGTAATACATATGAGCACAACTTATTGCTTTACTAAAAAACAACCCCCCAAAAAACATTTTTCTCTAAATAGATGTACAACAACCAACCACTGTTACAAATATCGTCGGAATACATTGGTCACGATAGCGCTACACCCGATATCGAATTATGCGCACAAAACTCCAGTTTAACTGTGGTTAAATGTTCGGTGATGTATTATAATTGGACCACCCAAGACATACCCAATTGCTGGGAAACCTTGTTTCGACCTGGAGTCAATGATCTAGCAACCAAGTGTTATGTCTTTGAATCCAATGATACGTTACGCATGTCGAGAGGGGTAACTTATGATAGTCGCGATGCATTAAGAAGAATTGATTTTTATTGGAATATCGACGCTTTATTTAATATGACTTATGCTTCGATTTCTATACCTGCGATTGCAATCCAGTTGTATAGTCCGACTTTTAGTAGTTGGAAGGTTGATACTATTGGAACCACAGAGATTGAAGTAAATAGATACAATAATTGGCTTTTTTAATGAACAATCTTGTTAATTTTTTATTTTAAAAAGGCCAATATGATGGCCAATATCGCTTCGGGTGGTGCTTCCACCGCTACTTCGTTTGTCAATTATTCTACCATCATTTTTTACCATCCACAAAAGTACCGTGCCATTAGACCCAATGATATTTCCACTCTCTTTGGATTCGTAAGTCGTAGTGTTAATAACTGAAACCTTCTTCTTTTTAATATTTTAGTTTAGAGTTCCAATTTTATCGATTTAATCACGTTAAAGACAAATTCATTTTCATGGCCAATCCAACTCGATCCACCGACACCAACCATCGAAAGAAACGTAATATTCTCTTCTTACTATAAATTATTTACACTATTTAAAGAAATTGATCCCCCATATATAGTTATATCAAGGGGTATTCTCCGTACAATTAGATCAAGATACCTTTGACGTCAAGGTAAAAAAAAGAGAGACAGAGAGACCAACCCAACTAATTACCATGCCACTCATAATATATGCCGAACTCTATAAAAAGACAGAGGTAATGCAGCACTCTTTAGTCTCCTCCATTGCTCTGGCAGGTGGTTGTTACAGTGTACTCACGACCATTTACGTGATATTATTCGGTATGGCAAAACTCTCCCCCTGGGGAATTGTGCATCGTATCCCTACATGCATCAACAATCATCCACCACCAGAGTACAATCCAAACAGCACCCAGTACACACATACACAGCATCAAAATGAAAAGACACAAAACAGCTTCTTTGGGCTACTGTCGTGGGTTTCTTTTACAAAAAAGAATATAAAGAGGAACAATGCAGTAGCACAAGAAGTAGCAGGATCACAATTGGAAAGATTAAAAGTAGATGATTTTTCGGCAGAGACATCATGCCTTACTAGTTCGACGGGTTTATTGCCACCTCATTATCATAATAATGGAGGGGAGAGTAGTAAGCATTTCCCGGAGGATCATAAATTGGCATGGCAGGAGGAAAGTGATGAGGTGAATAAGCTGAAAAGGGAAACGCTTGTCTTATCTCAACGTATGGAAGAGATGGAGTTTATGCTGTCAGAGTATTTTATAAATACAAGATATTTGGATCAGTTACGAAGTAGGAGGAAATCATCTACTTTGGAGGATACAGAAGTCATGGCCGATTAATATGTTAATAAAGCATGTCAAAAAAAATCAATGTGTTAGGTCATGTGCTAAAAAATGGGCTGGCCAAAGTTTATCATGCTGCTCAATAAAGTTTGAGGTTTGTCTCTAGTAGAGGAGCAGATTTTTCTATTATTTTAAATGGACAATACATATACTTTTACTTGTATAGCGTCAAGTTAGCACAAGTAATTCAAGAGATTGTGAGGCGATGTTAATAAAATGCATGCAATTTGTACATCACCAATGTAGTGGCTTACTTAGAGACGTCTCACTTTGAAAAACAAACAAATAAATATTTTGCAAGTTGTGTTGCCAAAAAACAAATTGTTTACCTCTCTAATCACAAACAATTTCTAGCTGATATACATTTTATCAGGTACAGGTTTCTTTAAAATATACAGTTGCATGTTATTCTATGTCTTTCACTATGTAGTCGCTTGAATCAAAAGTTCAATTTTACAGTCGTGGGATCATTGTAAAGTTATTGCGGTTATTTGATATATTAGGTAATTATTTCATACGGGTTTATAACATGTATTGGCTTTGAGGGCAGATGCTATTTACGAGCCCACTTCTAGAGACTTCAGAAAATATTTTTGTCAAATACCCCACTTATAGCTCAAACGTTATTCTCTCTTTCTTCAACACTCTCAGTGGTAATCACTTATAAGCATTTACATGCTTACAGCAAAAAACTAAGTGTGTTACTTCACTTCTATCGACATCTAAAACAAAGCCGTTTTTGAAAGCCCATTTACGAACATAACATATATTTTTTAAAGCTGCTTTGCACTCACTTTTTATTAAGATTTTTAGTAAGGTATGGAATTTCTTTCTCATTCAAATCGATATTCTTCTTAAAAAGGCACTTTTTTTGCTTGTATCGTTTTTTCCTCTGTTTCACTCCCTTGAGATTACAAGGTACGCGTGTTTATGATAATAATTATATGTATTACCGTTTTCCGGTTCTCTAAAATGCTTTTTAACAATAGTAGCACTGCTACTTTTTCTTTCAGTCTTGAATTTTATCGCCTTCCGTCTAGAGACCCCTATCCAAAACAGCCGTTTTTTATGACTATTTGTATATCTACATTTCTAGACAATAAAGTTTTATTATTTTGATGTAACGCTTTTATGTCGTTTTGACCTTAATAAAAGCCCCCATTTCTAAAAAAGTCAAAAATCATTCGCCCATATTTATAAACAATTCCGGAAAGCAATCCTCTGAGTGTATTGGCAGAGTGGAGAGTAATACCATGTTCACATGCTCTAAATATTTACGGTTGTGAGACTGACTAGAAAAACCACTTAGATGTTCTTTTCTTGTTCTTTTTGCTTTCAATCCCTAAGTATGCACTTTATAAAAGAAGCTTGTAGTAAAAGAGTAATACGTCATTTATACTATAAAATTTGTGGTGGTATTGACATATTACTTCTCTTCTAGTCACTCGAGTCCAAGACTCTAACTTACAGTCGTGGCGCTACTTCTATCCTGATGGGATTTTTATTTGTAGCTTATTGTGCCTATCTCATCTCTCAAGTAATGTGAATTTCCACCTTTTTCTTCTGGCAATACATATGAGCACAACTTATTGCTTTACTAAAAAAAAAAAAAAAAATCTACATAGATGTACAACAACCAACCACTATTACAAATATCGTCGGAATACATTGGTCACGATAGCGCTACACCCGATATCGAATTATGCGCACAAAACTCCAGTTTAACTGTGATCAAGTGTACGGCGATGTATTATAATTGGACCACCCAAGACATACCCAATTGCTGGGAGACCTTGTTTCGACCGGGAGTCAATGATTTAGCAACCAAGTGTTATGTCTTTGAATCTAATGGCACATTACGCATGTCGAGAGGCGTTACCTATGACAGTAGCGATGCATTAAGAAAAATTGATTTCTATTGGAAATTCGACGCTTTGTTTAATATGACTTATACTTCGATTTCTATACCTGCGATTTCAATCCAGTTGTATAGTCCGACGTTTAGTAGTTGGAAGAGAGATATCATTGGAAACACAGAGATTGAAGTAAATAGATACAATAAGTGTTCTAATGAATTACCTCATTTACCTTTTCTTTTTTTTAAAAAAAGGGCAATATGATGAACAATATTGCGTCAGGTGGTGCTTACATAGCTACTTCGTTTGTCAATTATACAACCACCATCTTTTACCATCCACAGAAGTACCGTGCTATTAGACCAAATGATATTTCCACTCTCTTTGGATTCGTAAGTCGTAGTGTTAATAGCTGAAACCTTCTTTTAATATTTTAGATAGAGTTCCAATTTTATCGATATAATTACACTAACGACAAATTCTTTTTCATGGCCAATTCAACTGGATCCACCAACACTTATCACCGACAGAAGAGTAATAATCTCTTTTTATTATAAATGATATACACTGTTTACAAAACTGATTCGGCATATATAGTTATATGATGGCGCATTCTCCGTAAAATTAGATCAAGATACCTTTGAAGTCAAGGTAAAAGAAAAAAGATATTAATCCAACTACTCATCATACCACTCATAATATACACCAAACGCTACATATAGACAGAGATAATGCAGCACTCTATAGTATCCTCTATTGCTTTGGCAGGTGGTTGTTACAGTGTACTCACGACCATTTACGTAATATTATTCGGTATGGCAAAGCTTTCCCCCTGGGGAATAGTTCATCGTATCCCTACATGTATCAATAAACACCCACCACCAGAATACTATCCAAACAGCACCATGTACACACATACACAGCATCAAAACGAAAAGGCCCGAAGTAGCATCTTTGGGCTACTGTCGTGGGTTTCTTCTACAAAAAACAATGCAGTGGTACAAGTAACAAGATCACAATTGGAAAGATTAAAAGTGGATGATTCTTCGGCAGAGGCGATATGCCTTACTAGTTTGACAGGTTTGTTACCACCCCAAACTGACAATAAGGGAGAGGAGAGTAGCACGCCTTTTCAGGAGGATCATAAAACGGCATCGCAACAGGAAAGTGATGAGGTGAACAAGCTGAAAAGGGAAACTCTTGTATTATCTCAACGCATGGAAGAGTTGGAGTTTATGTTGTCCGAGTATTTTATTAATACAAAATATTTGGATCAGTTACGCAATCGGAAGACAACATCTACTTTAGGAGATCCGGAAGTCATGGTAGATTAATACGTTAAAATAAAACATGTCAAAAAAAAGTCAATGTGCTTGGCCATGCGCTAAAAATGGACAAGTACATGAACTGGCCAAAGTTTATCATGCTGCTAAAAAAAATTGAAAATTGTCTCTGATACTGGAACTGATTTTTCTATTATTTTAAATGGATACTTCATATACTTATATTGGTACAGCTTTTGATTAACACAATCATTTAAGAGATTGTGAGATGATGTTATCAAAATGCATACAATTTGTACATCACCAATTTAGTGGCTTACTTCGAGATGTTCCATTAAAAAAACAAAAAATTACTGTTGTTGCACTTTAGCAAAGATCCGGCTAATCAGCCTTCCCGGGGGCATTTTTCTAATCCGATGTGACACACTTTTCTTTAATATCACATGAGCTTAAACGTATTTGGAACTGAATAATGGATAATGCATATTAAATAATAATATACGTGCTTAAAACGTAGTATATAAGGGTTCATGGTAGCTTGTAAATGAAATGTATAGATCTCTTTCTTAAACAGTATAATTCCAATTTAAGTTATCAATGTATGCACCATTGCTTGTGGCAGAAAGTATATCGCAGATTAGATGCCCAATTTTAAATTTTATTTTCAAGAAGGTTGCATAGTTTTGTTTTGTCTGGGGCTTTAAAATTATATTAAAATCTCCAGCAAGAATTATTCATTCGGTTACATTTATACAAGATTCTAATGCAATCAAGCATCATCGTTATTATAGCCTGCTGATATGGAGACTGACAAAACTAAACATCTGCGCATTGAAAACCATTAACTTATATGCCATCTTTGTCCAATTGTTTTAATTGATGTATTATGATGATGGGAGGCATTGGGTTCAGAGAAACAGAATAGTTTATAAAACACATTCTTCCGAAAGCCCTAGAAGAGAGAAAAAGAAATTGATGACTCTTGATCTTTTGAAACTCCGGAATAAAATGAACCAAAAAAGTGGGACACGAAAAAAAGAAAAACAGTAAAATCGGTTTACAGTGTAAAACCCCCTCTGGGGCCCTTTTTTTGTACTTAAAACTCCGGAATAAATTGAACCAAAAAAGTGGGACACGAAATTTTTTTCGCAGAAAAGCTAAAGGTCATTTTTTGAAAAATGCCCTAAAAAAGGTGTCAATCCCGACACTCAATTTGTGTATACCCGAATTTCGTGTCATTGTTTTTATTTTAACATGTGACCCGAAGGCTTATTCTATCATAGTACCAAAAAAAGTTTTCTAAGCTTATTTGAGGCGTTTCCAATGCTTCTTAAATTCTGAATAAAGACACTTTTATTACAAAATCCCGGCAGAGGGTCTATCTGCGTTTTTCTCTTTTGTCCATAAACTTTTTTTAAGTGACAATGCATTTTATCAAGGAGTCATTTCATAGAAAGGTAATAAAAGTCCTTGGAATTCACACCCATCATATGATTAGTAAATTTTATGTGCAGCCACTCGAGTCAAAAGCTCTAGTTTACTGTCGTGGGGCCACTGCATTTTTGTTGGGACTTTCATTTATAGGTTTTTGCATTTATCTGATTTCTCAGGTAACGTTATTTTACAAGGATAAGCTGTAAAGTCTAACTGTTAAATTAGGTGCTTTATAGCCGGCCAATTTTACAATTTTCAACTGAAAAAATTGATTTGAAGGAGATATCACCAACTCCAGATATGCGATTATGTTCTGTAAACTCCAACTTCATTATAGCGACATGTAGAATATTTTATGAAAATACTAACGATTCTGTTTACGTACCAAACTGTCAGGAAGCTCTACTTTCAGACCGAACTCACAAAAATATATATAAATGTTACATTTTCCACTTAGATAAAGCATTAGCCACGGTATCCCATGTGAGTGTTCCTCACAAAAGTGTGTCACAATTAATTGTATACTGGAAAAGAGAAAATATATCGAGTACGAGTTACATGCCACAATCTGTTCATTCGATTGAGCTCGCTTTGGTCGATCCAGACTATAGTCGCTTGAACCCTACTAATATAGATGAGTCGGATTTTTTAGTAACGTGTTGAACATTTCATGTAAAATCAAATATTCTAATTGTCAAGTCTTTATCCAGTTTAGCACAATAGCTACTTTTGGGGATGCTATAATAGCTGGTCCAGTCGCAATTTCACTTATGAATTACGCCCTTATAGTTTCTTATCATCCTCAACAATATCGACTTCTTAAATCATATAAGCTAGCAAACTTTTTCGGATTGGTGAGTATTAAACACAACAATAGCAGGATAAAAAGTAAAACTCATTTCTAATATTCATGAAATAATAGAGACCAGATTTTCTTGATTTTAATACGTTTGCAATTAGCACAGCTAGTAGCCCCTTACAATCGGACGAAATTTACCCTGATCTTGCTAGAGAGGTAACTTCTTCATCGACAATTGTAAAAATTCTCTCGATTAAAAATTTAAAACACCATTGCAATATATAGCTTTACGACGGTTTATTTGTTTTACGAAAAGATGCACGTATTAGAGAAATCAAGGTGAGAACACATTTTCAAAGTGGGTTTCACGTTTGTATTATTTATATGCCTTTACAAAGACTGAAGTAATGCAACACACTGTAATTTCGTCTATTGCTCTGGCTGGTGGTGGTTATAGCGTACTTACAGGAGTATACGTCCTATTATTTGGGATGTCAAAGGTATCTCCTTGGGGAATTGCTCATATTATTCCAATGTACGTCAAACGCAAGCAACAATCTAAAAAAAACGACGAAGAGAATGCTGACTCTATAAATGAGAAAATCGAGGAAGGTTTGGATTCAAAAAAAGGAAAAAGGTCATCCATCAATGATAGACTGCTCCCACACATTCTAGGCGCTAGGAACATATTCAAATTGAATTCTTTGCCAGGCAAAAAGTTTACTCCTCTCGATCCAACGGAGATGTCAAATCCCTATTCAAATGTTTCAGAGAGCATACCACAAGAAGCGTCTTTCATGCTACCAACTCATATCGACATTGATGAGAGTAATACAGTAACAAAGAGTGTATTACTAAATAATAAATGTGAAACGTCAAGTAAACCGAACAATATAAAAGAAAATCAAGACAGCAAAGAATTGATTAAACTTAGAAAAGAAACAGCGATGTTAGCAACTGAGATGAAGGAGTTAAAAATAATATTATCAGAATATTTCATAGATACAAAGTATATGGATCAGCTACGTTTTAAAAAGAAGCCTACCTCGTCTTCTGACGACCCAGAGTTAATTTTTAATTAAACTCATAGCGTGTAACGTTAGTTATGTAACACAATTACATATAATTCTAACTAGTTTTATGTCAATAAAAACCATGGTGCGCATGATTTGGATCGAAAAGCCCTAATATTGAATTTTGAAAACAAACAAATAGATAATATAGGCTTATTGCGCTGATCAAGTATTTCTGAAACTTTTAAGCGGTGATCAGGATTTGCACATTTGACTTAATACTAGTATGACGAAATGAGCAAGCATGGTGTTTGATGATAGTATAATTATTGTCTTGGCTATTTAAAATTTAATACTAAAACCAAATAGTTTGTCTTTTCAAACAAACTATGTATCATCAAACACTTTTAGACAGGGGTATTTTTATATTATCGATAAAACCATGAATCAATAGCTTGATATAGTTCCAAGCCAAACGCTTTTCCCAACCCTAACCAGGCGTCCCTAAGAAAATTGTATCAATACATTTATACAGGCAAAGAAATCTATTTTTTGATTTAGTTAGTATAGTGTAAAAACCTGATAACAGTGTTTCAAACAATGAAAATCATGCATGTATCATTGTGTACGATTGTATGGATTTTATTTTCTGATGTCGGGGATCAAACTCTATTTGGCATGTTTTTATTTATGCAAATGAGACAGTGTCGTGATGGGATTGATATAACAAGAATGACTTTCTATAAGCTTTCATTTATTGAACTTTCGTATTGCCTCTAAACCATTGTTTGAGGCGTTTGACTGGTTTTAGTTCAGGAGAATAAAGGGGAACAGATAAACAGGATTGTAACTGTACTGTTGATGGTAATTGGATCAAATATCACCAGGAACATGAATGTGCTGCATTATCAAAATATTTCTTAAACCAGGGTGATAGACTTTAAAAGTAAGAGTGTCAATAGTAAACTGAATATAAATAACCAATTTTGGTAGTTTGGGGCTGTTTCTCTCCCAGAAAAACCTTTTATTCTGTGCTGTTTGCTGTTTTCTTGGAATTCCCTGCGGTAGAGTCTCAAACCCACATTCATATATCGACTGCTGAAATAGCATTCAAGGGTGGTGTAAGGGGAAGTGGTAATAACACTATGGACCACAATTTTTCTTTTGAAAAAAAAACAAAGCGTTTCCATGGGATACGTCTGTATTACATCCTAACACATTTGAAAGAATACTTGTTATATAACACAGTCCAGATCTTTTTTGGATCCATTCGGTCTTTGACTTATTTCTCGTAACTGGATGGCGTGATTTAATTTTCTTTTTTACTTTTCTTTTATGGTCAGCGTTGAGTTCTCCTTTCGTCCAAACTCTTCATTCCATTATTTTGCGCTTTCTCTAGCTCTTCAGATGTTCTAACAAGACCATGGCCTATACTCTTGCTAACTTTTATTGAAATTCTTTAGATTAAAAAATTCAACAATAAGAGAGAGACTGTTAGACTAGCGGAGTTGCGATTATTGTAAGCCCTTTCTCGTGCAAGGTTGTGCAGCAGTACAATGCCCTTGGGTTTGGCTGTGATTGCAGCAAAGTTTGATTCGTAAAGTTTGTTTTCAAAGAGATGAAAAAGAGTATTTTATGTTTGTGGTTTAGAAGGTTTTTCAATTATTATTATTATTTTGTTTGGTCACTTTTGTATCCTTAATTAAACTCGACGCTAATGTAAAATATCCATCTTGCAGCTTTTTTTTTTTCGTTTGAAGTTTTTACCCCAAAAATAGCTACCTGAACTTGTGTCTAATTTTTTTCGTCTACCATGTTCTTCCCCTGACCCTTTTTTTAAAAAAAACTATTAGTAACCGAGCGACACCAATTTTTATAAGACAAAAAAAAAAGGCACCGTTTTAAATTTTCGAGTTCCGTCGACCAATTGGCAGTACAAGTGACAACGATGAGCTAGTAGGATAATAATAAAGATAAACGCACGTTAATTATACGGATTCATAACAGCTTGGCGAAATAAGACATTTATTTGCCCTGAAAAATATATAATCCAGGATGCCTTATGTCAAATTACACCTGCTTTTTTTTTTCTTTGCGCTTGGCTTACAAGTAATCTGCATAAAAATTTCAAAGACAGGTAAAATAAGTTAGTTCTCATGATAAGAAGCTACAAGTAAATAGAACATGTGTTTTTTTTAATGAAGCAAAAAAAAAAAAAAAAAAAAAAATGGGACCTGATGACTTCTTATTTAAGCTTTCACGTTTTTTTACAATATCTGGTAAAGGTTGTAATAAAAACAAAGCTGCGGATTGGGACCGAGTGATCTGGCGAGATAAACATGGAGTGGTGGTGGGGGGGTTAAGAGAGTGAGAGAGTGAAAATGGGGTGGCGGCGGCGTTTAAAGACGTGTCACTCCAAATTTATAAACAGGCTACACAAAAACTATGATTAAAAAAAATATAAAAAAATAAAAAACAAAAGACGATTTTTATTTAGACGATAACATAAGAAGAAAAATAAATTAAATTAGCAATAACAAGCAATATAGAAATAATGTTCGATAAGAAGGCTTAAAAAATTGCATTCTGGTGCAGAAAGGGTGTTGTAATTACAAGATATTGTGCTACCACGCACACACATATAAAAGATCCCGCCAAATATAAGCATAATAAATAGGATCGACCTTTCTTTATTTTCCACCCCTTTTTTCCTTCTTCTTTATAGAAACCAAGTTTAACAATATATGCCGGTTTTCTGTATATCATGAATTTGAACAATATTAATAGCAACACTATTATCACACCTTCAAAACGATCCTCACTTTCATCACGTGCGAGTAAAATACCACAAAAATTAGCACAATCATCTTTTTTTTCTTTAAGGCCCTCGACGAGTACCCTGGTTTTAAATAATGGAGGAGAAACAGCTTCCTATCAGAATGACAACAATAATAGACTGACGGCCAGAATTGGACAAATGTTATTTCGACAACGAACAACAAGTGAATCGGTTATCAAAGAAACCAAGCCATTTTCCACACATAATGCAGATTATTCGACCTTGTCACTTGGAAGAAGTAGCCAACAGTCTCGAAGTTTGGATCTTTCAAAGAATAACACAAGTGACATTACAACAGTAGTAGGTATTATGAAGACAATAAAGTGTAATATAATTACTAATAAAATATTCTAGTATGAAAAAAGTAATGATATACCAATTGATGATAATAATCAAATAGCAACAGCTTCTCCTTATTATTCAATTTCATCTCCTGAGAGAACAGACTTTTACTCGTATTATTATAACAGTACTACTGCAGCTGTTACTGCTGGTTCAGTAACAACAACAACAAAAGACGAAAATCCTTTATTTTCTCCTCTTTCTTTTTCAAACTCATCAGTTTCTTCTTTTACTGATTCCATTAATATGAATACGACACCACCACCTTCCCCCATGTCACCGATTATATCTAGCTCTAATACAACCGCTTCCACCGTATTGAAATCAGTCGATGAATTTGCTGATATTTTAATTGAACGTTGTACTTGGCTTTTAGATTTGTCTGACATTGCTTTTTCTCACGTCCGAGAAATGGAGACAATCATTGACCAAACACAGTTTTTAATAAATGCCTCCTCTACACAACAAGACACCGAATTAAATACACTGTTAAACCAATGTAAAACTACCATTGAAAACATGTATAATTCACCTGTACAGTTGAAGGATCAAGAAACATCAATAAAAGCGGTGGTAAAAGCAAACCAGTCAAAAACGAAATCATATTTAATATGAAAAAAACTGACATCATTTTCCTCTCTCTACCCCCCCCCTCTTTAAACATAGATGAAAGATATCAGAACCATCTGTCAAAGGTGCGTAAAACTATCCTCAAAATTACCTTCGCTTAGTAATTGCACAACCGATCACTTCAGAAAAGAGATTCCCAAAGTCATGACATCAAGCATCACCGCAGATGACTACAAATCCATGAAATCTGACCAAATCGATGAAAATGCCACATGGTTTAGGCATAACTTTGTTGGAAAACCTTATCAGACGTTTATTGGCTCGTTACAACCCATTGTTTCAAGATTGCCCTTAATCGATGTCGATAAAAAAAAGCAGCCTGTGCCCAAAAGAAGAAACAGTAAATCTCTCTTGACATCCTTTCTATCCTCTTCCACTTCACATCAACCCCAGTCGGAGGTCAGTCATCAGTCTTCGATCGGCATAATATCGGTCATCCAGGAACGCGCAAAGGATTTTAGTGGTCCAGGAAATGGTGCAGCTGCTATTCTTGGCTCACAATACCGTATTATTATCCGAAGTAAGCAAGTAAGTTAAAAAATAATAATTAACAAGCCCCCCATAATAATTTCAACATGATTAACATAATCCCACTTTCGAAAAAAAAAAAGCCTGAACAAGCCAGATTTATCATTCATGAGTGCATGGCCAAGGAAACTCAAAGCCAATTAGAATCGAGAGGCGAAAGTCATAAACTGAACAAGATGGTATCAAATGATTATAAAAGACTTCGACCGTTCAGTAGTAATAATAGTAATAATAGCAGTAACAACAGCCGACTGATGAATAGCGCCATTACTACCATCTCGTCAGAAAACCAAAATACATTTACATCCCGAATGATTCGTGCAGCGATATTGTCTGCTTGTCCAAATATAGATTTACGTTCATTTAAAGAGCTGTCGGCTGAATCAACTATTATGGCAGGCCTGGAAAAGGAACTGCTCAAGTATGACGAAATTCATGTAGGTTAAACATTTTTTTTTTTTTATTATTACAAACAATGAAAAGTTATAAGGAGAATTAAATGGAGAAAGGGGTTTTATTATTAGATTCCTAAACATTACAAGTTTGGTTTGCTCACGATTAAAAACAATCAAACAACAGAAGAAGCGTGGTTTTCAAATACGGGTCTGTCCAGTAACCTCTCACATTTTCTCTCGCTAATGGGTAAAAAAATCGATTTGAATGGTTACCAAGGTTATGCAGCTGGTCTGGATACAAAAAGTAAATTATTATATATTTTTGCGCGTTACGCCCTACCCCCCTCTTATTAAAAACAATATAATTTTAGCTGGCGAATCAGGTGAATTTGCTTATATCTCAAAATGGAACGATTTCGATATTATGTTTCACGTTGCACCACTTATGCCATCACAAGCAAATGATAAACAGCAGGTGCTGAGAAAAAAACATATCGGAAATGGTACATTTTGAACGATCTGCTTATCCATTTGATGTAGTCTCACACCTTCTTTTCTAGATATCGTTTGTATTGTATTTCTGGAAGGCGATCAACTGTTCAACCCAAAAGCAATTCGTTCACAATTCTTGCATGTTTATGTCATTATCAGACCTGAAGTGGACTGTCACAATAACAGACAATGGAGGTAAAAACACTTGATATTAGATTCATTTCGTTCTTTGCCCTCTTACCCATTTTATTCACACAAAAAAAAAAATAGAGTCGAAGTGCTAAGTAACAAAAATGTCGGTGAATTCGGCCCTTCGTTACCCAGCCCACCAGTGTTTAAAGACGATGAAACACTTCGAGAGTTTTTAACGTTAAAATGTAAGACTCCATTTGTAATATGTGCGACCGTCAACCTTGTTTAACCCCCCCCCTCCATAATTTTATCTAGTGATCAATGCGGAAAATGCAGCTCTCAAATCAGATAAATTTTGTGTGCCAAACAATAAGGCACGCTTAGGGTTACTGTCCAGTCATATCGAGACGGCCTTCACGTTCAATACGCCACAAGTCATGCGATCGGCTAGTACCAACCGACTGCTGTCTTCCTCCAGTAAATTCAACAAGTCCGCACCGTTAAAGAAGCATGGCGGCAAAGACGAAGAGGAGGAGCAGGACGGATTGGTTAAGCGTAGACCAAAGTCCGTCAACAACAATAAATCTACACATCATTTACAGAACCATGGTGGCGGATCACGACTTCTAAGGGAGGCTATTTTGGACGAGGAAAAAAGAAGGGTGGTGATCATGGCTAGCACAGATATACCCCCCATGCCTTCGGTTTCTAGATCTACCATATTACAGGATTTCAAAAAGGGGTTTTCAAGGAAAAAAACAACGAGCAGCAGTAGCTCTTTATCCCCTTCCTCCCAAGAACAGAAGAAGGTGTTGCGAAAATCAAGTCAACTCAAGATTAGCAGTATTCCAGAAGACACGGTTGCTAACAATACGAAAAAATTGAATGGTAAGTCAAAAAAAAAAATTGCAAAATTTACACCTAATATTAAGATGCATTGTTTGTTTGCTTTTTTTCTTATAGACGAAGAAATGTTCGTGGGCAAAGATATAAATATCTCGTCCGAGAGCTTTATTTCAAAAGAACAACTTTTCTCTATCACGTCTGAAAAGAGACCACCCCAATCACCCCAATCACCCGTTAAAACCCTTACACCAAAATTTATTATAACTACATCTGCCACTACTACTACTACTACAACTACTTCTACAACAGCTACCAATACCAGCAATCCGAGCTTGTCTTGGAGATAATAATAATAATAAAAATTAGTATCCTAATTGATAACAGAAACTTTCTCTCACTCCCATATAAGTTTTCAAGTCCTGAACCGGGCTGGCGCATTCATCCCCGCTCCCCTTATCTCTCCTTCGCGGACGAAGGAGAAAGCTTTGCGAAAAGAAGTGTCATGGCTTGATATGGAAATTTATCATGTATAATTTGTATTGCGCCACTCAATAAAAAGTTTATTTATGAAAGCTGTTAGGAGAAGTCAGGTAAAAAAATGAGATTATATCCTGTTTTTGAAATGCAAGGATTCTGTGTATATATTGATCATTGTGTACTTGCTAAATCTCATATCACACTCATGGATAAGCTATTTCTCTCCTTTAAACTTTTTATTTGCTTTTGTCATATATCTATCTCGGATAGAACGTGACCAGAACTGTTTCTTGATGTAAAAGCGTTCCATTATTACAACTGTATTTTGACCTGATAGTTCATTGTATATTTGTTTTCTATTTTCATGTCCATGTCTACATCTACGTGATGCTTCATGAAACCTGATCAGTTTCTTTGTAATAGCCTTGTAACTATTGCTATATGTGTTGCTAAAACATTGACAGCCATATAGTATGCGCGTGTAGCGCTGCATGTATGTATGCGTAATGTTATGCGGGTTGTTACCGTTGGTGGGCGGTGGGCGTCCAAAAGGATCACGTGATTACAAAAACACCACACCATACATTGAAAGTCAAAAGCATTATTGGGGGTCTGGGTTATAGGATCTTCGTTATTGATCCCCAATGCAATGAAAACCTTTCCTTACGAAGTGTTGAGAAACATTGGCACGTTTTTAAACCAAGTGGAACAAAAAGAATGTTCGCGCGTGTGTCATTCGTGGTTAGCTCCGTTTCGGGCTCTTGTTTTCCAAAAGGCTGTCTTACTTCACCTTTCGCAATTGCAGCGATACAATGAGCAAGCAGCGTCGTTGAGGAGACTAACACAATCGCTTCATATAAATGTGCCACTGACAGATGCCATGTTGCTCGATTTTGCAGAGGCCAGTCCCAATGTGCACACGTTGACTTTATTTGTTAATTTGCTCAACAACCTTTCGATTCCCAAAACGTTGACGGTCATTCGTACGTACTGGCTAAAGAGTTTGACCAAGATCCGTATGGATGGACTTTTGCTTCCTGAAGTATTGCCTCTGCTCTGTCATCAATTGGAGGATGTGACGGGCGACTGGCGTGGATTTTATGACGAGAATAGACAGATCATCCCGATGCCCAAGTTGAGGATATTGGATATTGAAGATGATTACAGTGCCAATGAACGGATGCTGTCCTCCAGACTATTGAACAGTATTCGTGTTGCCTACCCACAGCTTCGAAAATTGTCTGTGGGCTATTTCTTTGTGGGGACGGAACTAATGGAGGAGGAAGGGGAGGAGTGGGAAGGTGAGTATGCACCGTTTCCCTTTGTCAGGTCATTTCATATCATGAATTGTGACGAATTGGATGATGCGTACCCTAGTTTTCGGAAATTGTTCAAGGGCCTGAAGGAGTATTCGCTTGTAAGGTCAACACCGCAAGATGATGAAGAGATTCGGTTGAAGACGTATGCGGATTTGGTTGTGGATCATCCAGCGATTCATACTTTAAAAATTGATCATTGCACAAAAGACCCCGTAGGTCTTTTCGATGTGCTTTCTAAATTGAAGGACTTGCGATCGTTGCATCTGGAATTGACGGGAGAGACAGGCGTGATTACGAAGCGGTATCGTATCAATCTATCGCAGCTTTTATTGCGACTTCCCCAATTGAAGAAATTAAACATTTGGGGTCTGGCGCATATTGGTGTGGGAGAATCGCTTGAACATTATTTATGCGGAACCGCGGGATTCTTCGATGCGGGCTGTAAAGAAGAGGACGAGTATGAATCGCCGGAGATGATGTCGAGGGTAGCGCCCTGTGTGACATACGATTCTGATGTGTTTGTAGGTGACCACCCTTACTTTGGCAACGGGGAAGAGCTGATGACTGAGGGACTTCGTGAGGTGGTGGTAAAGAAACATTTCCCGGAAAACGATCGATGGCCTGTGTATGGCAGGCTCAACTTTTCTACAAGCCACATGGTGCCAGGATTCACATGTCAGTTGACCAGTTTACATCTTACCATGACAACGTTACGAAATCCCACTTTTCAGTGGCTGGCGTTGCATTGTCCCATGTTACAAGAATTGTTTGTTCTTCAGTCTGAGCCGTACCCTTATTTTGTGGTGGAGTTAGGTGAACGATTACGTACGTTTGAATGGTCGTTTGACGAACGCTATATCAAGTATGGACCACCTCCGTTAGTGACTTTAAATGGAAGCCGTTATTTCCGATACATAAGCGTTACAGGCTATGTCCAGGTTGAAACGGACAGTTTTCAGGATACGTCGTTTCGAATTGATATCCATCATGGACCCAAACTGGCAAGTTTAAAAATATGTGAACACACACTGTCTATAAATAGCATCCAAGAATAATAATAAAAAAAAAAGAGAGAGGGATCTACTACTTTATTGTTACACTATGTTTCCCATACTTCCATTTTTGCTAATGAAATATTATAAAAATAAAAAAAAAAAAGGATTCTTGTTATTTAAAAATCGGGGGTATTTGCACGAGGTTGTGGTGGAGGAGTGTGAGTGGAGAAACGAGAGGTGCTGTTATTATTAGAACGCTGTGTGTTCAGAGCGGTGGTAGATGATTTTTTGTTACTCAGTGATTGCGATTTAAGATAATCGGGTGTGGTGAGATACACCACACTGTTTCGACCATCGGTTAATGGCATATTGGGATCGATCTCAGTGAAGGAGGAAGCTGAATCGTTTTCGTTCATCATGGCGTATTTAGCAAACTCTTCATTATCGCCAAAGAATTTCGAGATCTTTTCATGTTCCTTCCTTGATTGATAACGATGCAAGACCCAGAGAATGCCCAGAATAAAGCAAACAAATATAATCACACACGCACCTAAAACACCCCAAAGCCATGCTTTGATTTTACGGAATACATCGGGTCCTGTAATACATACGTCGTTGTAAGAGCATGTGTTGGATAAGCATTCACGATCCTGTTGGCAAGAGGATTGTAATGGCTTGGAATCAATACAGGTAAAACGTCCATCTAAGTCACAATAAGTGCCTTCCGTACAATTGTCTCGGATAATCGTTTGTTGAATGGCATCACCAGCAGCGTCGTAGGAAGTATATGTTGTACTAAAAAAATGTAAATGTAAAATGTATTTGTTATTGTTACTAGTCTGATAAGAATAGGTCTGCCACTTACGTATCGGCACCGCAATTTCCGCCGAGTGGCGCGCCTTTAATAAAACAAATCGAATTCAAACAAATCGAAGTGGTTCCAGTACACTCATCATCTCTTTGCTATTTTATCACAAATATACATTTTTTTTTTTAGTTCTGAGAATGGTGATTGGAAATTAAAAAAAAAAGTGTTACCTGTTCACAAGACGATCCAATTGGAACAACGGGTGAGCATTGAGATCCGTTGTCTGGGCAATATGTGGAACCGTTACATCTGGTCGGGTAAGGTCTAAGTGCTAAATCCCATCTTTTTTTGTTTTATAAATAGAAATAAAATTAGTTGGCCAAAAAAAAAGAGACGTGTATATCAAAAAAAGGGAGCTTTACCCTTGGATAAAATCAGCATTGGAACATCCTTTATAATTACATGTTGCACTCGCTGGGTCACAAAATAGATACACATCATCGCAAGAATCATCATATTGCGAACCTTCTCTACAGTTTACAAGACATTTAGGTTTTGTTGATTGAAGTAGTGGCGAGGAAAAATTTAGATATAAGCATACCTGTACATTGGTGTAGGATCACACATTTGGCCGAGGCCTAGTGACGCTACCGTTTGAACCGAGAAAAAGATCAAACTGGAAGCTATACAAAACTTTCGCATAGGTAACAAAAAAAAAAAAAAAATGTAAAGAAAGAAAAAAGAAATGATAATGATAATGAAAATAGCTTTTTTTTTTACTGAAAAAAAGCGGACTTTTTGACATTTTAGGTAACCCCGTTCTTATTTTTTTTTTTACACTCTCTCCTTCCAAAAAAGAAAGTTTATTCTTGTTTTTTTTTATAAATCTACACAGGTGGATCCATCGGTGACAACATCCAATACTTTATAAAAGCAGTCAAAGCCGCCGTGTTCCTTAAATAAGGCCATGGCAGCTTGAGCAATGTCATCAAAGTTCTTTGTAGCCAAGGCTAAAATAGTAGGACCTGCTCCCGAGAGACAGATACCGAGTAAACCGTCATATTTTTCATAGGTGATGGTGGATAAGATCTCTGGAAGACCGGGGATTAAAGTCTTACGGTAAGGTTGATGGATTTTATCTTGCATAGCATTGTAGATCAATTCAGCGTTAGGAGGCGATTGGCCCAAAGCAGTGGTCAACACGGCTAATCTTTGGAAATTAAACACCTGTCCCAAATGTCATATTTTTTTTAGTTCGCCCATTTACACAAATACACTCTTCTTTAATTACTTACAACGTCTTGTCTCTCGTATTGTGTGGGGAGTACAGCTCTAGCTTTTGCTGTGGCCACTTGGAATTGAGGAACAATAGCAATACACTTGATCTCCTTAGCCCAACCTAAATTGACATAATGTCCAATACCGAGAGGTGGTTGAGGCACTTGTTGGGATAAAGCAATTTCTAACAAAGATTCGGATGCAGGTACACCTTCCATATCCTTGGGATCTAATTCACGCAAGTAAGAAGCGACAAATCCACCCATTAATGCAGCAGCCACGTTATCGGGATGACGCTCAATCATTAAACAGTAATCTAATAATCTATCTCTACTAAGCTTCAACTGACCCAAGGCATTACCCAAAAGAACACCACCGACGACAGCAGCTCCGGAAGAGCCAAGACCACGGCCAAGAGGGATGGGGTTATCGACATGGATCTTGAGAGGTTGAGGAAGGGTGGAGATGCCATTGGCTGAGAGAACGTAGAGAGCTGTCTTGGTGATCAAATTTTGTTCGGGTGTCAAAGGCACATCTTTGGCGCCTTCTCCTGAATAAGTCATCTCAAAGGCCTTGCCTTCCTTAAGCACTTCTACATCAATGGTCAAGTATAATGAAAGGGAAATACCCAATACATCGAATCCAGGGCCGATATTAGCGGTGGAACATGGTGATTTAATACGGAACTTTCTAGGCGTATCCATTTTATATTGTTTTAACTTTTTTGGAGAAAAAGAGAAGGGAGGGAGAGAGAGAGAAAAGGAAAAATAGATGTTGTTTTTGTTATTTGATAGGTACCATCCTTATTAAAAACTCAGTTTGTGACTGTCTTTAAGCATGAGCCGTTCTTTGTCACAAAGAGGTAGTACAGAGATCCAAGCATGTTATTGGATTATACAGTTAATCCAATAAATTATGTCGTCCAGGCCGAACAAAATGTCGCCCAGTCAGAAATAAAATGTCGCTTAATTAGAAGTAAAATGTCGGCCCAACCGGAATTAAATTTCGCTCCTACAAGAACAAAATGTCGTCCAATCAGAAATAAGTTTTCGCTGCCACAGGAATAAAATGTCGCTTAGTTTTTCTAAGAAAGCTTTTGATACCTTTTTCTTATAATTTCTATTGTAGCCTTACGAGATGAAGAACTCTTTTTTTTTTATGAAGATGGACAAAACAATATTTATAATGAAAACGGTCAATTAAGGTATGTTTCTATGGAGGATGTCATGTCAACTATCGACGATCCCAATATTGTTCTTGAAACTTTGGTTAATCATTCTTCTTATATGAAGAATAAGCCATTGGAAAAACAACCGACTGAAAACAAAAAGTCAACTACTTCAAAGCCAGTGAAATTTGCCTCAAAGAGGAATAATGTGGACTATAGCATTAATCAGAGGACAACATTCATCGATCGTATGATCGAATTACCTATGGGACAGAGGTATGCCGCTGTGGTCGGGAGAGAACTAGGTGTCAAAAAACGAACTGCTCAACGTTGGTGGAGAAGCTACAAAGAGATTGGCGAAGTGCCTGTGGTAAAAACGTAGATTTTTACACTGAAAAAATAAAAAAGAAAAAAAAACGAGTTCTTTAAAGTTCCTTTTTATTATACAAATTCAACCCAAATTTGTTACACATGGCATATGGCGTTTTATATACTGAATTTTTACAAACATTCATATTCAAGCACGACTAGGTAAGAAGACTAGCGTAGCAGTGACACTTTTCAAAAACCAAAGTAGAAGCTTAGAAGTTATAGAGAAGAGACCAGAAAAAAATATGGGCTCCAGAGGAGACATTCTTTTTACACTCCAAGGTCAAGGAGCTAGGATTCAGTAAAGTTGGAAAGGACGCAGTACTTCTTATCGATGACAAGTACCTTAATGATGGGTTGTTGAAACTATTAAAGATGCTAAGATACATTTTCTCTGTCTTTGTGGAAACAAATCATTCTCAAATTAGTCAACTCGTAAAGAGAAAATAAAGTGGTAGTTGAAAACCAGTTAATTAAATCAATGTAATTGTTAACTAAAATAAATTCAATCAAGCGTACAGTTGTTCTAATGCCAAAGGGCGTGTTTTTAAAGGCTGTTTTTTAAAAGTTAAAGGGCGGTTTTTGGTATTCCTACTTGAACTCACTATACCCGAGGATATACCGACCAACCAACATAGATACTATATGACTTTGATTGCGACGATCCAGTTTGCTATCTGGAAGTACTACTGGCAGTTCTGCATTCACGATACGTCGTTTGTGGCCGTTCCATACTAGCCTTCATTTTGCAGCAATACCACCTAACTGTCGACGTTCCCTATGTTGATTAATGAGATATTTGGTAGTTAATACCGTTATGTCGTATTCTGTCATATCGTCTTCGTTTTGAAATGTAGCCATTAGCTCTTTCGGAAGTCATATTCTTATATGCCAATACTATTTCGATTTATATATAATCTCGCCACATCCCTCCGCGATGTGTGACGTTTAATAACTTTAATAAAATTCTTTACTTTTGCTACAAAAAAAAGCGCACTTAAAATGATATGATTAGCGTGCATGAGTTATTGATTGACGGTGAATGGACAAGGTCGCTTTCTGTTTTTCGTGCTGCTAGTAAGCTCTCTAAAGATCTCCTCACTCATACCTGCACGCATGTTTGACTTTAAACTATCAATATCATTTGCCAATTGACAATGATTCTTATATAAATGGTGAACAGATAAAAGGTCTTCACAAACGGCAACATATAGTCTGAGTTGAGTAGCGTCTCTAGGCATACTTATGGTGCAAATTTCAATCATTACATAAAGTCCAGAATCAAGCAAACAAGTAAAATAGACTGTCACTATCAAGCCTACAAAGTAAGTTTAGTTAAAAGTCCATAAAATTTTAGCAATAACCTACCAACAGCGTGAATACCAATCACACCTTCATAGAAATTACTGTCAATGGATTGTTTAGAGAATCGGCCAATTCTAATCAAGTCTAAAAGAGTCGCATATATATCATCTTTTGTATCTTCACCCTTTACTTCACCTACGGTAATTGGGCCGTTCCATACAACGTTATTTAGTATTCTTCCTACAAAATCTGGCCTTTGAATTGAATTGTTTATTTGAATATCGCACCTGTAAATATCATTCACTGGTTAGTTCTTCGTATACCCAAATTCTTTTAAGTAATAGCTTACCATGAAAATTGCTTTCCTGAATCAGTATCTTCAATGATAGGACGAAAAATAGAATCAACGTAAGACCCACACAATGTTCTTTCTTGGATTTTTCCTGTAAATTTTTTTCTTGGTAATCTTTCCGTACTAATGAAAAAATTACGTCAATACATAAGCAAAAAGCAAAAAGCAAAAAGCGTATTATTATTATGATACTAACAGGTTTCTCAGACCAATCAAAATGTCATCTACAGCGGTATCAACATTTTCTGAAGTCAGTGACATGATACATTTAGAAGCTTGTCTTGATCCAAGTTTTCCTTCGCCAAAATTCTACACAAGAGTCATAATTAGCTGCGCTTTTCGCCTTAAAGTTTAAATCAAATGCCCAAATTTACCTTTACAATCAATTTTAACTCTCTCTCTAGATTCACATCAAGTGTTTCGCATTCAATACGATATTTTTTTGAATGTGGTTTGTCAAGCTTTGAATCATATCAATTCCCAAGATATTTTTCACATCTTCGCATATTTGATCTTTCTTTAAAAGCAAAATATTGTCTAATGCCAAGATGCCTTGTGCATCTGTTTCTACCAGTAAGCCGGTTTGATAATACTTCTTGGCAACCATAACTTGATATTCTACCCACTTTTCTAAAATTACTTTTCCATCAATAACAAGACTATCTGTTGGAGGAACACGCTTATAATTCATATCGAACGATTGCTTGTCATTGTTTTGAAGCTGGGTTGATTTTTTGCGTGAAGATTGAGGTGCTGGAGAATTGTACACTGAGCCATTGAAACTGTTCAGGGAATGATTGATGGAGCCTATATTGATAGTTGAAGAGCTACTCGGTCTTATAAAAAAATATAGTTAGAGTATTATGTTTCTTCACATATAAGGAACTTTACTTACGTTGCATAATTTGAGGGTTCTGACGACGATGTTCGATGCGACTCAGTCGTGGGTGGTGGTAATTGAGCAAGATAATTGTTTTTCATAGTCTGAATATTGTATTAGTTTTATTTCTCTGCTTAAACTTTATCTCTTTTTTACTTGCATTCCAATCGTGTTTCCATTTGCTCGCTTTTTCGTTGTTATGAAAATTTAACTCTTGTCTTAATGCATCAAACGCACTCTCCAAAGAGCAATTTCCTTTTTCAATGCGCTTGGCCGCGATAGCTTCATCAAAGTTCCAATAACTGTAGACAGTTTTTGTTAAGTATGACATTTGAGGAATAGGGAGTTTGATTTATGAAGTCCTTTTTTTTTTGTGATTTCAATACAGTATTTTAGTCTAAAAGGAGACGATCTGAGATTGAAATACTGTATTATTCACTAGATTTCACAAAAGAGCGCTGTTGATTCAAGCGCATTATGCCGTCACAATTGACGTAACTATTATTTATTTCACTAGACTTAAAATTTCCGTAGTAAGCAATTTTTAAACACTTTACAAAGTTACATCAAGGGTGCCACTTTGGCTTGGTCAGTAGTTATAGCTGCGAAACAGTAGTTCTGCGTTACTCGGGTTTGCTACGACTCTACACGTTTTGTGCTCTCAAGGTCCTTTGGTTACTTGGCATCTTTAATGCTTAGGAGCCATAGATCTGACTTACGAGGCAGCTTGCAGCAATGTTGAATAGAAGCATTTCTTGTTTTCCATTGCTGATTCAGAGACATCCAAGAATTTTGTTGTCGATAACAAAGTTAGGCGGAAAAGATTTGTAGTTGCGTAGCCATTGGTCTGACATGGAAGGTTCTATAGTTTGTTATCGATTTCGATTGGGAACTATAGGTCTGACTTACGAGGCAGCTTCCAATACAGTTGAAGAGTGAAAATGTGATGTATTCGTACACACAGGTTCATCCTGTATCATTAATTGTCATCTTGAAGTCTTGTTACAAGATGGGAAAGAAGATACTTTGCCACTCAGAGATTAATACAAACTGCTGTTTTGGCTACTGCTTTACAAGTATTGTTCCAAGTCAATTTGGTATCCAGACTCACATAGCTAAGTATAAATTCTTTTGCGTAAAAAAAGCATTATATTGAATTCGTCTTCTGCTAGGGAAAATGAATATCTTTGTTCAGATTATTCTCCAAGAACTATAACAAGAGTTCCATTTTGGCTTGGTCAGTAGTTATAGCTGCGAAACAGTAGTTCTGCGTTACTCGGGTTTGCTACGACTCTACACGTTTTGTGCTCTCAAGGTCCTTTGGTTACTTGGCATCTTTAATGCTCAGGAGCCATAGATCTGACTTACGAGGCAGCTTGCAGCAATGTTGAATAGAAGCATTTCTTGTTTTCCATTGCTGATTCAGAGACATCCAAGAATTTTGTTGTCGATAACAAAGTTAGGCGGAAAAGATTTGTAGTTGCGTAGCCATTGGTCTGACATGGAAGGTTCTATAGTTTGTTATCGATTTCGATTGGGAACTATAGGTCTGACTTACGAGGCAGCTTCCAATACAGTTGAAGAGTGAAAATGTGATGTATTCGTACACACAGGTTCATCCTGTATTATTAATTGTCATCTTGAAGTTTTGTTACAAGATGGGAAAGAAGATACTTTGCCACTCAGAGATTAATACAAACTGCTGTTTTGGCTACTGCTTTACAAGTATTGTTCCAAGTCAATTTGGTATCCAGACTCACATAGCTAAGCATGATGTTATACATTTTCCTTAAAATCAGTATAATCCATTAGCCGTGTCGCATCACTCTCACTTTAACCGCCCTCACAAGCTAAATTAATCTCATGCTTGGTGTCTAGAAATTGCTAAAGTAAGTTAATACTATAAGTTTTGATGCATGTTTTGTGATAACTTATGAGCTTATTTGTCTGAAGAATCCTCCTGATGATATTGAAATTATGTACTGATTTTTTAATTCAAGCGACCGAACAAGACAATAAGGTTGATTTACATATGGCTCATACTTTGACGCAGTTGTAAATATACATAAACGCCAACATGGTGTAATGAGTTACTAATATCATATATTTATTTAGACCACCTGCGTTTGTTGCTGGTTCTCATGATAGTTCGATCGAAGACTCTTATGCGTGCCATTATTTAGCACCCATACTTTAGTTAATTTATAGTACGGATAAAAAATTCACTGTTTAATGGTAAGTTGGCAGTTTTTGTGGAAATAGAAGACTAATCTACATGCATTTGATACATTTTCATAGGGCCAATGACGCCTCATATGAAGATCCAACATTTGAACCTGACTTTCAGGGCTTTAACCTTATCATTAATATTAGATGTATCGTTATTGTGGCAGAATTCAAACTCAAGTCTCGTAGAATCTGACTTGATCAAATTAGGAAAACAGATCTACAGTCCGCGGGCTTTTATGTCAAGGTAAAAAATTTAAACACACATGTATTGGATATGCCATCTCCTTACACATATCGAATGTAGAAACATTGAAGAATTACATTTGTCACCTGCCTTCATTTATAAGCTTATTCAAGTTAAAGTAAGTACATAGTGTTTGATTAAAACGTTTATATCTTGCTGACCTTAATTTCTTTTGTAAATAATACAAACAGAATATCACTCTTGAAAATGTAAAAAAGCAGAAGAGTGCATTATAACAGCAAACAGTTCAATGTATCGTCAACTATGCAGTTCTCCGGAATTGTGGCTTTCCTATAGTTCATGTTAATTATTAAGATCAAGCAAAAAGAGATAACCCAGTGACTAACCAACAGAATTTTTTAATCAATTATCAAATCAACTACAATAAACTGTAACTCGTTTTCATTATGATTAATGAATTATACGCTAATCATCAACTATTATCGTTATTGCAATATATATTTAAACTTCTTACATTGCCATATTAAGCATAATCGTCAATAGTCATTCCACATAAAAAAAAAACCAGCAAACTTGAATTTTTTTGTTTTATTTATATAATCAATCACATCCCAAGATCTTAAATAAAAAAAATCTGTTATTTTTCTATATATGTGTAAAAGTGCATGCGTATTTATTTAAAATAAAGACTTTGTAAAAATTGATGGCCTTGAAGTAGATGTGATGCATCGTACTAGCCATTCTACTGCATAATTCAAACATAATGTTCTGTATCACTGTAACAATCTCATACTTATTGATAGCTTTACTCTCTCAGTCGTTCCAAAAATAAGAAATATATTTGCTTAATCTTCTTTTATTTAAAAATAAAATGTTCTTGATGATATTTAATCTTCTTAGAACGAAGAAAAGGGAAAAAGGAGGGAGATGTCATTTGTATTATTTTTTATTCTCATGTCTAAATAACCAAAAATCCGCCCTTTGGCATTAGAACAACTGTACGCTTGATTGAATTTATTTTAGTTAACAATTACATTGATTTAATTAACTGGTTTTCAACTACCACTTTATTTTCTCTTTACGAGTTGACTAATTTGAGAATGATTTGTTTCCACAAAGACAGAGAAAATGTATCTTAGCATCTTTAATAGTTTCAACAACCCATCATTAAGGTACTTGTCATCGATAAGAAGTACTGCGTCCTTTCCAACTTTACTGAATCCTAGCTCCTTGACCTTGGAGTGTAAAAAGAATGTCTCCTCTGGAGCCCATATTTTTTTCTGGTCTCTTCTCTATAACTTCTAAGCTTCTACTTTGGTTTTTGAAAAGTGTCACTGCTACGCTAGTCTTCTTACCTAGTCGTGCTTGAATATGAATGTTTGTAAAAATTCAGTATATAAAACGCCATATGCCATGTGTAACAAATTTGGGTTGAATTTGTATAATAAAAAGGAACTTTAAAGAACTCGTTTTTTTTTCTTTTTTATTTTTTCAGTGTAAAAATCTACGTTTTTACCACAGGCACTTCGCCAATCTCTTTGTAGCTTCTCCACCAACGTTGAGCAGTTCGTTTTTTGACACCTAGTTCTCTCCCGACCACAGCGGCATACCTCTGTCCCATAGGTAATTCGATCATACGATCGATGAATGTTGTCCTCTGATTAATGCTATAGTCCACATTATTCCTCTTTGAGGCAAATTTCACTGGCTTTGAAGTAGTTGACTTTTTGTTTTCAGTCGGTTGTTTTTCCAATGGCTTATTCTTCATATAAGAAGAATGATTAACCAAAGTTTCAAGAACAATATTGGGATCGTCGATAGTTGACATGACATCCTCCATAGAAACATACCTTAATTGACCGTTTTCATTATAAATATTGTTTTGTCCATCTTCATAAAAAAAAAAGAGTTCTTCATCTCGTAAGGCTACAATAGAAATTATAAGAAAAAGGTATCAAAAGCTTTCTTAGAAAAACTAAGCGACATTTTATTCCTGTGGCAGCGAAAACTTATTTCTGATTGGACGACATTTTGTTCTTGTAGGAGCGAAATTTAATTCCGGTTGGGCCGACATTTTACTTCTAATTAAGCGACATTTTATTTCTGACTGGGCGACATTTTGTTCGGCCTGGACGACATAATTTATTGGATTAACTGTATTTTACATGATAAGAATTAAAAAAAGACATGCTTTTGCATTGAAGGGGAGGTTTGTCAGAAAACAGATTTTAACAAGTTGGACTCCTTGATTTTTTCTCACCCTTGCTTTTTGTTTTTGTTTTATTATGTAATTTTTATGTTACGATGAATGACGTGACTTTTAACAGCTTATGAATGTCCGATATGATAAAGAAAATTGCGTCGTGCCTGGCATAATAAGAACAAAAGGTTCTCCTTGCAACAAGAGCAAGAAAAAATAAAATTGACATTGATTGTTGTACAAGACAAAAAAGAGGGGGGGCAAAGCTCAAACTTTAGGGACACGAGGTGACTTTCTTTCACTGACCTGTATTACTTGCCAGAATAAGAGAGCACCCACAGACCTAAATATATGATAAAAAAAGAGTGTGTTATGGGATCTACCCAATCATGCTTTCATTGTGGAACCCAAGTGCTACAGCATAATGTGACTTTTTTAATATAAACTCCATTTGAAGATAACAGCTTACTTGAGGTTCCACCAAGTTTATGGTCTTTGTTTGCGTTGTACGTTTTGGGGAAGGGAGAGAGAGGGAAGAAACAAGGTGAAAAGGGGGAGGTGCTAAATTTAGATATGCAAGTCACAAAAAGACGTCACACAGAGTCGATTTCATTTAACATGTTTTGAGCTTAAGGAAAAGAGCATATTCCATAGAAAGGTACATTTTTTCCATGAGTGCTATATGTGTGTGGGGAATACTTTGGCTGGGTAAAAGAAATAGCTAAAACATTAAAAAAAAAAAAGCATTTTTAGTGTTTAGTGTTATTATTATTATTGGGACACGTGGGATAAATATTAACCACTGACGCTAAAATAGCTTATAAATTCCTTCTGAATAAAAAGAAGTCCAGGTTGCATGAAAAAAAAACCAGAGTGGGAATAGTGGGCTGATTTTTGGTTACTCTCTTTTTTTTTTTATGCTTTATGAAATTGATGAGAATAGAAAATAGAAGGCGTAGGGCGAAGGGCGAAGGGTGATTGGAACTGTGTTGAAAAATAGAGAATCCCTGCTTTATTAGAAAAACCGGTGTTATTGGTCAAAATAGTAAAAAATAAAAAGAGATTGGTACTCCCCCAAATAAGATGGCATTATAAACCTAAAAAAAAATTGGTATTTAATTCTCCCTTTTTTTCAGCTTTATTCTTTTCCTTCTTTTCCACTTTTTTTATACATTCAAAAAAAAACAATAAAAAAACAAAAAAAATCTCCCAAACATGAGTCCTGTAGTCCATAACAACAACAATAATTCCATTACATATTATAACAATATGCCTCATTATCATCACCAAGGTAAATAATGATATACATAACATGTAAAAAAATTCCCTAATAACTGACTCGTGTTTTTTTGTTTTGTAGTTGCATCACCTACTTCTGCTCCCTCCATCACAACGGCAGCAAGACTAGGTCAAATCCGGGCGCAGCTGGAACTTGCTCGAAATTTCTATGATGATTTTGAATTTTGTCCGGTGCAATGTTCTACGGAGGTGATGGAACATCGTGATCGTGTCCAACAAAGACTATCGCCCCAATCATCTCCAAATACCTCTCCCTCCATGTCCTATGCTAGCCGTAGTAGCACCAGTAGCATGAGTAGCATCAGTAGTCATAGCAATAGTAGCAGTAACAATAGCAGTGGTCATAACACACCCAAATCAAGACGGGCTATTCCCATCATCGATCCTTCGAATATGGCTCCTGTTTCTGTACCTACGCACCACTACATGATGAAATCTTCCGGTTCTCCTACTTTTACTCAACAACAACATCATCATCAACATCATCATCAACAACAACAGCAATTTTATAACTATAACGTCCTTGTTCAATAATTTCCCTCCATTTTTTGTTTTGTTATCTCTATTTGTTAAATACTACCACATATACCTTATATTGTTTGTTTTTCCCTTTTTTTCGCCCTATTTTTCCCTTTCCTGTTTCATTTAATTATTTCTCATACATATATATAAAAAGTGTACAGCAATAAAATAAAAAAATAAAATTCCTTTTTGTTTATCCAATACTTGTTTTCGTCGCACTAATGTCAATAAGGTTACGCCCTAAATAAAAAAAAAAGATCCTTTTTTGTGTCCATGGGCCTGTTGGGGAATTTGCCAAAAAATCGATTTATGTAGCACGATTGTTTGGGGGGTGAACACTCTCTTTGTCGGTCATTTAAAAAAAGGTAGTTGTTTCTCTGTTAATGATAAAACACTCTTTTTTATTAAAGGATGTTTAACCGTGCTATAGGTAAATAGTATTTTCTGATAACAATTCGGTCCTCTGTCCGAGTTTGTATCATTGTTTTTTTTATTATTATTATTTTTCGATTAATTAAACCATCCTGAACTCCCCCCGCAAGCTGTTTCTTGTTTATCACTTTGGATCGTATAAATAAAAAGACAGAACTTTCTCACCATGCTTTTGCCTTTTTCTCTCTTTTTTTTTTACACCATACAAAGCGTGTTTTCTTCTTTATACTAAACTCTTTTGTATGGGCACAGGATTCTCATCTACAGACTCCTCAGGACGATTGCCCAAATCGATGGCAAAAAGTAAGTCAACATTTGCATTATGTCACTTTTATCTATAGTATTTTGCATAGACCGAACCTCGGTTAAATGAAATGTATCGGTTGTGTATTTGATAATTTCGTCAAACACCTAAAGGTTCACGGATTGCTTCAATAAAAGAGCTTAAAAAAGGTATTTTCATTGTGGATCACACTAAAGTCTCGCACAGACACGGACGAACAATTGTCGGAGGAGAACAAGGTTAGATTAGGACGCTGGTCCCCCCCCCTCCCCTCAGAGTGTACAATCATGAATAACAACAACACGGACGATTAGCATCATTGTCAACGGGATTATTGTGGTCAAGAAAAAAATCAGCGGTTGCTATGTGGATTATCAACACCCCTGGAAACAGAGCCAAGACGGAGGACAGCCAGCAGTGAAATGGAGCATCTTGGCAAAGATGCAAAGACTTTGAGTTGAAAAAGCACGTAGTTATAGCCCCCACTTGAATATCTATAATAAAATACTGTACATCCATGGGTATTTGGGGGGAGGGTCCCCTCCAGACACTTGTCAGTGCAGCCTCCCTCGTATGCCATGCCGTCCATGTGACATCCTTATAAACACAGAATGCCAAATGGCGGAGTTTACGCCATTTTTGGCGGTTTGGTGATATCCAATCAGCTTGCTACATATACAAAATAACGTTTTTGTTTATTTTGTCCTACCTTCCTTTTGAAAAATGGGGGTAAGGTTTAGGTCATGCTCTCTCCTTTTTTTTTGACTAGACTTTATTTGGAAGGTTAGTCAAACATTTGGGATATTTTTTATTAAACGTTATCCGTTTTTGTTTCAATGATTTTGATATCACGTTTTAAATAAAAAGGCCTTTTTAGATCTATCGATCGTAAAAAAAGATAGTTTGTATAGGAGTGAAGAGTATTTTCCTCCTTTTAAAAAAAATAGTCTATTTTGAAGGGGGAGAGTATTAAGGAAACACTGAAAAATAGACATCGTACTCATTTTTAGGATACTATCAACATCAAATGGCCCAGAAAGCATTCATGTACACATTTTCATTACGGTTTTTAATGTATACATGTTTCCAAAAAAGAAAGTTGCCTGAATAGATAAATGTGGGAACATTTGCTTTTGTCGTATAAGAAATAGCATCCCTTTTTTTATTATATATAAAAAAAAGAACATGACATTCATATGCGAGTTTAGCCCCAGAATAAGTAGCATATAATGCATCCGTAGGTCTTCACCCTTAGGTCTAAACAACACTTGATAGCCCCCCTCGAACAATTAAAAGGAGCCGTGACATGTCAACTATGGAAGACTATTATTTATTTTTCTGTTTTAGTTTCGATGAAGCCCCATGATAACTATAATTATAACTTTTTTTTGTATTTTTTTATAAAAAATGTTCTCTTTTCTATAGTCACTCCTGACAAGTGTGTCAATAGTATCCGAGTTAAAGTTAAATCGTACTTGAATAATAGTTTCATATAATAATATTTAAAAAAAAGAAGCATACTCTTTATTTTGCTGGCTAACTGGAAATGTAATTTATCACAAGAGAAGCCCATAAACGGCGGGGGGGATCTTATCGACTTCAGTAAGACAAACATACATTGTGTTTTATATGCACTTGATTGAAAGTAGCCAAATATACACTACATGTAAACAAATACGTCGAAGATATAATTTATTGTTGATGTAGAAGTGGGGGTCCTTATTTGATAAAGTAAAAAAAGAAGAAACGCGCTGTTTTGGGATGCCGGGGCACTGTGTAATAGAAAAGTCGCCTTATAAGGTAATGTTGTTGCGTAACAAGAGTATAGAGCAATTTCATTTAGAAAATGTACTCAAATTACAGAAATTTGAGAATAATGGGTACAGACCCGTCTGTTAATTAAACATTGTATTATTACCTATAAATATAAGATATAAAAAAGAAAAAGGAAAATAAATCTTGTAACGTTTCGTTCTTTCTTTTGTTATTACCAAATGAAAAGTGTTTATCTATTATTGTTATGTTTTGGACTACCGTTTGTCCTAGCGAGTAGCTACTGTACTGGCAGTTTTAAACCCACAACATCGATCTGTAAAAAGTTCCAGTTTAATAAGCTCAAGAGTGCTGGTCACTGCACAGACAGTAAAAAGAAGACATCGGGTGCCTTTAAGGGTCTCAAACTTTCGAATTGTACAACGTAAGGTGAAAATATAAACAAACAAATAGAACTTCTCTAGACAATGACTCCATTTCTAGGTTTTATGATATCAGTAAACTTCCAAATCAAAGCATGGACGCTCATTCTACAAAAATGGCGGAATTGATCACGAATGTGTAAGTTGAAACAAACCCCAGTATTTTTTTTTGCAGCAGCAGCAGCATAAATTAAAATTCATTGAGAATAAGAAGGAGTTTATTTACTTTCTAAAACGCTTCTAGTTTCGAAAATGGCAATACGAAAATGGGTTATGCCGTAAGTGGTGAAAAAACATCTAATTGCATCCCCCACATGATTTACCCACATACCTTTTTTTTTTTAGGCCATTGAGAAATTGGGAGACTGTCGAGGCTACACCGGGTAACGCAAATAAATATTTAATCATTATATAAAAAAAAAGGCTAATTTCATCTGCCCTATTTTTTTATTAAAAAGTGGTTATATCGGGTTTACCACAGGTACAAATGACGCCTATGCTGTCGTGAAAGAATACGTAAAAAGAAGCCCTAAATCCAATCTCAAGAAATTCTTGCCGGAATTAAAACGACTCACGACTTTTTTATTTGGGGACCCAAAAAGGGACGACGTATCCCGTTTGGCCGGATTTCCCAAGGCCTGGAAATCGGCTACATGTAACGATCCTGTATTTATCCAAACTCAGCTGGATGTGGGTGAGGCAATGTACATGAAACCAGCATTGAAGTATGCTGCCAGTGTAGGGGTGAAATCAAATCTCGGAAAAGCCATCTTTTATGGTATGGTTTTACTATCAAAGTACTTTTATAATATTTATTTACGGGTTTTTCCTTTTCTTTAGATACCATTGTTCAACATGGCTGGCAGGTAATGCAAATCATTAAACATATTTACACACATCATTTCAGAAAAATAATAACTCTTTTTTTTTAAAAAAAAGTATGTAGAACCTAGTATCAACCTCCCCAGAATTCTTTTGCTGACAGGAAAGAGAAAGACAAATGAAAGCGAGAAATCTTATCTGACACGATTCCTGACAACCCGTCGACAACTGATGTGCTGTTATCCTGGCGATGTTTGGAATTCGTCAGCTGATCGTGTAGCCGATTTACAGTCACTTGTCAATCAATGGTCCAAGAACCAAAAATTGTCAAAGCCTGTCCAATTAAAGATTTACGGTGCCACCGTCACCGGCAAAGAAAACCTGCTTGTCGACAAACAAACATGTAAAAATGTCACCAGCAAGAAGGCTAAATCGATACCTTTACCTATTCCTAACACTTGTCCTAAAAAATAAATCTTCCTTTCCCCATCCTAAATTTACTCTGTATCAAAAAAGATATGCAATGTCAGATTGCATGACGAGAGACTGAGTTTGTGTATGGGTATTTTTTTTTATTGGGACTCAGGGTAGAAGCAGTGTTCCAAATCATAAGACAAGCCTTGTTTTATCTTTCATATCGATTTACTTTGGTAAATAAAACACACGCCAACATCTTTTTCGATGCTTCTTTTCAATAACGCAAAATTTAGTTTCTGAAAAAAAAAGACGCGCAAACTATATTTCATATGCGGTGCGATATGACAATGTTACCCTTTACAGAATAAGGCACGCTCGCTTAGCGTAAGCACCTATTATGTTCCACCAAAGTCGACTGTATCTGTTTTTAATAGGGTAGACACTCAACAAATACCATGACGTTTAGAGTAAATACTATCCTGCTTCCCCTTGTTTAGGGCGTCTTTCTTTCCCCCTTGCAAAGTGATGCCTCTGCTGTCCACAAGGATTCTTCTTTATAATATGAACAGATTCAATTTACAAGTCAGGGATGAAATATCACCATAATTGCTAATATCAATGTGAAGGGAAACCCATTAGGTAATAGGAAATACACAAAAAGATGATAAATGTAACATCACGTCCGTCTGCTTCATACAGCACGCTTGGGGTTAAAGGTAGGCAAAAAAATAGGGTTAGCAACCTTACATTGATCAGCCTACTTGTTTTTCAGATGAATGTACTAGAAGTATGCCTTTTATACTTTGATCGTATGAGAGAAATACACATGCCCAAGTAATTCAAACACATACATTCCCAAGGAAACAAAATGAGCCTTTTATCCGCAGTGTGTACTGGATACACTTGCCTGTCATTCTATCCAAAGCAACACGCTATCCTCCTGTCAAACAAAAAGGAGAGTTTTAGACTACCTAACAGCTACAAAGGGAAAAAGAATCAGTCTGTGAGCGACTGGAGAAACCAACTTTTCTCGGAATTCCTCACTTGTCATTCAAGACACAAGGGTAAACATAATGCCATGTATAAAGCGTTACTGGATACACAAAAAAAAAAGTTTGAATTTTGTTCTTTTTTTTTTTGTTCATTCAAATATACATTTATAAAATGGAGACCATGGAATATCGATATCTTGGAAATTCTGGCTTAAAAGTGAGTGTACTCTCTTTAGGCTCTTGGATTACTTTTGGTAAGCCCTTTGATAAGGAGGAGCATAATCTTTATATCCAGTCATTCTAAATTTCAACATGTTTTTTTCGAAATGTAGGTGGACAAATTTCCCCTGGTAATAATATAATCCATGCTACATTAAAACACACGTTCGACTCATGCCTCATCTTCTTTTTTCTCCTACCCTTCAGAACAAACCTCGGAAATCGTTAAAACAGCTCTTGATTTAGGGGTTAATCATTTCGACGTAGCCGAGAGTCATGCCGGTAAATATAGCATTTAGCTTATTTCCTTTTTTTTTTTAGCTTGGAACCTGACACCTCTTTTTTTTTTTGTAAACCTAAAAGGCGGACAAGCAGAGATCGACCTAGGTTTAGCCCTTAGAAACCAAAAGGGTCTAAGACGATCCGATTTTGTTATTTCCACCAAAGTCTTTTGGGGCGGTAAAGGACCTAACGACCGAGGATTATCTCGAAAGCACGTATTTGAAGGCACGGTGGCGTGCTTACAGCGACTTCAGTTGGATTATGTCGATATTCTATACGCACAAAGACCTGGTAAAAAAAAAAAAAACCTATATAGATCGAATACCTGAAGAACCCCGATACTGAACATCTCTCTTTTTTTTAAAAAAAGACCCGGATACACCAATGGAAGAGATTGTGAGAGCATTTAATTGGTGTATTGATAAGGGTATGGCGTTATATTGGGGAACCAGTGAATGGCCATCCTTTTTAATCACAGAGGCCATGAACGTGGCTAGCCGGTTACAGCTGATTGCACCCATCACCGAATCACCTCAATACAACATGTTGAATCGCGAACGCGTGGAGAAAGAGTATTTACCAATGTATCAAAAATATAATCTAGGCACATGTATATGGTCTCCTTTAGCATCGGGTTTATTAAGTGGAAAATACAACGAGGGTAATATCCCTCCTTTTACGCGTTTAGCGATCCAGGATCACCCCGTGATCAATCGATTAAGATCAGGCTTCTTTAGTGAGGAAGGCAGAAGAAAGTTGGAAAAGATCAAAATGATGTGTGTAAGGCCCAGAATCAAAAAAAAAAAAAAGTGTGCATTGTGTATGTAACCCCGCCTCTCTTGTATATATATAAATTTTTCAGGGAATTGCAGCACGTATTGGTTGCACGCCATCCCAACTCGGTATTGCTTGGTGTCTGAAAAACCCACATGTTACATCGGTCATTATCGGTGCATCCACACCTTCACAAGCAAAAGAAAATATCCAGTCACTTGGAATTAGAAAACTATTGACAGAGGACATTATGAATGATTTAGATAGGGTAAATTTACATCTTTTGATTTTATTAGCACATTGTTTTGTTTACTTGTCTATCTTAGGTACTTGTGAATAAGCCAGAGGTGGTCTTTGATTTCAGGAAATCATAATATTTTCTTTTTTTTTAAAAAAACACACTTGTATCATTTTAATCTGTTGTACCCCCCAATCATAATTACATGTTTGGTCATCCCCCCCGCGCGTTATTATTATTATTATAGTATAATTAACCTTGTGTGTCAATACACATGTAAATCAATGATTTTTTTTTTAATTTATTTATACTACAATATGTCTTTTTTTTTTGTGTGAGTGAGTGAGTGAGTGTAAGTGAGTATGTATGTGGGTTCATATGTATGTGAAGGGAGAGTTTTTGTTTTTTGTTGTTTTTTTGTTAAAGAGGAATGAGGTTAATTATAATGATGCATCATATTGGGTGGAGTAGTTTGGGACTGCTGACTATTTGAAGGATATCCATACATCGGCATTTGAGGTTGTACTGGTATCATGGATGGGACAGGAGGAGCCGACGGTAACTGATAATTATTGGGTGCATATGCCAAACTATCATTACTACTATTGTTTGGACATAATGTAGAAAAGCTGTTTGTTTGCATATAATTTTCATTGGTGTTATTAGACAAGATATTCACATGGCTGTCATTGGTAGTCGATGAATTAGAAGGAGAGGCCCGCACCTGCTGTTGCTGTGGTTGCTGTTGTTGTGTGCCAAATGCGTCTTGTGACTGGAGATAAATTGGGTGATTGGGAATGTAGTAATTATGAGACGTCAATTGATTAGAGTAGAAATACATGGCAGGATCATCCACAAACAAGGGATGTAAATGGTCTGCTATATTAAACTGGATAGCTAATGCTTTGGCTCTTGCAAATGTGACCCTAAATAAAAGAAGCAGTTTTTTTCTACAGGTTAGCTAAAAAACGAATGTTTCAATTTATAAATAATCACTTTACCATACGCCTTTTAAATGCATGGCGCCGACTTTTACAACAACACGTCCCTTTTCGTTCTTGAGAATACCATCACGTTTACCACGAGACATACCAGTAACATTTAAAAGTTTCGTGCCATTCACCATGTCATTATCTACACATGAAAAAAAGAAGGCCAAGTTAGAATCATAACAATTAAAAAAAAAATGCCTATTACTATTTCTTTTTTTACCTTGGCGTCGTGCCACACATATACCACGCACATCTACTTGATAGCAAACAGTGCCTTCGTCATCCCATAGAGAAGTGGTAATACGTAGTCTTTGTGTTCCTGAGGGGGAGTTGCTGGAGGAGGGAATAGGAGGAACAGACGGTAGTGATTGAAGAGATGAACGCTGAGATGGAGTGGAACTTGTGATATTGTTATTTGGAATAGGAGAGGAAAATGGAGAACTATAATGATCGTAGGATGATGAATGATCTACCACGGGTTGTGATTGATTTCTGATATCAGGATAAAAGGTTGGGTTATGCAGTTGTTGTTGTTGTTGTTGATGATGATGCTGTTGTTGTTGCTGTTGCTGAGAAGGAGTGGGATCCTGCCAACGCTGTGGCTGTGCTTGTCGTGGTTGTGATGAAGGAGTAGACATGTCGTATGAGGAAGACATTGGTTGTTGATAGTAAAGCATATCGTTATAAGGATATAAAGGTCCGTTGCTTGATGGATATGAGTTTGGATCTAACGTGGATTGACGTGGATGTTGATGATGTTGTAAGTCTTCAAACTTTAATTCCTTTGTTGGACTATTGGTAGTCTGAAAAACAGAGTCGGTATAAGAAAACATGTAAAAAGTGTGTAAAATTTTTTTTTTTTTTTTTTTGTTGAAATATATAAAAAAAAAAAAAAGTTAGGTACAAAGAAAAAGAGGCGGAGGTGATATGTGTAGGACGATCAAAAGATTAAAAAGATGTCGATATAAAAGTAATTTTTTAATTTTAGAAAGAAAAAAAAAAAATTGAGAAAAAAAAAAGAGTATTTCAACAGAGGAAAAAGAGGATGCTTTAAATAACCCTAAATATTTATATCAAACAAGAGTCACCCGAAAAAAAAAGACCCCAGAAGACAGTAACATGGTAGGATCTCAAATTACAAAAGGGTTCAGCAGCAGATAGGATAGCGGATAAAAAGAAATTTATTTTGATCTCCTCTTGTAATAAAATTTTAAAGATCGTTTTTTTTTCTTGTGCGAATAAAAAAAAAGATATTTTTAATTTGAAGTCAAACAGCATAATAAACCAATCCCTGAGAGATTTCCTGTATTAAACTCTGACCTGTTTCATTTCGTCCCATCATTGCTAGGGAATTTCTTCAGAAAAGAGCTGCTATTCATGCCGTACTTTTCAAACTACAAGTGTAACCACAAAGCACAAAAAATTTCTACTGAATTTAACCAACTTTTATGGAAAAAAAAAAAAGGGGGGGGGGGTTACATTTTTTACTGATCCTCAAGGTTTTAGATCAGTTCCAACTCAGAAACATTGTGCCCCTTCAGCAAAGTGTCCAATGATATTTTTAAAAACTATTGGAAATACAACTGAATTCAACATATTTCACTTTCAAACACATGTCTAATCATTTACGTAGCCTTAACCTATGAATCCAGAATTACTCCAATAACAAACCTTTAAGATCTTTCCCCCTTTGATTAAGATTCTCTTGGCCATTTTTTTTTGGGGAGCTTTTTTTTTTTTTTTTTTTTTTTTTTTTTGCGGATAGACACGTTAATATTTTCTACTTTTACCAATGGCAATTTCAAAAGCAGGAAGAAATACTGTATATAGTAAATTTTTTTTTGATATAGTTAAAAATAACAAGATTTAGTTCACAGGCCTTTTGGGTAATTCGCATAAAATTCCCTATTCTCGACTTTAAATGAATCCATTCTGCCACGGGTAAATGCGAGCCTTCTTTTAGTATTCCGACTTGTCAGAAATATTTTTTTAATTAATACATTCCTTTTTTTCAATAGGAGGGAAGACCCCAAATCACGTCAAAAAATCAAAAAAGGGGGATGTGTCACTCCCCTTCCCAACGAATAAAAAAAAAGAATGTCATATCCCGCATCATATCTACACTTAGTTTAAACCAATGATAACCTGTCCCCCAATAAAGTTGATACGATAACGCTTGTCAAAGAACTTGTCCACTTGAAAGGGTCACGAAGGAACGTGTAGATGCTGGTTATCATTGTCTGTGTTTCACATATTAGCATTTCAATCATTTTTAATTTCATTTTATTAAATATGGACACAGCAACAAATTTGTTATATTAAATAACAGTAATTGATCATACATGAGTGCTACATTGGTTTTTCTATATGACTTTTTTATTAATACAGAAACTATATACATACAAAAGAGAATTATGCTTTGTAAAATAGCAGAATGGATCCGGATCTTAGCATAAAACACGCTGGTTACATGGAAAAAAGATTGTTGTACAAAAACTGGTTGAGAAAGGAGTGTGCACCGTTGAAGAAATTGGACATTAGTCTTCTTAAAGATAGGTTTAAAAAAAGAATTCGTTTGGCTATTGGGCAAATTATCAGAAGAATGGAATTCTTATACGACAAAAAAGGGTATTAACGTTTTTTTTCTTTTTTTAAATGTTCTTTGAGTATATTTGGAAAATAAGCTGTTGCTATGATCCCATTTTCAATGATCGAACCGAATAAACGTTAAAAACGGGAAATAGCGTGCTTATTTTTTTTTTTAAAAAAAAATTAAATAAAAAATAAGCTACACATGCAAAAAAAAACTTTATTCGCCCAATACGTTACTCATTTTAATTTACGTTACATGATTCTATATTCTTTTTATTTATTCCCTGGAACTTTCTCTTGCTTACAATCCATCACGTGTGTGTTTAAGCTTGCTTGTTTTAAATACACGATTATTAAGCAATGAAACTTCATCATTTTCAGCCCGCACTCTTTTTATTTTCTTCCAGAAAATTTGATCAACTTATAGAGGCTGTCTTCTTAATCGCAAAATCGGGAACAATCTATTTTAAAAGAATTGAGGTACATTAGCTGTAAGTCATACGTTCATTGGGTGGGAGGGAAATATTTTATATATAGTTAAACTCTCCTTTGTTTGAATACAAAAAAATATACACATCATTTATATTTATAAACGCTTATCAATATGTTTGTATAAATTATCAACAACTATGAAATTTGTTTTCACAAACGATTGGCCAAGTGTCGTATTACAAGTGTGAAAAAAAAGTCAGCTAATGCACCTTCGAAACCAAACGGACTTTTGTAAAAAAATAGCAAGTACGTGATCCTCTCAGGTCCCCCCGTCCTCTCCAGCGTCATCAGCATCATCATCAGCATCTATTTTTTAAAATAGTTTGAACGAACGCTCATTAAGGCATGCATAGTCTTTTTCTCTTGGAAAATTAAAATAATAAATAATTCATTCACCTTTCTCTTTTTGTTTCCTTTTCTCTTAAACAGTTAAAGAACACCTATCTAGAAGTAAAATCGTTTGTATTTAATACCGTAATATAGACACATGACGGAATAACAACCGGCGAGCTGGGACCAGTGGTCTGGAAGTTTATAATAGCCAACCGAACCTTTTAATTTTATAAACACGGTAACCCCTTTAAAGTTTGATCATCGTAGAAGCAACTATAACAATACATCCTCTTTTAAAAACTTAGAGAGCAACTTTAACAATGTATTTCAACTTCAAAAGTCGTAGTCAATACTACGTTTATCCTAGGCAACGGTAACTAGGTAGCGGTAACTAGTCAACCTTTTTATTTATTTATTTTTTTTTTAAAAAAAAAACAAAAACAAAATAAAAAAGGAGAAAGGAATTAGATATTACAACTTCTCTACTATGTGATTAAATAAAAAGAAAAGGTAAGCTTTACATCAAGTGTTAACAGAAAAAAACTAGACTTTGATCGCTTCTAATCCAAACAAGCATTAGAAATTTTTTAAAAATAACTCTTCAAAAAAAAAAAAAAAAAAAAAAAAAAAAACCAGTTGTTGATTCTTGTACGCCTTCGAGTTTACGTTCTTTCCCGCAACCATACTTCAGCCCGCGTTTATTATTGCACATGTATTTGTCTATAGATCAACACATCCATATACAGAGCATCGAATCATTTATTACAAACAGGATGAATAGGAAGTTGGTTTGAAAGTAAACTATGATCCAGCACGAGCTAGATTATCCTAGATAGAAGACGCCTTTTTTCTAACTCGTTTCATTTTACTAAACCATACTCATGGTTTGGATCTCCTAGATACGATGGAAGGGTACGGTATTCCTTAAGATGTCCTCAATATATTATCCATGTGGATATTAAATCACCCGTTTTCGTTTGACGATTTTAAAACATCTTGTAAAAGGCGGTACGCGATAAGGAAGCGGATCTATGAATACCATGTGTTTGGCAATATATTGTAGATCAGTTTGAGGTATCTACTCTTTGTACAATTTTTTAAAAACAAAGGATTGATCTTGGATCTGTGTCATCGTACCTCTCCTCCAGCATCTTAATTTCGCCAAGGTTCAATAAACTATCTCAGCCGATCACTGAAGTGGCACCAAAAAAAAAAAAAACCTTCTATTTACGCATTGAGACACTAACTGTAAGATACGGGATAGTAAGTATATTGAGCAGATGAAGCTGAAATTATAGCTATTCACAAACGGAGAAATTACAACCGATATCCCTACCCAAAAAAAAAAAAAAAAAAAAAAAAAAAAAAAAAAACGTGTCCAATAGGACATAGTCCATAAATACTATTTCTAGCCTTTCAAGTATATGTCTACTTTTTTTTTTTTTTTTTTTGTGAAAAAAAAAAAATGGCACGCGTTGGGTGTAACACGTATACAGAAAACCCAACTGAAATTCTGTGGTACAATTGCATCATTGTTGTAATTAAGCTTCAATTCCATCTCTGAAAGGCAACATCCATCGTTAGAAGAGAAGAGAGGGGGGTAGACTTTAGAATGGAACAAAAAACGTGTGTATCAATAAGGCCTAGCACGATATCAGTACACGTAAAAATGTGTGTGGTACCATTGATGTCCACGCCCTCCCCCCAAAAAAGGGTGTGGTTGCGGGGAAGAAAATTTTATTTTGTTAACACCGCACTCAATCAACCCAGGTCAGGATCAAATCCAATCAGATTATATACACTCCCATTATCAAAATCAAAAAAAAAACTTTGTGAGATTAACATCCTGATCACACGAGATGTCTTATTTTTAAAACCATTGAAACTAGGGTGAGAGATTTTATTTAGAGGAACAATCTCACGCAATTTCAACATACGCAGGTATCTTAAGCAAAATAAGCTCTTTCGACCTTGTAATCTTCAGTCACAAACACATTTAATCGATCCGGTCTGTAATCTCTGGTTTGGATAGCGCCTGGAGGTAAAATGCGGTGACCAGCAGGAAGGTCACGTGCCCAAAAAACCTTCCTTTTCACATCAGATAAAATAGCATAGTACAAAACGTTTTTCTTCTTACCTCTTCTGCGCCTAAAGTTGTTTCGGTATCATCCAACAACAATGTTTTTCCTTTAAGTTTATTCTCCCACTCCTCACTATCTTGTTGTCGCGACATGGTGTTTCAATTAAGAGAGATGAAAAGAAGAAGAAAAAATGAAACCCGGAACCTGTACCGATAAAAAAAAATGCTATTTTTTGTAACTCAGTACGTGAGCTTTTACATGATACACCTCCTGAAGAGTAGAAATCCAAACAACAGCAAATTGAAAATTCAAATACCGATAAATTAAAAATCTCAGGAGAGAGAGAGGGAGAGAGAATACGAATGCATTTGAAAAAAGTTTTGTTGGTACAGATTGCACTTGTTGCTAACCAACGCCTCACTTATGAGATTTAACAAGTCTAACAAAAGAAACGTGTCCAGCTTACTGAAGGGTTTCCTTAAGTCAGAAAAGGTGGGACGAGCAACACGTGGCGATTTAAAAAAACTCAAGAGAGATTTGGAAGAGAGTCATGGACAATCAGAATTAAGTAACTGTTGTAAGACTAAAGGTGTCATATCCGAGGTAAGCTACGAATTGAATTATTTTTGCGCTGCTGTTTGTTGAAATAAAAAGTTACCAAAGGACAATGACACCCCAAGATTAAGTGATTGGAGTACAACCAGGCTGTCTGAATCTCAGGTCTCTTATGCTGCTTCTGATGTTAATGCTTCTTTAGAAATATTCAATATTCTGCAACATGTTACAGCAGACGGTACCCAAATTTTTGAAAATCCAAACGGATTTGTATCAATTCATGTCAAAGGAAGCAAGCAAGCCTGCGCTTTAGGTTACACAATCTCATCTACCAGTAAAGCAGTAAATATGAAGAACAAAGCGGCTTTCAAAATTACAAAAGTGTCCATTCCTGGTATAACAGTAATAGATTCCTTTGAAAAATCTCTGGTGGATTTTAGCGATACACCCTTTGAAGCGGTTATTGATTTAGACCATCATCCACTGGGGGTACACCAAAATATAATCCGCAAATTTGCCTCGTTTAATGCTGGTCCAGCATTAACTGATTGTGCGTTGGCGGACTACCGTCTTCGACACAACATGACCGTAAGTTATATTGAATGATGTTTGTGTCTGATTATCATAAAAAAAAAACGACACCGCTAACACTTTTTTCAGGTCGGTTCCAAGAATAGATATGGTGTTGCCCATAAGACTCATTTCTCACCTCGGATTAACCAGGCCATTAACTTTCTTAGAGCTGAACTTGGCCAAAAAATCCTCCATTCGTATTGCGATCCTTTGGGCAATTCTTTTTTGCTTGTCTCTTCATCAGAAACGTTCGGTATATGCCGTATTCCAGAACCGCTCCTTGAAGCTTACGATATGAAAAACAATACGAGAGAATTTGACAATGGAAATCTTCATAGAAGTCTCTCTGTCAAAGAAAAAATAGTTTTATGCGTAAGTGCTACGACACAATGCACAAATAAGAGCAAATCAATTTTTGGTGGCCTACAACATCAATACCTATGTTATATACAAGGCACTTCTTATGCAGTTACACCAATCCATACAGATGAGGAAGTGCATTTATATGAAAAACAATCCGTCTCCCGCTAGTCAAGCCACACCCAAACAATCTTGGCAGAATTTCACTATTTTATGGTCTCGAAAATGTAACAATGGTATTGCTAGGAACATCTTTAACAAATGTCTGGAACATTTACGTCAATACTTTAAGCAAAGAGAAGATCAGAGTAAATATCTTAACTCTGTTCTTCTAAACAAAAAGAAAGTAGATACAGTAACAGATCTAATTCAAAGATCCCATAAAAAAAATCGCTGAAAAAAGCGAACCATTTTTACAGCTTATAATAAACAACCATTTAAATACTTTATTAGACTGTTAGATGCTCTTCCGGAAAAAGTGTATATTAATTGACTTATTCAGTCCCGTGTTAACATAGTCATCGTGTATCAGATTCATCAATGAACTTAAACATCTACCTCTATAAAAAAAATAGAAAATTACGTAAAGGACTTTCCCAAGAACACGAAAATATTTTTGTTAACTTACTTTCAGCCCAATACTTGATCTTGAGGTAGAATAAAAACTCGCATGCATGAATATGCACTCCCTAATGTAATTCCATAAAATCATATTGTCGGCCAATCATATTCGATCTTGTTACTTCATATCAAATGGCCTTTCGAGCTTTACTTTTTTATTCTAAAACAAACATGGAGTCTAAAATGTCATTATCACCCGATGACGACAGACTGTTATTAACTAAACCAAGATCATCAAACAAAGAGAATGAATTAGAAGCAGCGATCAAGGATTCGACTTCTGATCTACCTTTAGGAAAGTCTTTGTACCTACTTGTGCATGTACATGGCCACGTTTTCGATAAGGCCATGACGACCATTCGACAAGCTACTCCCGCTGAATTGACTGTACACAGCATCGAATGTAAGATTTCTTTAACAATACAGCACTGCCTCTACCATGTACTAATTGAAAAGAATTAGCTCCTACCGTTCGAGCCATTCTTTCCATTGAAAACTATTTGACATCTGGCAAGGACACTAGTCAATCCTTTAAGCATGTATACGATTCCTTGAAAGAAAAGGTGAATCTACAATCAACTTTTTTTTTTGCTTCATAAGATCTAATAATAATGCCTCAAGTTTATCAAACGTAGTAAAAATAACGCAGTCAACGAACAAGCGATGCGCATCATTGGATACCTTGTTCTGTACTCCAAACATCAAGAAGCTGGTCAACAATATATTTGCAATGAGTTATCTAGCTCTGATAAACGTTGTCAATTGGCTGCTGTGATTTTGATTCAATTCCTGCTTTCACATTACATGTCATCCGAGGATAGTTATAACGATTTAGTGTCACTATTCATTCCACTACTTGTTGATATATCCGAAAAATACGGGTACGATTTAACAAGAAAATACTCAGGGGGATCAATTTCTCTAATGTGCTTAATCATAGTGATACCACTACATTACTAGCTTGTTCATCTTGCGATTTAGCACTTCAATTGTCGCGCTACATTGCCCTTCACCTCAATTCTATTGCAGAACCAACCTCAAAAATCATAGAGATACATGAAACGAGCAATGACACTATATCAATCCACCAAATTCAAAAAGCCTGGGAACATGCCGATATTATGTTATACCGATTAGAAAAGGTACAAGAAATATTTCGCACAAACCTCTGCTGCATATACTCAGAACCTGCCCTCCTTTTTCTTTACCACATCTAGTGGAGCAAATCGACAGGAAAGCTTGAAACTGCATCGTTTAAAGAACTTCATTCATTTCTACGCTACGCCAATGAAAATATAAAGCAAAAAGGTAACACATACTACCTGGGTAATCAAATACAACTGGCTTATTTTCCGTAATACCTATTTGGAAAAAATTAGATAAACAAGCGGAAATCATCACAGCCTGGGATTTAATCAGCACTTGGTTAACTCCAAAAACAATTGTATCAGAGAAACCATTGACCGTGAAAAAACAGAAATCTGTCCTATCGTTTGAATCTGCCCAACCTATGCCGTTACTCTCCAGCATCAAAATCTTAATTTTAGTGATACTTCAAAGGGGCCGTCTTGTCGAATTATATGGACCAGATCGATCCTCCATTGTATTTACAACAGAGGAAGAAGAGACCAAAGATCTGATCCAGAAAGAATATAAAACAATGGTACAGAAAAGCAAAAAGTTAGTACTCCATAATAACTAATTGGTCTCTCTTTTAGCTTCAATGGTATCCTTTAGGAAATATAGGAAATCATATCATAGTCCAACTTGTCACTCAATTACCATTTTTATGTACGACAGACGACATTCAATCTACAGACCTGATTCAGCAAATCTTAAACAACGTCGAATACAAAAAAGAGACATCGGCATGGTTAATACCCTTATTAATGAAAAAACCAGAATCATCCATCTGTAATTTATTATGGAATATCCTTGAACAGAACGATAAATCCACCTCGTCTTTTGAGCTTTTGAAAAGTATCATTTCCCAAGGTTCTCCTGACATCATGTAAAATCAGACCCTCACACCTTTTTTTTTTTTACATTTCGGCTAAACATGATACATCTGTAGTGACCTAGTGGAAACTAATCTCTTATCAGTGATTAAAAACAGCGATAAAGCTTGTGAATTACTCATACAATGCATGGATTATCTTCGTAAGTCTGAATACACACACATACAAAAAATAGTTGTCAGTTTTTAAAACTTGCTTTATATGCTTGTAGATTTACCATCCTTGATTCAAAAATTAATGCCTAGAATTGTGACCGAAGATCAACGAGAAAAAATGGTGTATATAGCTCTGATTTCTAAAGCTCTTCTTCATCCTTCATGGAATAGTAATAGTATTTTGTTTCATATCGACTTAGTGAGGTAAAAAAAAAATTCTTTGACTGTTTATCTACACTAACAGTAACACAAACTGACATGTTATCAATTAGAGAGTTTCAATTATTAAAACACTTTACAAAACCCAATAAGCCAGATTTCTTGAATCTAACACCTCATAATATTACAACACGCAAGCATAATCTGGTTGAATCGGATATCGTATACTCTGATGAAGGTTTGTGTAATTTGTTTTATTCTATGATTGACAAAGACAATAACAAATTATGTATCTATTTCTTGTTTAGAAATCAAAAACATCTCGACTTACTTAATAGCACCAATTCAGCTTTGGTCTACCAAGGTATATATGTCTGATAGAATATAACTTGAGTACTTTTTATCACTAAAATTTTTCCCTTTTTTATATGTATACTTACACTAGGTGGATGAAAACCTGCTCAAAAGTGCATTAATTCAACTTGTCCGTAAATCTTATGGACTGCCTGGTGACCATGTTTGCATTGATGCCTGGAGGAATCTGTCCCATGCCTTCTCAAACAATCATGATTTGATTTGGGGCGTGATGCAAGAATGCATCGCTATCATGCAATCGCATACAATGTAAAGTATCTTCTTGACTATGCAGAATGATTTGGTAGACTTAACTAATTATGCATTTAGATCTCACACATTAGCTGATGATATAATGAAGGTCACTCCAATGCTTATTCTACAAGTAAGTAGTTTTTTTAATTTATCGAATTGTGCGAGTTATTTATAAATATATACCCAGACAATACCCGAGCAATCATTTGATATGGTTAGTCTGCCAAAAAGCTATGTGAATCTCTTATCCAAGAAATTTGAAATGTTGGGCATTGATTCACAGACTATTAAACTCTCCAGTAACAACAGTAATACGGGGATCAGTATTCAATTAATGGATGAACTACTTATCAGGTAATACAAAAAAATAAGGTGTACGGAATAAAACATAAAAAACAGAAATGAGAAACTTACATGTTTTATCAGATGCTTTCATGAAGACTGGAAACCACTTGCACAATTTGCAACAACTTTAATTTCAAAAATATTTTGCAATTAAGCAAAGATAAAACAACACATTTGCACACTGCCCTGAATTCCCTAAAACTCAAATATTATGGAACATGTGGTGGTTCAGTTTTTTAATGAATACAAATGCTTTTATTCTTATAACTCTGGCTCTAAATCTATTATTACGTACCTAGAAAGGTCTACAGCATGCATTTTACTATGGATTTAACGATATTATTTGATATTTTCACTGCCCAAGATTTCGAAAAAGAAAACTTGCTGCCCCCCTATGATCTCTGTTAATCTTGCGCTTTTTTAAACATTTGTCTCCCATGTAATCTGTATCATCTTTAGAGCATTCTTCTTTCAAGCGATTCTTTTTGTGGATTAATTTCTTCAAACACTGCAAAAGTAGTATTGTGAGTACATCGCCAATCATGTCAAAATCAAAATCAGAGTCGTCGAATAAGCCGAACATTCTTTAATTTATCAGTATGATAAGATGATAACTAACAAAAAAAGATGCTGCTACACCACATTAAAGGTATTTTCGTTTATAAGTAATTAGCTGAGAAAAACTAAATAGTCCCTTACGATAAGGGTGTACATCTATAATTTATGATAGTTTATTTTATTTTTATTAAATATGTATTTCTTTACTACATGTCAGATTCGTACATAAACATGCTATCAGGGGCATCTATCTGCTGAACAGTTCTACAGTATAATGTATAAGCTGCTAATCCTTGTAAAGCACAGTATGTCAACACGGCATCAGGCAACTTCTCACGATCCCAACAGGTACTTGAGAATTTTTTGGCGATAATAGCATCATAATCTGCTTTAGCATCATCAAATTGTTTTTTGTCTGGCCAATCTTGCAAGAAATAATCTACAGCGCCGATGAAACTAAAGTAATGGGGATGTTCACGATTGAAGTTTGCTCTGTTCATAAGATCGATGCAAGGGCCAATCGTAAAACCAAGTAACTGATTCATTTCTTCTTCGATGAAGGAGGGACACCAACATACTCTTTTGATCGAAGGATCCGTCAAGAGCTGAGCGAATTTTGTATGTTTAAATGTTCCTGGTTTCTTCATCATAAAAGTCTTTTCAACCATGGCAGTGTAAGAATCGCCAGTGCTGAGGTATATTTGGATAGCCTTTATAATTCGTTGGTTATTCGATGAAATAAAGTGATAGCAGATAGTAGCTGTAAAGTCTTGATCCTTAGGAGGCATATGAATCATATCCAATTCTTCGGGTTTTGTCATGATATACATAGATAATTCAGCATCGCCATCTTCACTATACAAAAAAATGCCATCTACAAATGTAGGTAATGGTTTTCCAGTGTCGATTTTTTTGGTTTGTGATTTATCCTGAATTGCCATATTCATTTTTAAGATGGGAAAACCTGCATCGAAATTGTCGTGATCAATATAAGCGTCGTCGTCATCATCATCATCATCATCATCGTTGTCGTCGTTAGGATTGGTTACTTTAGGGCCACTGAAGGTGGTACGTATAGGTATTTGATTCATTGGCATCTGCATGGTATCTGGACGCTCATCATCTTGAGCCCAGTTATCCATCTCATTCATTTTACCTGTACTACTATCACCAATGTTTCCTCCGCGTGGGTAGTTACTTTGGACAGTTGTATTGAATGGGATCGGTTCTGGGATTGGTGACGTTTCGTTTTTACCAACGGTTTGAATAGCTCCCAACGATGCATCTTTTCCTTCACCCCAATCCTTGATGGATGTACTGGCAAAGGATTTCCACGAAGCAGAGCTCATCTCGTTCTTATTCGAGGGAGACCATGTTGTAAATGATCCAGTTTGACTACCCACATTGATTCGGTTCTTGAGATCGTTGGTATACTTATTCTTATCAGGTTTGCAGGAGGCGTATTGGTTTTGAGGTGAACGATCGGACATAGCAGGTGATTTTCTCGTGCTGGATCGACTGGCAGAAGGTGATGCGAGTAATTTTTCAGGAACTCTGGGAGAAAGGTTGGATGGTTTAGGGGATTTATAACCTACATTTATAAGTCTGGGGGAAATAATCAAACTTTTTTTTTTTTTTTTTTTTTCTTTATAAAAAAAAAAAAATATTCTTTGTTGATAATTTACCTGTATTCCTTGATCGGCTTTGTTCATTGCTCCATTGGTTCGACGATCCCACATTACCCCATTGATTGTTTCCAGTATTTTCATCCCATTTATTTGATTGTTCTACGTTTTTATTCCATTGGTTGCTATAATTGTTCTTCACATCAGGACTCTCTTGATCATCCAGGTTCCAGTTGTGTTTGGGTGTGGCTTTTGTATTCCATTGACCTTTGGCAGAATTCTCTAATTTTCGTCCTTTATTTGGGGATGCAGCTACAGGAGCAGCAGTAGTTGTAGTAGTAGCAGAAGAAGAAGCAGCAGGAGGCACAGGTGAATAATTACCCCATTGAGACGTCTCGACGGGTGCACTCTCAACCTTCCATTGATGTTTAGCGTTAGACTCTGATACAGGTACGGGTACAGACTCCATCTGCCATTGTTTATTGGCTACATCAGTTGCTCTTGATGTTGATGGTGGCGGTATTGGGGAAGTATTATACGATTTCGGTACGGTGGCAGAAGCTTGGGGTCGTTTTAGAATTGTAATTGGCTTTTCTGATGAAATAGCGACAGGACTGTTAGCAGAAAAAGTAGGGACCTTGTCAGTTTCAGTAGCCGTAGTCGCAGCATTGGCGGCAGCGACATCATCTGGTGATTTTATCGTTTTATTTTTAAAAGCACTGCCAAAGAAAGGCTGATCGTCTAATGATTCTGTACCCCAAGTACTCTCCACAATTTCTGGTATAGTGGATTCTTCTACTGGTGGTGGGTCTGAGAAATGCAAATCATTTTTATTTCGGTTGTAAGGGTTTTCCTCCAATTCTTGAGAAATTTCGCTGTAATTTAATTCCGTCAGTGAATCTGATGAGATTACACGATCAGTACTGGATTCACCTCTTTTATTGCGTGGTAAATTATCCTTGACAGATCGCTCGAGAGCTACTTGGATCGCTCGCTTAAATCGTTCATCATCGTCATTGTAACCGTCGTCAGTGATAACAGAAGTAGATAATGCCGGTTCTTTGCCATGACTAACTTTGGTGGATTTGGAATTGACGACATTTACCACATTTGAATTGTTGATGCCTTTCGCGCGCTGCATGTGCCATTTATCAATTGATTTCTGCGTAGATGTTGAAGTGACGGTAAATGGCCAGTAGTGATTTTCGTTGGAAGGATAATCCAAGGTGTGTTCATAGAGTGCAACTACACTCAATACATCAAATACGGAATAAACCAATGCTTTAGGAGGCAAAGGGTCTCGAAGCCAGATACATTCTTTTCCGGTAAAGATAAATTGATTGCCATATTGTTTGTCCTTTTGAAACTCCTCATTACCGACCCATTCTGCGGCATACTTGTTCAAGGCATTCCCCAGGTTGAGGTTTTCCATAGCCACAGGGAGTAATTTGGCTTGCAGGTCAAGCACAGGCGCAAGCTCAATACCGTTGATATAGGATTCAATAGCCAGCGCGTCACCTCGAAATGCCCACCCCACAATATTCAGATTTTGATCTTCGAGGATGGGTTTTAATTTATCTGCAATAACCTGAGGGCCAATCATATCCACTTGAATGGCATAACCCTTTTCCTTTGAAACACCAATTTGAAGTAATTTGAGTTCAGGCAAAGTTTTTTTCTGTCCCAAAAACTCACAGTCCACAGCCACACATGAAGCAGCATAAATGTCGCGGATGACTTGATCTAATTGTTGTTCCGTGCTAACAGCAATTGCCAGCGCCTTTACTCCTCCATTCAAAGTCACCTCAATGGTGTGTTGGTCAATTTGTTGCCAATTAGGTTCCAAGTCATAACTGATGGGTGCAGCATAAAATTGCTTTTTGTAAGATTTGCTAGTGGAAGAAGGTGTTGACAGCTTGGTAGAATTATACGATTTCACGCCTTCGTAGGTTTTACCATGAGTAATTAGTTTCCGCATAGCAGTAATCGTATCGTCAACAAGTTCGTAATCTTTGCCTTCGTACGTGAGGAGCCAACAATACGCGGCCTCCACCGTACGAATCGTGTTCCTCCAAATCTCGTCTGTTGTCAATGTGAATTCACTATCCATATTTTTTGATTCACAAACAGATATAAATATAAAAAAAGAAAAGAAAAGGTGATTAAATACATTTCCAGAAACACAGGTTAAGAAAAAAAAAAGCAGTACGAACATGACGTGGTATCACTAACTAAAGGCAGAAATCAATTTTTTTAAAACTTTAACTTCAAATGAGAGATAGATTTGAATAATTGCTGAGGTTATCAATCACCATAAATCAATGTCAGAGGTTTATCATTTCGGGCAACAAAAGCATATCATCAGTTTTACGTGAACAATTACTACAGTAGCAAAAAGAGTTGTTTTTAATTTTTTCTGTCATGTAAATTTTCCAATGATCGTTACTGTTGTAAGTGATGGTTAACATGGCTTTTACTTACCAGAAATTATGTTGTAATTGAATTAAATCAGAGTATTTTTTTGTTTAAAGATATGCTTAGCTTTTGCAATTTTACATACCATACTATACCTTCTCTTATTGATCGGTTAACGATGGCCATATGTCTGAACAATTTGATATAGACGAAAGGATTATTTCATACTGTCATTCGCATGTAATTAGAAATCGATATCTTGTACCTACTACCGAGATCCAGTTGGTTATCATGAATAGCGCTAAGCAAGTTTTTTTTAAAAACCTAATATCGGCATGAGTCTAGAATCAGAATAGATATGTTGTTATCTGTGCAGATGATAAAAACATAGCAAGAGACCGAGGTTTTGTATGAAGAATAAGTGATTAGATTTTTTTTGCTTAAAATTAAAGTGGCTAAAATTTCTAAATAAGTTATATGAAGTTGAGGTTCTCAAAGTCTGGTTGCTGTTTTTCTCCACTCTTTCGTTTTCTTTTCTTAACCACACAATGTTCAACAATGGCATTGTAACAAAAAACGCTCACTAATTAGATTTCGTTTAAACGAATTCCGTGTGTTTACTTGGCTGTAATGTCGATCGGCGGTGATCCATTACTACTATTAAATGGACCTATGGGAAGGGAGTAGACTATGTATAGGGGGCGCGTATAATTGTCTCCAACTCCCCTAGGCGTGTATCGACTGCATTAGGTGCGAAGTAAGTAAGCTTATTTTTTAAAGTTAAAAAAAAGCTTTTCTACTTGTCTACAAAGAAATGCGTTCTTTGTTAGGAGGTACACGTAGAGGCAGTGTTGTTGGCCGGCATTGTGAATCGCGCTACACATTGCCTGCAAATTTTTTTTTTCATTGAAATTGCCTACCGTGGTAGCTTATGGTGAATACAACTTGTGATTACTCCTCGTAGATATGCTTTCAATTCAAGAAGGAAGGAACTTCAGCGTTAGCAAGTACTTGTCTGCAGTGTCTGGCAGTGGTTATTTTGCTTCTTTGGGCCACCATCCTCCTTTTTATATTACTGCCGAAGAAGATAAGCAAAACATAGATCTCAACATCTTGAATTTTACCTTGTGTTTTGACTTATTTAGATGGTTACAATTTTGAAAATACTAGTCATACTGACATGGGCTGTAGCGTATACTTCTATTACAGTTATATTACTTTAAATTCAGACAAATGCAAATCATTTTTCAGACAGACCTATGATTGTTTTCAGACAAACTGAAATATACTTCGGACAGTCATAAAAATATTTTCAGACAATTGTAAAAGATAATCAGACAGCAATGGTTAATTTAACTGAATAAATCCGTTGTAGACCAAGAGCTCAGCCTTCCTTTAGTATTCTACTTTTCATAAATCCCATTCATAACGGCGAGGAACCAAAAGCGAGAAGTAATTTGCGACAGTTATATTAACAAAGGCTGGATGTTATCAAGGCTGATAACAGGTATTTTGATCGAATAAATGTCTGGATAAAACTAAATCATACTTGCTGCTTCGAGGGAAGGATAATCGGCTGATGTTGACCCGTTACTTTTACGTTAATTAAAATATTGCCTTTTATGTAATATCGATATGATTAGACCATGATATGCACCTATTGGTTTTTTGTCATTCTGTATACTATTAGGTATTATTTCACTTGTTAATATTTGCTTTCATGCGTGGCGGCAAATGTATCCTACGTAGCAACCAGGAATTTTTAATAAAAAACTTGAGTTCTGTTGCCTTGTATTTCTCGGTAGTTTTACCCCATAATTTTTTTTTCTCGTCTCGTATGTATCATGGTTAAAGTATAGCAAGTGTTTCTTCTCTTGAAATCATCACGAAAGAATTGAGTTTGGAGGTCTGATAAATTATTTCCCAGTTACTTTTTTCGCGTTATGTATTGGTGCGGTTTATAAAAAAGCAGCTGGGATTACACCAAAATAAAAAAAACACGACCTTACAGGTGGGTGCCATACATATTTTTTTGTTTTTTCTAGAATAAAAAATGACAAGACCATTAGTATATACACGAGAAGTACCACTAGAGAGTATCTTTGAGTCGATAAAAGAGCAAGTAGGGGGGTCTTGTTTTATGAATGAACGAAAACAAAATGTTAATGAAGAGCTCATGCATAATAATTAATTATAGATTCAGCAACTAGGTCCGGATACAAACTGGAAGATTTATGTAGCGCCTTTATCTCGTGAGGAAGCAGGAGAGGAAAGAGAGAAAGCTTCGGGCTCCAATAGTAATCCTACACCATACCCTGTAAGATTTTTTTTTGTACACTGTTGTATAACACTATCAACTAAACAAAAATTCGTAGTGGGGAAAGGAATCTATATCAGAATTCTTCAAATATCACTTGAATTTAGAAGAACAGGTAAATACAAGATACGTGTCTTTTGAGTCACACACACTGAAAGGAGGGACATTTTAGTTATCACAATCGTATCAAACAATCAGTCAATGTGAGAAACAAATTTCGCGGCAAAGCAACAAACTTCATAAAGCAGAAATGGAGTCTGTACGTACTCACCTGGCCATGAAAAACATTTACATTATAAAACACGACGAGGAAAAGTTACACCATTTGAATCAGATACGTAGTCATGAGCTTCGAATCGAACAATTAAATCAAAACCTGAAGAATTTATTAGCTGTAGTCAAATCCCTTGATCAAGTCCAGTTATCACCCAACGTAACTGTTTATTTTAACTTTGTTTATTGAGCATAAATTGCATGTACTAACCGAAAAAAAAAAGGATCTAGAGTTGAGCAGGGATAAGTTACTAAAGGATCGACTTTGTTTGCTAAAAAAGTTAAAGGTAACTGAACTTCGTCTAGAAATGAGAGATGTTGAGTTACAAGCCATACGTCATAATGGGCACGGAAAGTACGGTTCAATAAAGAGACCCTCCTCCATGCATCATATTGCCCCCAATCGTTGTATGATGGATAAGAGCGTATTAAAGAAGGTACCTTTGCTCAGTCTTGGGTCATTAGCCGACAGTTTATTAAAATCCTCACAACCACAAAACGAAGTAAAACGCAGCCATGTGCGTACGTTTGAGCCTCAAGAGACTCGAGTGCATGAGAAACGTCGTGTGATAGAAGGTAAACTTGGAGACAGATCAAGAGAAATATGATCTAACGAACGACTGATTAGATAATAAACGACCAAAAGCAATCAAATTGACTTACAAAGATCAATGGACAGCCATTGAAGATGATGCATTATTTAAGAAGGTAGACTCTTATGGAGAGAATGAATGGGAAAAAGTATCAAAAGCATTACCTTATCGATCCAGTGCTGAATGCTATCGACGTTATCACCAACTGACAAGCTAAAAAATGCTCCGCCGAAAAAAAAAAAAAAAAAAAAAAACGTGACTATTTGTTCGCTATTTAATATCCCCACCACTATCGCGTTTTTTTTTCTTCTTCTTTTGTTTCCACTCTCACTGAAATAAATAAAAAATTACAACGTCATGAAGAAGAAGTATAAGACAAAGTTTCCCGTTGTAAATATGATACCCAATAGACTTTATACAGCCACCACGGGTTATACCAGTTACTGAAAAATTAAGAATTCAATAGGCTCGAATCAAAAAGATTATGCAGTTGGATGAAGATGTTGGAAAAGTAGCCCAAGCAACACCCATTTTAATTTGTAAAACAAAACAAAACAAAACATGAACTCAATGCTTATGCCCTGGTTGTTAATCTTTTTTATACTGTAGCAAAAGCGTTAGAATTATTTATGCAATCCTTAATAGATCAAGCATGTCAAGAATCTCGTACTCGTAATGCCAAGCGTTTATCAGTAGCTCACTTGTAATGCACACAATACAAACAGTGAGAAAAGAAGCTAACTTTAAACTTGTAGGAAAAAAACCATCGAAACAGTTGATCAGTTTGATTTCTTAAAAGACATTGTGTCAAGTATTCCAGATCCCTTAGAATCACATCCTTCCGATGACCCTCCCAAACCAGTACGAGCAAGCAGAAAACCAAGAACAGTGAAAGAAGAATAAATAATTCTCCTTTTCTGCAGAATCACATCCATGTTGAAATTATAATAATAAAAAAAAAATCACATACACACAGAGATACACACACACACGCACACACGCACGCACGCACACAATCGGCATATTATTAACCGGATGAAGTTTCGTTTTCCAGTTAAAAAACCACTTAAAAGAAATGCCTCGTCATGATCACAGGAGTACAGTGCGACTGGTAAATTTTGTCCGTTTAAAAAAACAAGTGGCAGTTATCTAAAAATAATTGGCGCTAATTGGAAATTGATTGGCTGTTTCTTAGCAAATGATTCTCGTTTTAGAAATCTTGCTTTGTTGTTTTAGCTAACTCAATTTGCCGTTACTGAGAGTTATGTACGCTCGGCAATGATATAAAGGCTTAAATTCGTTCTTTTCGCTCTTATATTAACTATTATGATGAAGAACACATTTTTTATGAAGATGGAGAAACAGTTTTCGCTCTGTTGGAAGGTGTGTTGACAGAAGTCAGTGATCTAAACGTAGTTCTCGAAACCATTACGAGCCAAAAGTCTTACTGACTCTTTGACATCACAGTTTAAGAATTTTAAGATCTCGAAGTCCCAAATGAACCACCACTTGAGAAACTACATGCTCATTACCATCAAGAAGCCAACTTTCGACCCTAAGACAAGAAACTCTAAAAATATTCTGCAGACAAGATACGGGTAGAGAGACTCAGTTCTGGATTACACTAAGAACTGCGTCTTTATTGATAAGGCCGGATTTAACATCAACATGAGAAGTAATTAGGCTAGGTTAACTGTTGGAACACCTGCCCAAGTAGAGATTGAAAAGATCCGTTCTCCCTCCCACACCATCTTCGGTGCTATTCACTGTACTAGCGTTATTCATGTTGTTATGAAAATACCACCACCTAAAAAGCAAAGAGACCCGAAAACTCAAGCATCGAAGACGGCCAAACCTAAAAAAAAAGAAAGCTTGCAGGAGACAAAGACCAAAGGGAAGGTGATATTATAATCGAAGAGCCTACCATAGAGTACGTCGATGTTGAAGAGAGGACCACAATCGAAAACATTAAGCCAATAGCAAAGGGTACAACTACTGCCCATTTTGTGAAATTAATGAATGAGCTTCTCGATATCATGAACATGGATGAGAGTCTTCTAGGTAGTTATCTTGCAATGAATAACTGTACTATTCATAAGTCTCATTCAATGATAAGAAAAATTGAGAGTAGAGGTTATAGAGTAATGTACTTACCTCCTTACTCGCCAGAGCTTAACCCAATTGAACAATTTTACGCTCTTGTAAAAGGAAAAATGAAGCAACACAGGCTGACGAATGAAGAGAATCTATCCCAAAGAATTGTCGAAGCATGTAATAATGTACGCCTCAGCGATTTCCAGGAATTTTGTGAGCACTCTAAGCGCCAAATTATCAACTGCTACAACAAGGCAAACTTCTAGTAAGCTGCTTACTTTAATAAATATTTCAATTATACGCATAAGACAATTATACAATTTAAACCGACAACTTCAAATTAATAATTAATAAGACTAGGCATTATATATGAAACAAATGGCTATTATCAATGAATAAAAACACCCTTCTTATCAATGTAGACTTTGAAAGGACTTTCTTGATTTTTTAATTTCTGGAATAAAAAGAATCTTGTAAATCCTTTCTAAAAACTGAATTTACCACAAGGATTAACAAGAGTGAGAGAGATAATTTATCAAGATGAAAGGCCAAAATAAATTATAGTTAGAGAGAATATGTGATACGCAAGATTATAAAAGGGATCATTTTTCATTTGCCAACCACACGGTTTCTTCGATCAAAAATTGGAAATGTCTAGAACTCCGTATTTTTTAGAATCACGTGATGGTCTACACGTCGATTGACATGCCATATCATCTAAACTTTATAGGATGATTGGTTTCTGTTTTCCATAAAATCTGCTTCACTGTCATAACAAGCTACTACTGGATCGCAGATAAACAATTACCAAGATCTGACTTGCTTGGGAGGTTTTTGCAAGTGTTTCTATTTTAAGTAAAGGCCCAGACATTATGAAAGATGAAACAAGCAATTAAATCATTCTGACATAAGCTTGTTTATCAGCCTATAAATAAATCTGGTTCACACACTTTGTTCTTCTCTTTTTCTTTTCCCTTAACATACTTCTTTTATCGTATGAAAGTAACCGATCACGTAAAAAGGTTAGTTAGTATTGACTCTTATTTCTTTGGAAAGAAGCTAAATTGAAAAAGATATATTGTGATATTGCAGCTGCGGCTAGTCTTTGCTATAGGAGGGCGACCTCCTAAGCAGGGTTCTTGAGTTTTTGGAACTCATGAACCGTGAATAGCTGGGATTGGACAGTAATTATGTGCAATCATACTGGTCTGCTGGTATTCTGGCCGGATTTTCTGTAAGTGGTATAAAAAAAATACGTTTATAAAAAATACGGAGGTCTAGACATTTCCCAAAAATTTGGCTGACCGTATGTTTTTCGGCCAGGATTTCAGAGTGATACGCCCTAGTCTTGTGGATGATTCTACATCCAATTTCTGAAGCAAGAAATAAATACTTGTAACTGAAAAAAACACGTATCTAACAGCACCACGTGCTTTTAGAAAAACCTCAGATTGCGTGATTTGTAAAAATCACTTCAATTATATCTGGTTTTTCAGTGTACGATGATTTGATCTTGTGCATTGGTGACTCTGCCGAAGATTTTGCAAGATAGAAATCGTAATGATAAAGGGATACTTTAATGTAACAGCAAAACCTACATTTCCGGACTTCGTATCACGCAAGTATAATGCCATCCAACACGCGTCCATTTCATTGCAAAGTGATAATGCCTTGGATTTGCATTCATATTGGGTTAGGCAATACAATGAAGTGATCAGAAGAGAAAGAGTTGGTCAGAAGTTCCAAGTCGCGTAAGTTTTCTTTTTTATTATGAATCTTCTCTTATTTACTAGGATTTACGTTATTTAGCCCAAAATCCGTAAGCCTGCGGTTTAAGAGAATCTTTGAAATTGTCAAAGAGCAAGTAAGTTTTTTTTTCTTCTCTTTTCTTTTCTTTCCTTTTCCTTATCTTTTTCTTTTTCTTTTTCTTTTTCCTTTTTCTTTTCCTTTTCCTTTTCCTTTTCCTTTTCCTTTTCCTTTTCCTTTTCCTTTTCCTTTTCCTTTTCCTTTTCCTTTTCCTTTTCCTTTTCCTTTTCCTTTTCCTTTTTTTTTTGTTAAGTAACTATGATTTATTAGATGAACACTGCCCATGAGTTTGAATTGGCGTCACTTCGTGTGACGAGAGAAGCATTAAAGGACGTGGCATCCGTTACTCAGGGTGAAGGTGGTCATGATACAGAAGTATTTCAAGCAGGTCATCAGACAGAAGAAGTTCAAGATGGCCTTCACACAGAAGTAGTTCAAGCTGGTCTTTACACAGAAGAAGTTCAAGCTGGTCATAATACACATGCTGTCAGGAATATACCGCGAGATCTCTCAATGGATTCTCCTTTACCAAGTGATTGGCTGCTACCACCTGGACCTCCAAATCATATTTTAAACCTCTACAAAATCAAGCATTGGCCAATGGTTGTAGAGAAGATGGTCAAGATAAGGTGGATGCAACAAGACATGTATTTGTTAAACAAGTGTGATACAACATTTGATATAAGAATTATAATGGTGACAAGGGTGTGGTTGACGGAAAGTCCAGGAATTCTCTGGTGACTATGAGTTCCATGGATCTTTTTTGCCGGTGTCTATGAAATGCCTGAAAGAATCTTTCTGGTAACTATGGAGAACAGAAAGAAAAACTTATTATTAGGTGAGTAAATAGAATAGACATGTAACAGCCGGACTTTGCCGATGCTTTGCTGTGCTACCGTACCGAAACTAAAGCTTATGTAAACTTGTAGTACACGCCATTCTAAAAAAGTAAGGTGAATTACTTTAATAGATGCTTCCCATTAGAAGTCAAGGAAAGAATGAAACGCATTGTAGTCTAATGCTCAGGTGTCAAGTCGGTATGAGCCAAAGGAACCCATTAACAAGTCTCTCCTACTGGTCGCTTAGATGGGTCCCTTAAAATATTAGGTAGGTAACTATAACAAAAAAATAAAATAAAAAAAATAGGGCTCCTTATTTTAATTGTCTAGACACTTTTTATCACAGATGTATTTCAAGAAGCAGGAGCAAAATCGAATCCATATATCAACGTGTTTACGCCAGTAGAACAAACTGAATTTGAAAAATTAAATAATTCAAATTGTTTAAATTTTATCAGCCACTCTTTCCACACATATTATAAACATACCATGTCTGCCATCGATCATTCGGAAATCCTTGAGAGGTCTAGTGAGCTAAGGGAAGAATTTGATAAGTAAAAAAATACATGGTCCCTGATGCAAGTATGGTGGATATGCTTGGTGATGAGAAAATGCTCGGTGGTGCTGGTGCTGGTGCTGGTGCTTGAGGGCGGCGAGGTAAGAGTGTGGGGTGCTGCAAGTTTTGTTCTTTTTACCGAGTTTGATATACCTGTTTGGGCGAGAGAGCGCAAGTTCTGTGAAGCCACCTTCGTCCGCAAATTCCAAGAAATATTGGATATTTTGTTCAAAAACACAAAGATCTTTGCCAAAGATGGTGAATCATCTAGTGAAGCTGCAAAGTCCAATCAAATCACAAGTGAAGATGCCACTCAATATGGGAGAAAGTTGGATGTGTTAGTTTCAAGTGAACAAAATGCTCATGATGATATAAAAGTCTGCTCAAATGAATTTAAAAAACCGGATGCTACATTGACCATGAAATGCTACCAACAAAGTAAAAACCTCCGATTGAATGCTTGTATCTGGAAAAAATTGTTTGATATTTCTGAGAAAAAAAACCTCACCGTGGACTACTTTGATTTTATTGGCAGACGAGGGGTCTTATCACAACTGTTTTTTTATAAAAACAATTTCGTTGGTCATGCATTGTGTCAGGTTGTGATTGTGAACAGTTTGGTGGAGTTAGAGATTCTGCACGAATCAATACTCAATTTGTACAAATGGAGAAGAACTGTAAAAAAAAACCAGTCATTTTATTTCAATCGCCATTGCACAAGTCAAAAAATACACGCTTGCGGACATATATGATGTTACCGAATCAAATTCGGCAGCTTCCAGACCAACAACCTTGCCAAATATATGTTCAACTCCCCCTAGGCCAACAACACCAGCGAAGAGAAAATTTAAGTAAACTATACTTTTTGACGTGATCGAGGCTATATACTTAATATATGACTCTATCTACACCTCTTAAATCTTCCATTGATGATACTATATATTAAATATTGATACTTTATATCAAATATTGATATTATACAAATATTGGGTTTATTACATAAATTATATATATATACACACACACACAGATAGAGAGAGAGAGAGAGAGAGAATTTCTTTTAATGTCCCTTTAAGAAATGATCGACGGATTCAATGGTATCACTTCTTCCGATACTTGCCTGCACCATATGCTCCAAGGCAAGTTGAATACTAAAATTAGGGCTTACAAACTTCTCCAGCAGATGCAACAACTTCTTCATGGTTCGTTGTTGACAGTAGCCTATAGGATATCTGGTAAAGAATGTAGCAAACACCTGACAAAAAATTTGCTGGTCTGTCAATGGACCAATCAGCTTCACATGTCTCCCGTTGTGTGGAATCACAACATGATTTATCGATTCAAACTGTGCCAGTTTCTCCTTGCTAAGTTCATTACCTGAACGAAACGCCTCATCGAAAAACAAGAGTAAGATAGCCTCCCAGAGCGAACTTCGTGCCAAAGGATCAAAATCAAAAACAGGCGCAATTAAATCGTATGATTTCCTCGAACTTTGAGCCAGTCGAAGCACATGTTTATAGTTGCTATTCTTTCCAGTTAAAGGAGCAGGGAAAAATCCCTGTTCTTGAATAAGTGCTTGACAAGAGCTTTCATGTTCCAAAAACTCTACCAAGTCATTCCCAAAGATGTCAATCTTACCATACGATTTGAAGCCATAGTTTATTAAGGAGGCGTAGCCATCAAAGGGGAGTTGTTGCATAGCCTTGGGAAAAATCAGATGAAGGTCCACGGTATCGAAGGAAGAGCGTCTTTGACGAGTTTCTGATTGCTTGATTAAAGAATCTAAGGGCTTACCATAGACCTGTATCAGCACCTGGATCAAGTAACGTGGAATAAAGGCGCCGGAGTAGATCAAGTATTGCACAAATTGGCTGTTACATTGCGACGGGAAAGACAATAAGGCATAATAGATGGCAAATCTGGGACCATAACGCGTCACTACCCATGCAGCATTGCTGCGTTTATCCAAGGCAACTGCACGAAATGCTTTGCATGTGCGAGAAAAAGCAATTTGACAATCGGCAGTTTCAAGCTGTTGATAAATACAGCAAATTAGTTCTTTCGGCAGGTTGGATATCTTATTTAGCAGTGGTTTTTTTATTTTCTTCTGATGCAGACGAGTTTTAAGCGAAGAAAGTATAGACATTTTTTTTAAAAAGAGGAAGAGATAAAGAAAAGAATGGTAACCCACTCTTTTTTTCCCCCATCCCTTTATTCGAATGTTTATTACACACACAAAAAAGTTATCATAATTTGATCCTCTACAAATATCACGTTTACTGACATGCTTATTTCTATTGGTCAGAAAAATTTACATGAAAATTGTTTCTTTTCTTTCTTTTTTGTGATATTTTTTAAAATAATGTACTATCATGTGTGCTCAACCAATTGTTTCAAAAGAGGCCATACTTGCTTACGAGACATTTTGATATTTCCTTGCTCATAGAAACGACTGTCGAAAGGCATAGGTTTCAACTGTAAATCCTTGTTCGTTTCCAAACTTTCTTTGACACCCATCAACTCTGGGTTGACCACAAATACTGCCAATTCACGTCTATAGTCACCCCCTTTTCCTTCGCGGTCATGATCAAAAGCGGTAAAGATCACCTCCATATCCAACTCACGCTCTTTAGCATACTCCAATGCTGCCTGCGAGATGGCTTCCGCACCTCCTTCTCGTTCTACCCAAGCGCGAAAATGCCACGTCACTGCACTCGTTCCAATCTTGTATCCATTTACATTAGGAAATTCTTTATAATCTCTACGCAGAATATCATAATTATTCATTGAATCTACTTGAGATTTCACCTTCTCAATCGATTTGAAAAAGGCCTCGGGGACCAACTCTAGCTTGTGCTGCAAAATGCCAAATACCTGCACATCGGATTCCGTAGTTCTGCCTAAATCCCATTTCAGATTCACCGTATCAACAAGTAAAGGCGCTACTGCTAAATGGGCCATCTCTTGTGTCAGCCATGGAGAGGTTGGCTTGACCTGGAAATGTTGTAAGACCAATGTTACACAAGACCCCACCATCTGGATCACTCTGAATGGAGCATCCGTATACAGCCCTTCATCTACATGGTGATCCAACACACCTACCACATGCTCAGACCATGACTCTGTAGCAAAAGGTGCAGTCAATTGATTGTGGTCAATTAACACAATATCTGTGGGTTCGCTTATAATTTCGCTGACCATGTCTATTGTAACCAACTTTCGGTAATCAAGTCCAACTTGTGTCAAGACAAACTTTAGTTCCGGTCGAAGCTCCAAGTCTCCCTTGGGTACTTTGACAATGGGAATATACAATGTGTTTGATTCTTGTGTAGTGTGGCTTAAGTAAGCGAAAAGAAGGGAAGAGATAATGGAATCCAAGTCTACCCAAAAGTGTTACTGAAAAAAAGACGCCATGCGCATCCTAATTGAAAATAGCTATCTTCTCTCTACTTATTTTACCTGCCGAATCGTTTCCAGAAACAAGGACTTTCTTTATATTCTTGTTTGAAAGTTCACGATGAACATGTCCCAGATATTCGTCAATTGAAAGCATGGCACACTCAATAGCAGCAAAACAGGCCTATTTTTTTTTTAAAAAAATAATCAACCGTGGAGTTTCAAAAAGAGATAAATCGGTGATTATCTGCTAGCGCATGTGGGGGGTGGGAGAGGTTGTTATGTTACCATGCAAAGTAAAATTAATAATATTCGTATAGACTCTGGTGTCATCTTTTTTTGAAATATATAAGAGAATATGTTTGTCTGGGTTGATTGCAATACAGACAGTTTCTTTTAGGATGTGAGAAATGTAAGCACAGAAATGGGCACCCTTTAAGAGAGAGCAGTCACGAAAAAAAAAGAATTATTTTTTTTATAATGTTGACAGGGAGTCTTGTGGACCTTTTTTTTAATATTGTTGCACCTTTATCATTAAACATGTTAAGTCGTTTTGCTCAACAAACTGGACGTATTGGTAATTAGTAAAGAAGGGACAACATAAGTCAAAACCCGACTTACAAATTATTTTATAATGACAGGTACCAGCCCCAGTCTTCTTAAGCAAGAGTTCCATGGGTCTGCCATTCGCATGGCCAAGAAACATCCCAAGCAAATCAAGAAGGAGAATCTTGCCAAGCGTGCTGCCAAAGTAGCCGAATTCGAACGCACCAAACCTTCCTTCATTGTCTCGAGACCTGCACCTTTTTTCAACACATTGCATACACCTGCCAGTGCCTATCAACAGGTCGACCAACAATCAGGATACCAACATTTTATGACCGAACAAGACAAGGATTTCTTGTTTGAAGAGACACCCAAAAAATCAGTAGAGTCTAGTCATATGGCTGCTATCGATGGCATTGAAGAAGCTCTCAAAAACGAGAAGCTTAAAGTCGACACAATCCAAAAAATCGTTGGCCTTCAAAATGCTAACGCCAAAGCTGTTCAAATCTGGAATGTCCACCAAGCTATTGACTGGTTCAAGTTAAAGGAAGGCGACACCGGAAGTCCTGAAGTACAAGGTAAGATAAAGATAAAATTGACTTGGATAAAGATCACTTACATCTCCTCCTTTGTTAAGCCGCTATTTTAACTGTCCGCATACATAACCTCAACTCTCACTTGAATCAACATCGCAAAGATAAGCACAACTATAAGCAATTGCGTACCATGGTTCATCAACGCGCAAAGCTTTTAAAGTACCTCAAATCAAAGGATGCTCAAAGATATTATAAATGTTTAGATGGTTTAGGTTTAGAACCTAGAGCTGTCGAAGGTGAAATCACTCTGTAATTAATTAATAAAAAAACATGTCCAGACAAACATCGTAGAAATATCGCAGGATTCCTTTTTATTTAGTCGATTACTACAGCACAATGATCACATACCTGAAAGTTTTTCTTGGAAGCTTCATAAAGTTTTATGAGATGAATGTACCTTAAAGATGATGTCTCGGGGATTGATCATATAAGCTTTGATGTCATCCATTGTTTGAATCCATACAACAGAAAAATCAGCCGATTATGAAAAGGACACCGTTAAAAAAAGTTTAGTTTCGTGGTACTTGCCCTACATGTTTAAGGGCGCAACTGTAATGACGTGTAAAGGTTAAGATAGTTAAATATGTAGTTGGGGAGATAGACAGCGTGCTTTCAATCTCTTGTGTGACACAGCTAAACGTCATTTTTTTTCATGCCAATCAAGAACCCCATAAATCCGCAGTAATTTTGGATTATAGACATGAAATATCAATGGTTGTGTTATATATTTTATCATAATGCTTCAAGCCTGAACTTACATCAATATAAACACTACATTTTCTTTCTCAATCAAAGAAATAAACTTTGCTATGGAAAGTATGTCTGTATTTCTAGCATGAAGCAGCGTTGTTTTATCATTATTGATTATCATTTCACTCTTTAATTGGAAGACTCCTTTTTTTACTCGGCACTTTAAAAAAAAAGTATAAATATGGCTTTCCCCCACCCCCAGCTTTTCTGGTTTATCATTTTATTTTGACATAAATTTATTTTTATAATGGAGGGTATTGTATTTATTGACGGACAAGCTTATGAACAAACCAAGGAAGAGAGAGAAATGGAATTCATCATCTCTGAAGGTTTGCGCATGATGGAAGAAGATGAACGTGAGCAAGAAGAATTTGATTTAATGTATGGTGATGATCAAGAAGAGGATCAAAACGACGTACAAGATGATACTGACTACTCACAGGAAGATTCCGCGCAAGACAATGGTTACTATGACAACGGTTCTCAAGATGATTACCATGACGATGTCTACGCCCAAGATGCATATAATGATGAGGATGATTACTAAGATGCCTCTTTTTTTTACATAAATAAATAAATAATTAAATCACATACACACACACGCACACGCACACATAATCTATTTCACTACTTTATTAAAGTGTTATTGCTATTTCAACGGTCTGTCAATACGATACAGATCAGGGAGAAGATAAGGCTCATGTGATACAATCATATCATGCCTCCCCTCACTATTCCTACTCTTGACAGCACAGTTCCGACAGTACGGGAAGGCCTCGCATTTGAAACACCAGCTGTTTAGAACATTGGTCCCGAGCTCTTTTGTGAATTAAAATCAATCATTATTAGGTGAGGCAATGTACATGATATACATAAAGGATTCTTTTATATTGTTTCCCATGGATTTGTTTTTGTTTGGAATCCTTTGTTATTGTTGCAGCCAATCTAAATTTGACTTGGTGTCACACAAGTTATCTTCCTTCACAAGAATTGTCGCGAAAATTGTCCAATCTATTGTGTTGTTAATCTCTTATTTTACACGAGGAAAATAAGAGGTAGTCCCATCTATTTTGTAATGGTACTTGATAGGTTATCATAGGCGATATCTTTGAGTAATACATGTCTTGTCTTTGACCATTTCTAGCGCCCCATGCAACTCCTGTTCTATGTATTAGTTGTGTACCCATTACAGCTTCGATCTCTTTTAGACCTTGTCTATCATTGACTACATATGATATTGGTCAACAAGCATCATTGTGATGACGATTTATATTTCCAAAATTTTCGTATCCCGGACCACAAACAAAAAAACCACTTAATTAGCTTAATATTTATCTACATCTACATTTCTTGTTATGATTATTTAACATAAAATTGACGTTTTATGCGTAATAAAACATGAATCGTTTTCTCGCGATGGTATTTGTCTGGCGCGAAAACGTTACAATAGAATATTGTAATTCGTCAATGAAAAACTCCTGCGAATCACAAGTCTTCATCATAGGAGCTGAGGCCTAACATTCAAGCAAAACAAATTCATTCTTGACCTTTACGTCTTTCATGGCCTGATTGGGAAAGTTTGTATAATTTTCTCCAAGTCTATCAAAACAAATTTTTGAAACAAAGTATAAAATGTCTGCAACACGAAAAAATGCATGAGAACCAGTCTTAACACTAGGTGTGTTTGGCCAACCCTAAAGCTGAAAAGTGTGAGCTATTATTGTAGCTTCGAGAAAAATAAGGGAATCTATTATCAACTGACCTTGGCGTGGGCACTTGACATTTTATTAATGATCTGTTTAAGAAGAGAAAAAGAGAAAGTGAATGTGCCAGTTTTATTTATAATAAGAATGTGAACCTTTTTATGTCAGGATGAGATAATCAATTGGCTATAGAGCCTTACAGTCAAAAAAATTATATGTTTATGTGATGTAAAATGTTAGTCAGGGAACAGAAACGACAATGAAGTTTCTTTTGTTTTGTGTTTTGTCCAAAAAAGGTAAATTAACATCTAAAAAGCCCAGTTCGTTCAAGTTTTGATCAAAGATCTCCCAAATGACGATGGAAGCACTGTTTGAAAAGCATTGCTAAAAAGAACCCTAACTCCGGCGGAAGTATGGACATTATATACTAGACTTTTTGATTATTATGCCCTGCTGAAGCAACTTGCTCAAGAAGAACGATGAGGCCACACAAAAGCGTGTGAAACCCATACATATCGTTGGCGTAAAGCCTAAATTGCGGGGAGTCAAGAATTTCATTGGACCTTGATTCTGGCATGATGCTTAGCTTCAAACAACATTTTTTTACTTGATGTTATTCTAACTAAAGACAGAAAATAACGCGAGCTCTTTACTCTTGTGTAATTGAGCACAGCATACACCTTTGTGTACACTACTCGCATTCTTTTTTTACATGTCAGGAGGGCAATCTGATGGTAATGGTCAAACAGGAAATAAGAAAGAGAGGCATTGCATTCCGAGATGTCCGAATCCTGTTTAAGGCTTTGCTAAAAACATTGTCACCATCGTATTATTATTTCACCAAGGAGATTGAGATGCCAAATTATTCAGAGTTAATAGAAGTCATATTCTCCATGTCACGGTTTGTAGTGTCCCGTGCAACTTGTAAATACAACGATAAAGCCTTTTTATTTATTTGCACTCGATACTCTATTATAAAAATAACCCAATTACTATTCTAGTCCATGTGATGAATAATAAAGTTGTGATGTTTGTCATGTTACTGTCGAGGGCCAACATGTGATACAATAATGGTAAAAGACATAGAACCTTCTAACCTGCTTTGACACAGAATAACAGACTATCGGATGCTGACTTGAGCAAGATTACACACACAAAATAAATTGTCGGCCAAGACATTTTTTTTATATAAGGGGTTAAGGTTTTCATGCAAAAAAAAAAAAAAAAACTAATGACAGCTGCGCGATTTGACTTTATAGTGCCGCACTATTGCTTTTTTCTTACAGAAATAGATTCTCGAGATTAAATTACAAGACACTCCGACAAAGGATCTTCCAAGTGAGCAAAAACAACATTGAGTTTAAGGAAAAACCAAAGATTTATAATAAATGATTAGATATGAAAAAGAGACAATGAATACCCGACCACAAGTCAAATTAATTATAGCTTGAAGGAATTACAGTTGTTTATCAATGACGACTTTAAAGTGACACGTAGACACTTCTGATTCAAAAATATAAAAGCACAGAAAAATAGATTTACCATATTTGTAAGAATAAGGTGCATGTCAAAGCCTTGAAACAATGAAAATAAGCGAGAACAAGACAATCAAGATCATTCTTTTACGGACAAACTGTTTGCATTATATTTGGGAGTAATAGGGAATTGGCCTTATTCGGTGTAACAGCAGGCTTTTTATTATTGGCTATGGTAATACCCAACCCCATTTGTATTAAATAATCAAAGGGAAAAAAGTCTCCTCACCGTCATGTGTGTGATTTACACTTTTTTTTTTTAAAAAAAAACTCTCCTTGAGTATGTATAGTAGATTTTCATACTATGAAATACTTGGATAAGGGTCTCTGCCCTTTGTAAAAAAAATACACATCTACTGGAATAATTAATAGGAGTGTGAGAGGAGTTTCAAGGAACCAAAAAAACACGCACAACAATAGTCAAGGCGTACAAGGATTCTTGGAAGTTCCGATGATCCCCAAAATATAAGGAGTTGTAATTCACCTTTTTATGTTTTTTTCTTCCCTTTTTCTTACTTTTTTTTTTTTTTTTTTTTTTTTTAATATATACCTACCTTTTTCCTTTATTTATCCCCATCAAATTTTATAATATAATATGGGTGGAAATATTTCACGCGATCCACCTACTGGAAGTAGAAAGAAATCGGGATTTCGAAATAATTCGACAACAGCCTCTACGACAACCACCGCCGTAACAACCGCCTCCGCCAACACCGAAGAAAAAAAAGTAATGATACAAAAGCCAACAAAGAGAACGATTTATGGAAGGGCTTATCACGCTAACGAGGATAGTACGTATATGCTGCCGAGAGACGACAGAGAGATTGATAGATTACATGAGGAGCACTTTATTACAAAGGAACTACTGGGATTGTATGTTGTAATTAATAGTGATTACTTTATTCAGAAAAAAATTTATTCTCAACCATATTTTATATATTTTAAATAACAGTAATATCATGTCAGAAGCATTGAAAGTCATTGATTTTCAAACAGGTGGGCTGGACATATTAGACGTCTGTTGTGGTCCTGCAACATGGCTATGTGAAACTAGTTTGGAATATCCTAATTGTCATTTTGCCGGCATCGATATGTGTAGTCTTTGGCCACAAGTCATTCGGCCTGTAAATCTTAGTTTTACTGAAGCGGATGTATTACAAGGATTGCCTTATCCCGATAAAAGCTTTGGTACAATATATAAATATATATATCTAATCAATTGTAACAATAACTAATTTTTCTGTGTGTGATTTTATATAGATTTTATTCAAATGAGGTAATTTTTTTTGGAGCACTATTTTCAACTCGTGTATATTAACGAATTGTCAATTTGTATAGGTTCGTGGTGCTTGCTTTTAAATCTAATGAATGGCCATTTATTATATCTGAAATTAAACGTGTTTTAAAAGATGGCGGTTGTTTCCAATGTATTGAATTAGATATGCGGGTAAGACAAAGGGCAACACTAAAAAAACTGCTTGATTCCTGATATTAACGGTATCATTCTTAGATTACCACGTCGGATACAGTGGTGAAGAGTTATACAGAAGCTTGTAAGTGTCACTTTCTCGTCCTATAATTTTCTAAACTAACCACAAAAAAAAAGTCGAATCTTTTTGTGCTTCATTTGGCCTAGATGCTTCAATAGGTGCCAAACTAGATTTATTACTGACGAACGATGATGGAGGAGGCGGAACAGAAAATGAATTGAGAATTTTACAAAGCGAATACCGAGAAATACCACTTGGATGGGGTGGTCCTATTGGTGATGCCTATATTCAAACGTTCCAAGGTGCTCTTGATGGGTTATCGCCTTGGCTGAAACAATCACTGAATATCACAGACCACCAAGATTATGAATCCTTAATGAAAAAAACAACTCAAGCCTTAATTCAATCAAAGTCCTTTATGGGTTTATATGCTTTCTTGTTACAGAAACCATTAAACTAATATCTACTCCCTTTACTCTATTTATTCCCTGTAATTTATTTCTTTTTTCTTAAAAAATCAAACCTATTCCAAAAAACATCACAAGCATAACTTTTGTACAATGGTAACATTGTAACCTTATACAGACCGGAGTTCTCTGCTCGATTTCATGTTTCATTACGACAATAATTGTCGATTCCAGAAGTCTCAAGGGACTCTTACTTTTATGAAATAGCTAAAAAAATAGATAGTCAGTCTAAGCACGAATTGACACTAAAAAACAATTGATTATGTATTTATTCTCAGCTACAATCACGCATGTAAAGAGTGAGAGATCTGATATGAACATTACATATCTGTTTAGAGATACGATGACGTACATGAAACCTTCTTTTTTATAAAACTTCTTGATTCACACCAATACGTATTTATAATCTTTTTTTGTTCATTGTTGCACTTTTTTTTTTCTCTTGTCTTTACATAAACATTGATGACTTCCAAGTATCGAATTTTAAACGGGGTTACCTTATATAGAGTGGGTACTGTACTGTACGCTGTCGCTCGAAATTACAGTGTGCGCACTTTTAATTAAGGCAACATGTAAAGTGTTCAGACCGGGAAATATACTAAACTGACCATTCACGATTCTATACATAATCAATGGAATTGTGACAGTTACAAAATAAGCTTAAATATGTAGGCTTTGCCCTTTATCCATATGCACCTCTTTTGTAATCACTTGAATTTCTCATATCATCGTCAACATTCAATGTAGAAGATGCTAACTAACCCATTTTCTCAAATGGCACAAAAGATTCTGTAAAGTTTAGATCATGGATACTTTTTATTTTGCTTTATGTTGTATTCAAGTAGCGTATTCAAGTAGCGTATAATGATTTTAATTAAAACCTTCACTGTCTTTTTTTACTCCTGCCAATTTTTATTGTTGGATCGAAGGGTGATGATGGCTAGTATCTTTTACGACTTGTAAACTGCCATCAGAATAGGCATGTGCTATTTATCTTGGATGATTAGAGGAACCAAGTCATCTTTCAGCACAACCTCCATAATGATTTTAACTATTTTGAGGAAGGTTTTTAAGTATGTTCCACAAAAAAAAAAGTGTCAGTGTAAGTCATTCTTAAGCAATAAACGAATGCGTATGTATTTCATCATCAAAGATATGACTTTAGTAGCATGATATTTCGAATTCCAAAAACAGCACATACAAGGTCAATAAATGGGATGAGGATCTCTTTAACATCGAGCTGACAATTAGCCATCAATAATTTTTGTTTAGCAACCTGTCAGCTTTAACCTCCCAAATTGGCAATCAAAAAATCTCAATTAGGTTGTTTAAGTACGCATCATATCAAAGTAAGGTCTTACGATAAGCAACAACTTCTCACTTAAATTGGACGCCTTTAATTTTTTATTTTTATTTTTAACTATTGTGTCATTTTGCCTGTCTTTTAAAAAGAGAGCAGCCCTCAGACCAACTGTTGCAGTGTCGGCAAATGTGAAATTCATGTTTACAACTTTCTGGTCTTTTTTCATGAGCCCCACCTTTTTTAAATGTTTGAATATTATTCTGGACTCAGTGTGTAAGAATGAAGATGTGACTATAGAAAGAGAAAAATGAGATCAATATAATAAAGAATGATAAGAATTGGTTATAGCTCGAGCACTGTCTACGCTTATTTCGACAGAAAATCACTTTGAGCACAATATATAGTTTTACAGAAGCATACCGTCGAGCTTTCATTTTTGATCTATTTCATAGAAATAATACAAAAAAGTATTAATTGTGAAAATAAAAAAATTAAAAAGTAACCAATATTATTTATCAAGAAAATAGATCGTGAAACCCGAACTAGTTTTATTGTTTAAAAAAGCTAGCGAGACACGAGCTTGATTTATTTACATAAGCGAAAAAACCTTAAAGTTCTAGACTATTCGCAGTAAATGAGAACAACCAATTTACGTAAGAATACAATAACTGATTGCTTAACTATGTATTCAGCTCAATGAATAAAAGGAATAACATAAAGTGCTGTGCTTAAATAGCATCTTTCGGGTAAGACTCTGGTCGTTGGGAAATCTACATGTTGTAACTCGAGAGTTTATATCGCCATTTTGGTCTGCAAAGGATATTTGTCAATCTTATTAATATTCCCGTTCGGGACTTACAGTCTCCCTCTACCAAGTGTACATAAAATCATTAAATGCTAACAAAGTGTGTGTGTTTTTTTTGCCGTTCAGGACTCACAGCCCCTCTCTAACCAATTTATAAAACTTCATTTATCAATTTTTATTGGGACTGTGAGCCTTAAAATGATGACACTTTCAAGCACTGTTTTTCGATCACACACCCTTTCTACTACTTACCCTTTCTAACTCCGTAAACTACGTGAAGAACGTCAAAAAGTGTGGATTTAAAAGACAAGTTTAAAACAAGAAAAAGAGCAACAGTCACTTGCGTGTCACTTTTTTAAATTCTTTTTTTCTGGAATTAGACGTGTTTGGTCGTGTTTCTTCCTCCCCTTTATTTTGGCAGGACGTGAGGTTTAAAAAAGAATGTCATTCGAAAACAAAAACGACATTATCGAACAAGACGACATTGACTCTGATTTCGAGGGCGAAGTTATGCCTACTTCAGGCAGTCCTGGAAGCGATATTGATGATATATTAACAGACGACTTATTGGCCTCTTCTGAAGAAGAAATCAAGAATAAAAAGAGACAATCCAAAAAAACCTTAACTAAGAAAAAGACACCTGTGAAACGTGCAAGAAAAACAACACAAACAAAGTTAAAATTGCCACAGGTACAGAAAAAAAAAAAGAAGAATTAAGTATGTGAGCCTTTGTTCAACCTAACTTTTCCTTGTCTTTGTAAGGGCCCGGAAACTTGGAACCCAACAGAAGTAAAAGAGCTCTCAGAAAAGTACCCAGATAAATACTGGAAACATCATGCTGACTCAGGCTCAAACATGATTCAAATGATTAACAAGGATCACCAATTAGAAACGCTTCCAACTGATATGAGTGATCAGTCTGCCATTGCCAGCATGACACTTTCAGAAGACGGTGGTCTTTTAGCGACATTTTCTAGCATTGGCAGTGTAAAAATTTTCGAAATTGGAGACAACGTCGATGAACTTCGCAAGATTCGCGATGAGGATGAACCTCAGATCGATGAATTCTTTTGTGGAACTTTTACTCCCAATGGTTTATTGGCTGTGGGTGGAAAAATAAAGGATCGTCAACGCTGGTCTACAGAAGATAACGACAATCATATTATGCCATGCGACATTAAAATTTTCGATATGGTCGCTTCCAAGGTCCTCGCACGATTAGTTGGACACGCTGAGGAAGTACTCACCATCAAGGCAATCCAGTTCAAGGAAAATAATTATTTGATCTCAACCAGCCAAGATGGAAGTATATTGAAGTGGCACATGGCAGACGATTGGTCAACACTTATTAGTAAAACAAAAATGGAGGACAACTTCACTTGCATGGCCTTCACCGTCTCATTTTTACCCAATACCGGAAATAAGTATTTCTTGGCAGCTACAGATGAACATGTTCGATTATTTGACTTTGAAACTGGAAAGGTGCGTTACCTAAATCAAAATGACATTTTGAGTAACTAAACACAAAAGATAGTTATTACAAACATTTAGGGATCTTTATACTTCTTATTGTGATTGTGTCAAATTCGTGAAATGGGTGGATGAAGCTGCCTACTTTAAAAATAACGGAATGGACATCAATCACAAACCAGAAGATGGATATGCATGGTTCATCACAAGAGGAACAGAGTTATGTGATGTGAGCGAATTTATCTGTAAGACTTAACTAGTCATATATTTTATGTACATACTGACATTTTTAAACTCGCCTTCAAGCATCAAAACCAAATGTCTGTACTTTGCATAAATTAACTTACCCCACCAAGAAGAACGGAGAATTTAAGGTCGAAGAAATCATGAAATATACACATCCTGAGTAAGGGCTTTGATAAAGTGTATATGAGCGATTCAACTAACAAAAGACAGGTATCGTGCAAATTCATGGTCTGTTAAAATTTCATCCAATGGCAGATATATCTTGGCCCCTACCATCTACGGTCAAGTCTACGTTTTTAACATGTTGACTGGAAAAGTAGCAGCTATTATTAAAGAACATGGAGGTAAGAACAAAGTAAATTATATTCAAACATGCTGGTTGACGTTTTTCTTATAATAGATATTGAAGTCCGTGATGTGATTTTCCATCCTTCAAAACCATTGTTATTCTCATGCAGTGATGGTAGGTCTACAAAAGGATTTTGCAAGGAATTTTTTAAGGCTAATTTTCCCTTAATTAGATGGTTATGTCAAAGTTTACACTTATAAACCGACAGTGAAAGTGGATATTGAGCAAGATCTTGATATTGGTACGGTAGAAAGTGCCACTATCACTAACGAAGAAGCAATGGATGTCGAGGTTGTCATTGACGCCACTGATATTTAGACCCTTTTTTTCATTCCATACACGTACAACACAACGAGATAAAAACCAACAATTGCATCATAATAATAATAATAATAACAATAAAAAAAGTTCCCCGCCTCCACCATTTATTCTATTAATCATCTCTCCAAGCAATATGAACTTCGTCAGTTCTAAAGCGCTGAGTAATTGTACTTTCCTCTAATGGAGTAGTAAATCCTGTTTTGTATGCTAACAATCCGGCATGAGCAATCATAATTCCATTATCAATACAGAATCTCTCGTCTGTTGCACACACAGTTCCGTTTCTTTGAGCTGCCATTTGCTCCATCATTTCTTGTAACCTGACATTGCAACCCACACCACCTACTAACAGCACTTGATTTGATTCTACGTGAGCCATAGCACGTTCTGTGATCTCAACCAACATGGCAAACAAGGTCTCTTGAAGTGAATAACACAGATCCTCAGCAGTAACTTCTCCTTTTGGTAACTCTTCCTTGGCTAATTTTTCAATATGATGCAAGATACCGGAAAATGACACATCCATGCCTTTGACAGAATAAGGTAACTGAATGAATTTTTTTCCGCGCTTTGCATATTGTTCAATGTTGTATCCAGGACTAGGTGCATTCGACAAGTTCAATAATCGGGCAAATCGATCGAGACAATTACCAATGGCAATGTCTAGAGTCTCGCCAAAAATGCGGTAACATTGCTGAGAGTAGGCAATGACTTGGGTATTTCCTCCACTGACATAAAGCACAACTGGGTTATCTGCTTTCGTGACCTCTCTGCCCATTTCGATATCTATGACACAATGACAATTCAATTAAAGGTAATCGCGAGGGGAGTAAGTCTACTTACGTCCGACACAGTGGTTGACACCTACAAGAGGTTTGTCCCATAATAATGAAAGTGTACGTGCAACAATGGCAACAGAAACCAAAGGCGCACCCATACCAGGACCTATAAAGAAAGTATTAAGACACGACGGACTGATACGGTTAATTTTTTTTTTTCATTTTCTACCTTTGGTATAACAGATAACGTCAATGTCTTTTGGTGTCAAATTGGCGTCCTTCAAAGCTTCTCTTGTTACTCTTAAAACACATTCACGGTGATGCACAGCGGTATCGCGAGGAGAGAAACCTTCGCCTGGTGGTGTAATGAACGTATCTCTCACATTGGCCAAAATATCCACTTGGTCATTTTCATGTCGAATAATACCAACACCGAGCTTATTAGCAGATCCTTCGAAACCAATGGCAACAACCATTCTGTTAAATAATAAAAAAACAAAAAAAATGTAGGTGAAAGAGAAAGGTAAGAGAGTCACACAGTGGATCACCCTTTTGTAATCATTTTTTTTTTGTTTTCCCCTGGGAAATACTTAGTTTGACAAGTCAAAAGATTCCTTTTTATTTTTTTAAAATGTAAATTTGTTTTGAAGGGTGTATGTATTTGTGTGTGAATATGTTGTTACAATAGAAGTAAAGAAAAGATAAAAAAAACGAGGCGCGTGAATAAGTTTTTACTCGACAACCTTGGCAAGGATTTCAGAGTCACGGAACAAAAGGTATTCCTACGTAAACAAGTTAATACTTGTATTTCACTATCCCATTATATACGTTTATACCTCTTGCAAAACCTTAACAGGAGTTCCACCATAAGGAGGAAGCAAAATTTTGTCACCAACAGCAACTTGGAGAGGAATATGCTTACCTTCCTTGGTGAGAGCACCCTTACCAACAGCAACAATAACACCTTCGTTTAAAGCTTCTTGTGCCTTCTCGGGAATGAAAATACCAGAGGCAGTTTTCTATAGTACCATGTTAGTCACCAATCCCCCCCACTTATATCATTCGCCATTATTCTTCTATTCTTACTTGTTGAGGCTTGATACGTTGGACCAAGACACGGTCAAGGAGAGGAACAATGTTCTTGAGTTTAGCAGCAGCAGACTATACATATCCCCCATGATTATATTAGTTTTCTTTTTCTTTTTTTTCGTATGTGCGTATATCTTACCATTTTGTAAGTTTGGATGATGTAAAGAGAGGAAAAACAAAATTTCCCCACCCTTGCCCCTCATATATTATGTCAATCTCGGGGAAAAAAAAGACAGTCCCCTCATGGAAAATCGTAGAATTTATTCCATCCTTTCGTATCGAGTCGTGGGAAATTTCAAATCAAGTACTTCTAGTTGTTTCTATTTTCATCTGAAATCCATATAGTAATTTCAGTTCTATAGTTTGGTTTATTCATATACGTAATTCTGTCCTATTTGATGGATTTTATACGAGTGGTCCGGGTTAATAATAATAAAAAAATGTCGGAATCAGTTAGATCTATGTGCATATTACTTGTTGGTTTTAGCATTCTGTTAAAAATCGGTCGCCACGGTGACCATTGATACACTAAGTAGCATGATGCTTGTGTTTCCTATATATAAATCGCACAATCTGTCCATATCAGATACTTTTAATGATTTAGCAATCTGAAGAGATTGTAATCTAGACTTGCCAGTGGGCAATCATCTTTTGATCATGTTAACTATGTGTGGGTTTAAAAAGATCGATTTGGCGATATACACCATGAGATATAACATTTAGTAAGTATACGTGTATTATTCCCATAGAATGTATCATGCTAAATATACGTCAAAAGGCAGTAAATTAGTTTAGTGAACAAGAGATCACTGTGGAATATTAACATGTTCTAACATAGTTTAAGCGCTAAAACTAACAGATACATACATCGGGAGGAACCAAAACGATTAATAGTCATATTGTTGGCGATTAAATAGCCAAAGTTATCCTTAGAACTCTTTATCGAGCAACGCGATGTAGAATGAGGATCATAGGGTTAATTTGCTTGTTAACAGAAAAATGCCTTCTCTTTCAAAACATATTTTGCCTTTAAACATTAACAGGTACCTCGTATGCTTTAAATGTAAATTTTCCAACTTTAGCCGTTACCCTTTAAAACGTTACATAACACCACCTTACAGTGGGATCGAAGTCCATGTAAGCATTCAGCATCAATCTTCCAACGCTGTGACGTGAGGAATAATTCTCTTGGGATGAATTTGGTACGAAAGTTTTTTTTAATAGCCTGATAGTATGGCCTGATATTTATCTATGTGTTTTTTTATTTAAAATGATTTATTTACTCTTCGTCCTCTTCCTCTTCCTCCTCTTCCTCATCATCTTCCTCTTGGGAATCTTCTTCATCTAATTGCATATCATCTTCCTCCTCCTCCTCCTCCTCATCATCATCTTCCTCATCGTTTTCCTTCTCCTCCTTGTCGTCATGCTTCTTTTTAAGGGACTCCTTGGCAGCCTTCTTCTTTTCGACGTTTTGTTCTTGGTGCTCCTTACGAGCAGCCTTTTCTTCAAGAGTCTTTTGTCTCTTACGCTCACTTGCCATGACATCCTTTTGAGATTTGGTGACTAATCATAAAATAAATTAACTATATGATACATAACCGATAAAAAAAAAAAAAAAAAAACTTACTGTAACGATGATAAAGAACTTCACCACCACACATGCCATTCTCAACCTTTGTCAATTCAAGAGTCATACGAGGACCAAGTTCATGAAGTCTAACGGCTCTTTGCTCATTTCTACGGTTGTTACGTCCAGGGTAATCTTGTGATAAAGTCACGGTAGATTCGGGTCCATCCTCAACATCACTTTCAGAGATAATGGCTTCCTTCAAAATGTAGTCTGAAATATCCTCATAATCACCCAAGTTGGGCAAGTTTGTATTGATTACACGCTTGATTGATTTAGAAACACCTGTTGTCTTTACGCCAATACTATAATGTCTCATATCGATCATGCCGGTATCTTCGTTATAGTTGAATAATAATACACGCCTTGCTTCAGATAATTGCATCTATTGGAATATGTAAGTCTTAATTGCCTTAATTTTACTTTTACACACACTTACAGTTTGCACATCGACAGAGGGGAACATATTTTGTAACATCACAGTCATCACCTTGAATTCCTTACCATTTTGTTGAAAGTTGTTCAAGACCAATAAAGGACTGCTTTGATATTCAACATCGGAAGTCTTGGGGTTCTTTTGAAGTGCTAAACAATCTTTAGCTAAAGCGTATTCAGCTACACGGAAAGTAAGTGTGGGTCCACGAGGAACACGAGAAATACGAAGATTGACATTCTTTTCAGTACGACTAAAAATCAAGAAATGGGTGACACCTAATTGACCGGCAACAGAGACAAAATCCTTGAGACGATTAGATCTACGTTCCTATAAATTAAGAGATGGTTTTAATATTTTCGATTGGACAGATTAATAAGAAATATTTACTCTCAAGTGACTAGCTGTATTGGGTGCTAAAACACGACGCACATCTCGGACCAATGCTGTGACCGATGTACCCACTATACCAGATCGCATGACAAAACTCTTGGGGATCTTGTTAATTTCTTCCTCGGAGGGAGCAATGTGGGTTCTGGTCTTTCTCTATATTATATTTGGGGAAGACTTATTTTAGTATGTTATGTAAAACACAAGTCGTTTCGTATCTATGCTAACCTTTCTCTTGGCCATTTTTAAATTTTTCTTGTATTTAAAAAAAGGATCTAGTTTATAAAGAAAAAAAAAGTTTTTGAGTGTCAAACTGCCTTTATGGAAATGGAAAAAATGCTAAAAATGAAAGAAAGGCCGTCACTTAAAACGCGTCACACCAACTTTTGCTAAGTCTACTTTGCGTTGTTTCCTGACTTTACATCTCTTTGTCTAAATGGTTCTTTTTATGTTTATATACTTGATAAGGTACTAAGTATTATGCATACTTTGTTTAAACTTAAATAATTTGAAGATGATATTCTCGAGATATCCTTGCTTCTTATAAACGATATAATCACCCTTTATACAGAGTGGTCTGTATCAGAAATTATGCATAATAAAGTACTTCAGTTCTTGACACATCAAGTGCATCATCATTCAGATCAGTGAAACATGGAGACCGAGAGAACATTGCGCTTGCCAAGAGTCATATAATGTCTACTTTTATATATGCATCGCGTTTAAGTTTTACTTGTATTTACAATTGATATGCTATCTTCTGGCTATTCTTTACAGGTAAGAAAGGATTTAGATGATCCAAGTTCGTCTCACTGCATAGGTTTTATAAAAAGGGAGGGAGGGAGTTTCTTCCTCCGCCTAGAATTTTCTATAACCTTCGAGGCCTTTGCCTGGACGGTCCCCAACCCAATTGCAACTCCACCCGTCCCGCCTTCTAAAAAGTCACGTAAGCAGTTTCTTCCATTTTCTTCTTTTTTTTCTTTATTTTTTTAGATTACAACGTCGATTCCGTAGAGAAAAATGGTCAAGTGTACACACAAGGGTTGCGAAAAGGAATTCAAGGAAGAAGAGAACGTAGACAATGGTACACGAAGTTTTTATTCTTTAAGTATTCAGCAATTAATATATTTTTGTAGCTTGTCAATATCATGCCGGTGCTCCCGTTTTCCATGAAGGTAAATTGAATGCACCTCTTTTATTTCGAAAGGAAACAAGTTGCTGATAAAAAAAAATGTAGGTTTAAAGGGCTGGTCTTGTTGTAAGAAGAGAGTTGACGATTTTGATGAGTTCCTCGCTATTCCTGGCTGTACACATGGTCGTCATTCCACCGAAGTAGCTGCTTCTGCTGCCCCTGCTCCTAAGGCTGCTGCTACAGAAGTGAAATCCGCTCCTACTGCTAGTCATGTCACCAAAGAAGGTGTTGAGGTTTATGGAAAAGCACCTGCACCACCTGTTGCTGTTGCTGCACCTGCTAAGGTTGAAGAAGCCAAACCTGAAGTGATTGAAGAGGACGATGAGACTGTTCCTGTACCTGCTGGTACTACTTGTAAGAGAAGAGGTTGTGGTCGTGTTTGGAAAGATCAAGCTACTTCTCGTGGAAATGGCGAAGAGGCTACATGTACTTTCCACCCTGGAGCTCCCATTTTCCATGAAGGTTCAAAGGGCTGGAGCTGTTGTCCCCGTAAAGTTTTAGACTTTGATGAATTTTTAAAGATTGAGGGTTGTAAAAAAGGAAAGCATTTGTTTGTTGGTTCTTCAAGTGAGGTAAGTCTTCAACTCTTCAAAAACTAAAGCTATGTTTCTAATATGCACGGCAATAGAGCGAGGAATTAGTCGATTGCCGTACGGATTGGTACCAAACTCAGACCAACGTCATTTTGAGTATTTTCGCAAAGAACAAGGAGGATACCAAGGTTACATTCGGTAAACAATCCGTCGATGTCGACATTAAAATGAAGGGTAACAAGCGTTTTAAGAAGACATTCCCTCTCTTTACCGTAAGTCTCCCCTCGAAGAACGCACCTATGTGTTTTGTATTAATGTTTTTTTTTTCGATCTTAGACAATTGATGTCGAAAACTCGAAATTCACAGTTCTTTCAACAAAGATCGAGATCAATTTAAAGAAGGATAGTGGGATTTCTTGGGCATCCCTCGAGCCCAGTGATGATATTAAGACTTGGACAACATTTGGTGTTCTTGGTACTGGAGGAACTGTTGGATCCAAGGAGATGTATTATAACGCCGATTCTCCATTAAACTTTGTAAAGAAGTAATTTAATTTTTATAAAAAGCATTGTTTATTTTTCTTCTTTTTTTTTCTTTTTTCTTTTATTTATTCATCATCTTCATCTTCGTCTACGGCTTCAACGACCAAGGTAGCACTTGGCCATAAGCTCTTGATATCGCATAAATGGGTTTGGGTGTCCGGCTCATATTCCATTCGAGGATAAGGACTATGGATTGTAAATTTATATTGATGAACATAATCACTAGGTGGAACATCGACATGTTTAACATTTTCTTGCTGTAATAAAGGAAACACCTCAACAAATCGGTACAGAGTATCGACTGTATCATCGTGTTTAAATTTACGTATAATTCTATCGCCACCAGCTAAACGGAAACTCAATTTAGCGATCCTGCCTTCGGTTGGCTCTTCAGGTAAATTGGCATATAAATACTGAATGTATTGAGTTCGCTTTTCCTTGTATAATTCAATCTGCCTTAATTCGTCCTGTGCCTGTTCTTCTATTCTAGCTAATGCCTCCTTTTCCTCCTGTGCTAATCTAGCCTGTATGATTATGTTTAGTCATAATCGTCCGAAATGCACTTAAAAAAAAATTACCTTTTCTTGATCAGCTCTGAGACTTTGATGGTACGCAGCATCTTGATCTTTAAGCAATTGGCGTTCCATATCACGTTGACTTCTCTCATTTTTCAATCTATTAACTACTGCCCCTTGACGATCAATAGCAATTTCTATTTGACTGATAAACTCTGCGGGATGAGATGGACCCTCAATACGTTCGATCACAGTCATTTTTGGTGTGGCGTTTCCAAGTGATGTTTGTAAAGCAATGAGTGCAATAAAAGGATATGTTGTTGCTTGCAGCGCATAACTCACTAATTAACGCACATTAGCATTTGGACTATATCCTTATTTTGTTGTTATTACCTTTGTGTGCTTCCGATTCACGAACATTACCTCCCCACACAAGAATATTCTTTTCCTTTATAAAATCAATGACTTGAGGAGAAGTAAGTGTTTCTCTGCTGAATTCCTGTGTATCATCGTGATCATCGCTTTGAAGTATAACCAACATAAACCTCAACTCTTTTCTTGCCTTTTCTAATGCCTGAGAATAGCCACCTTTAAAGAATTCCACATGATTTTCACCGTATTTTGTTTCAAATGACTCGATAAATTCAAATGCCAACACACGTGGGTCTCTTGGCTTATTTGTAATCGTAGGTCGATAAATAATGCGTGCTAAAATAAGGCATAAGTTTCAAAAACTAAAGATAATAAAGAGAAATAAAACTTTACATGCAAGTGATAGAATAGACCAAGTTATATTCCAAGCTATTCCGAACGGCCAAAACAAGATTGAGAGAAAGTTAAATCGTGATTGTCTTGCTTGGTGACTACTACGAAATGTATTGTGTACAGTGGTTGCGGGATAGGTAGGTGTTATGCCTCTGGTCGCTGTACTGCTAGCGACTTCCTCCTCCAGTTCTTCGCGTGTGTCTTTAGGGTTATTTTCATACACATTTTGAATGGCTTTCTATTGTGTGCATAAAATTGAGTTCATGCGAGAATATAATACAAAGGGGCCATGGCACTTACTTCTAAATTCCAATCATGTTCAATAAGTTGTCCAAGTGCTTCGTCTAAATCTTTAGTTTGAGTAATGGACTACAAAGATAAGCTGGTTAATGTACTATATGCTTTTCAACGTTTGCTCTTATTTACTTGGTATTGAGACAAAACATCTCTCTTTTCTTCATCTAACGCAGATAAAGATACCATGGTTATTTACTACAAAAGAGAGGAGAAAGAAAAAAGAAAAAGATTGCCATAATGCCACGCACACATTTTAAACCTAAATTTCCGCTTTGGGATTTAGCGTCACCACATGCACTTACATTCCACCGTATCATAAATCTTAAAGTATTCATAAATAAGAGCACTATTGGTCATCAGTCGCATAGATTACTGTAGGTCTAGCTTATGATTACGTTTTAGCCCATTTACATTGCGGTTATAAAGTTAATGTGATCATCTCTTTTACCCCTTATATTTTTCGCAAATTAATGTTTACCATTTTAAGAATTTGGCGTGTTCCAAAAAGTGATTCAGAATTTGCGCTATGACATATCATAGATTGTACATAATCAAAGCAGTATGGTTTTAAAATGATATATAACCTTCCTCATTAGTTTATTGTGAACAATATTTTATATCGGTAATGGTATGTATACATGTATCCTCACATCCAAACTATCTCTCGTAATTGAATATAATTGTGTAAACCTTGCGGTTTACTCATGTCTGACATGAAATAATATGTCTTATTCTAGCTCTCGATTAATAGGACCACAGAGAGGTTATTGCTTCAACCAATCTATGGATCCTCAAAGAGCAAATAAGCCATCCCAAACACAATTATAGTCCACGTACAATCCTATTCACTGCTATTGCTTCATAACGTATTCTTTTTATATATATATTGAAAAACACACACACACACACACGCACACAGGTTGCTAGTTGGGTTGTGTATTGCTACCTGTTGCTATCTAAACGTCTAGTTTCTTGAAGGAGGGGAGACCTATTAAAAAAGAGAATTAGTTCTATCACACCAATATTTGTGCTAGTTATTACCAAGATTACACCATCACCACGAACAAACAACATTTCAAAAGATCTCTTGACAGTCTAATTCAAGATAAGAAAAAGTTAATTGCGATATCAATGGCTACAAAAATTGATCACATACCCTAATAACCTCTTCCAGGGTCTCTTCGTTGACATCGACAATAGTGATGGTTTCTTCGACTTCACCTAAAACCATATTCAAATGGCCGTCATAAGCCTAAAAGAAAACAAAGCAGTGAGTAATCGACAATCAACAAAAAGTGAGGACAGCTTGCACTTACGTGTAAAACACCGCGTAATTCACGATCACCTCTTAATTTAACATAGATACGTTCATCCAAAGAAAGTCTAACTAAATCAAGGGGTTCTTCAACAGCGCCAATATCGGCAAGAGGTGCACTCACTTCGGTCATGTTGTAATAGTTTGTGAAAAGAGAAAAAAAGAGTCTTTAACAAAACTTGGCCCCGAAAATTTTGTTAAATAGAAACGTGATTGGACCAATAAAACTCTGCAGTTGAAATCTAACACTACTAGGTCAACTACTATGTGTTAAGTGAATTATGTAATTATTATATTTGTCTATATTCCGAATTCCCTCACAAAGTTCTTTTTTCTAACATTTTAAAAAACAACAGAGTTTCATTTAGACCCCATAGCTGTACCTGGGCAAGTACGCAATCCACAGCTTTTACATGCTACTCCCCATGCTTTGTTTGATATAATTGGAGGAGTAACCAGACTATGTGAATCATACAAATCGTATGGCAGAGAAGCGAAAGGTTCTCAGAATGTTGAGCCGTATGGGCAAGTTAATCTGCTAATAGGTATTCTAAAATTAAAAGTAATGTTCTGTGTTTGGTGGGGGGAAGTGACAGGCGAGGTGCTGCTATAGGCAAGAGCTGCTGCAAAATCCCATGTAAATGGTGCGTGCAAGCATGACTTTAGTAGAAGTAAAATCCGAGCCAGGTGCTCTAATAACTACGTTCAAGTCGTTGCTGACAAGTGGAGAAGCCTGGAGCTGTTGTGCCACACTTGTAATGCGTTCAAGGAGCGCATTTGCCCAAGTTGAAGGTTACCGTTCTTCATCCATGTAAATAAGTATGCCACGGGGGTGTAAAGCCTAAGATAGTGGTATAAGAATCGAATGACAAGAAGATAAAGATTAAAAAAAGAATATATTTATTTATTAAGTTACTGAAGTACAAGTTTCGTAAAAATTAGGACGTAGTGGCCATCTGTGGTATTTAGCCATATTTACCTTGGTCGAATTAGATTACATGATCATTTTCCACAATGATTGTCATTATTGTGACTATCAATAACCTCATATAAAAGCAGAAATTAACTATTCAATTGGACGCATCTTCCTTGTTCTTTATGATTTATAAAAAAACAATAAAATTATTAAAAGTTTCATTTTATTCTCTTGTCCCATTTTTATGACACCGTGGTGGTATTCTTCAGGTCAACTTTAATAGCTTTACCAAATAACGGCCTTTTGATTTTTATAGCTAGTGACATACGATTATTTTGGATTCTGACTTCATTAAGTATTTCATCTTTCAACTTGGACAGTTCATTCTATCTTTAAAATAAAACTATGAGATAATTTTCAGTTTGAAGTTTCATACAAATCTATTTTTGGTTTTTTACCTCCAAATATACCATCAAACTTATTCCGTGTTACAATAATAACGTATTGTCTCGATCTCTAATAGTACGACATTTTCCAGCAATTTTATATCTATACTCCCCACCATACTCTAGCTCTATTTTTAACTGTGTGAGGTTGTAACATACCACATGGCTATTATCCAACAAAAAATGCTGGCGTGTGTGCTGTTTAAACGAAACTTTCTCCTAAAAACCTAAAGCTCTATATACCATTTTGAGCTCTCTCAAAGTGAATTTAAACACAGATCTACATACTTCGTTGCTCAACGCATAATTCGTTTTGTTATACTCCAAACGAGCTAATAATTCGTCCTCTTCGTTGAGTCTTTCTTCAAGTGTATTAATATAGTCCTCGTAGGTGTGTATGGTAGCGTATAAGTAAGGGATTTGGGACATTTTATATTAAGAAGTGTTTAATAAAAGAGAAAAAGACAAATAAAATAAGCAATATTGTCTAACACCAAGGCTATATTTTTTCGCCTGATCCGTCCATTTAGACGGATTTTTACCCATTTACTAAAAAAAAACGGACGGATTTATAGTAAGTGTCTACCCATTTACCCCCAAAAAAAAAAAGACGGATTAAATGCATAATTAAGGTGGTGTATATTTTAGAATTAGCTTTCCCTTTCAGCCTTCTGCCAAATAAAAAACTTTTTGTTTATACATATTAAATCATCAAATACGTTCATTCGTTTGAAAAAATTGGATTGCAGTTTTAAAAGTTGATTATTTATTTTATAAAAAGAATGAAAGTAAGATTTTTTATATCTTGATACTTGAGGACAAATTACTATGTAGAAGGATTACTACTCAAATGAGCTAGAAAGTAAACGTTACATTGTTTCCAGAAACAAGAGCGAATAAAAGTTATTTTCGTTTTTAAAACAAAAACTAATTTATTGATGTAAAAAGATAAAAGATAAAAGATATAAAAAAAAAAGAAAACAAAAAGAAAGAAGAAAAAAGGAAAAAGCAAAAAGAAAAGACTTCGTTTATATGTACTTTTTAGGGGTTGGTGTTGTGGAAAAACGGTTTGTTTGACACGGAAAAATAAAAGATAAAAAAACAGGAAGAATAAGATTAATATTGCTTGTAGGCTTTTTTATTCTTATTAAAAGTGAATCCCTTTTCCGGGCTAGTTTGTGTTCACTTGGTATTATTGGCTGTATTGGATGACTTCCAAAACGCAAAACAGAAATTAAATTAACTTGAAATTAACTACGGAAATTCTATTTTCCGAGGTTAATTTCGCATGCCTTCCAAAACGCACAAAAATTAAGATTAATTTTTTTATTTTTATTTTAATTCAAATAATTCATGATTTCTTGCTCCCTTTGCTTCCAATTAGCGTAGTAAACCGTTCTAATTTGGTTTACACCAACGGTTCTTACACGGAAGTTGTGTAACCTCCATACAAGGGTCAAAATATCTCTACTACGCTGTTCTTTATCAGAAGGAAGTTTTGCATGCAGCCCTCCAAATAACCCTTGTATGGCTCTTATTCCCCATTCTACTGCCTGCCAATGCTTCGTAATTACGGCATGCTTTTCCTGAGTTGCTATATCACCTCTATCTGTCGTATTTACTCCTATTAAACCGAATATAATTACAATTCAATTTGTCTGATTGTTATAATATATCATATGTTATAGCAACGACTCTAGTGAATGTGATTCCTAGTGTCTAAAGACACAATACCAGTACAAAATAACTGTAAGAGTTGTGTTACTCGAATAGAATATATATCATATAGGATTGTGGAAATCGGTGTAGATTTATAAAATAAAAACAAGAAAATTATCAAACTTGCAAAAATTAACTAAGGCTTTATTAAACAAATAAAAGGGGGTCTTTATATACACATTATTTCAGACATTGATCACAGATGGGCTTATGACGGTCGTGGGTAGATTCATCCAGATAATACTCGGATGTAATGATCCCATATAGAAAGGCCATAATGAGATGTCAATAACAATAACAATAACATTCATTCTTAAACTGTGTATGTCTTGTAGCACAATATTCAGGGGAAAATGTAGTTCTTAATTCAGATGGCTGTGGCACCTCAATGTGGCTGATGTAGCCTTCATATGTTTTTATATCAATGTTATTATTTAAATGTATGTCTTATACTTGTATGAAGGATGATATGAGATCAAGCCTGTACGTAAAGTAAATGATCAGTATTTAATATAACAGTATCGATAAGAATTATATTTAGGATTATCAAATGGAAGATTTAAGAAGTGTAGATAGAGTCATATATTAAGTATATAGCCTCGATCACGACAAGGATCACACAATAAATAAAACTCAGTTTATTATCTACCTCTTTCTGTTACCTCTCACAATAACGTCACTCTATGATTATTGTGATAATTTGAGTATAAAAGGGTAGAAATAAAAGATAAAAATAAACAAGTAAAGAAATGAGACTCTTTAATCCTTTATTATAAGTTGGAGAGTTTGTCATGATAAAAATAGAGGTCCTTTTATATTAAATTATTACTTCAATTAATTTCTGCGTAGATCGAATAAATATTTCCAGAGACTGGGAATTGTTGGATTTGAAATATAAATCAGTAACAGCATGAAACATAGCTTATAAAATATAGTTATGTAAGCCTATGGTTGTATGTCCGGAATTTCCAGCAGAGAAATTATTTATCTATTTAGCAATATGTGCGATGATTGGATTACTTGATTACTCATCGTAGGTGCTAGAAGGAACCGCAGTAAATCAGCCAACCGGGGTCCAATGTAGGGTATGATTTCCAGTTAGAAGATTATGAGAACTGGTACTGTGTCTGTTATAATATATGAAGTATATTATAGCTCAAGACAGATTAAATAGTAATTGTATTCGATTTATTTAGGCGTCAAATACGACAATTATAATCTAAACTTAATCCAAGTTGTTGTGTAACTGTGGAATCTTACTATACATATACTTTGATCGGGAACTCTAATCCTTAACTCTTGTTAAGGAACCATGAGCCGCTACATTTATATAAAGGTTCCAGACATAATATGGAGAACCTACGTTAGAGAAGTTATACGCTCCATCTTACGTTGTCATTGATTTGTATCTCAAGTTAAGGTATCACTATCTCGTGTAAAAACTTAATTAGAACTAAGCAGAGAATTTACCTGAAGTTATAATTCGTATATAAAAGGACCTCTAATTTTATTTATGACAAACTCTCCAACTTATAACAAAGGGATACAGAGTCTCATTTCTTATTCCGTCTAAAAACTCTATACACATATACTTTTATATACGCAATTATCACACTAGATATCTACACCAATTCCATTTTCGTTTGGCACACTCAAAATCTTGTACGCAAATTCTCGCCTACAAAGAAAGGCTGAATCTGCAAGGAGCTTGAATAGTTCTTTGCATCGATGAGTCAGCAGCATTATGTAAAGTGGTACGGATATTTCTGCATCATGCCATGATCTAGGACAGTTATATCTATACAAGGAAGGGTCCATTCTGTCGTATTTCCTTCAATAAAGATCGTATAGAATGACCTTCAATATGGTTAAATTATAATATTCGAGTGGTACTCTCATATTACCAGAATAATCTTGTTACAGATTATATATTGGGAATTATATTATTATTGGTTGTTATGACTCTCTTTAATCTGTTACTGAAGTATCAGCAAATGAGAAATTTTCACTTAATAATTCGGGCCAATCAATATGATAAAATATTGATTGACTTGAGACCATATAATTCTAATTGCCATGTTTCAGAAGATAGAAACAAGCCACTACCTATTTTTTACCAGATTCAATCTCCCAGATGTTTTGATATAAAAAGCGTCCTCCCTTTTGCGATGACCTTCTCTCCATAACTTTAATAAAGGATTAACATAGACTCATTTCTTTAATTCTTTTTCTTCTGTTTTTCATCTAATTTTATTATCTCAAAACATCACACATTCAGTTTTTGTTTGATTAAAGGCACGATATATATAAGTATATCTTATCTCACATAACAGATGCATCCATCCGGCGTATAAACTAAGACCTGTGAGGCGTAGCAGACTCCTTTCCATCCATTGTAATAAGCATTCTGCTCCAAAGGGTCAGCAGGATGCTGTATTTTCAGGTTAAGTCCGTCAACAAAACAAAAGACCCCTCTTAATACTTCTTTTTCAAAGTCGTTGGTTATGTTTGCATACACCATTTCATTGAAGACTTTCATTTCATCCTCAGTAGGCCAAGAGATTTTCCAACGGGGGTCTTCTTTGTTTTTATTGAATACTTTTAAAAGAGTTTGAATACCCTTATCCTTGCCCAAGGATTTTTAAGGATGCATCCTAAATTTCAAAGACAGTCAGCTTAAAGAAAAAAACACCTCACCCTTCCAGTGCAAAATAAAAAAAATCATTTTGACCTCCGAGCCCACCAAAATTTGACCCTCATATTTTTTTTTACAGCCAAAACCACTAAAACCACAAGAAAACCACAAAAAAATTGGTAAACCACAAAAAAAAATTTTAAAAAAAAAATCTTAATTGCGAGTGACTTTTGATTTTGGTTTCGCCACTGTTTCTCTTTAATTAATTAACAAGTACTATTCCGACAAATCGGCCACAAATGGCCGATTATATAAAAAATATTTTCAGTTATAAAAAACCTTTTTTGATACCTGTAATTCAAGTCTAGTACTATTTAATATATTCCCTATGATACTACCAGTTCTTGTATAGAAATAATCACATTTACCTTACAAACATCTTCGTCTAAAGTGAGTCGGTTTTTGAAAAAAAAAATCGGCCACAAATGGCCGATTATCAATAGTGAAATAGAGGCCCATACATAAGTCATAGCAATCCAAATAAATATTGGAATCAGAGAGCGAATATCTTTGTAAATAATTAGAAGTTTTTTATTTTATATGTTTCTTCGGCAAAGTGGCGCAAATGGCACGTTTTACACATAGGTGTGATGTCACAAATGCATCTTTTGAGACCCGAACAGGAGGTTTCACACCACTTCGCTGGCAGCTTCGACAGATCAATCGTTTAGGAACACCAGTTCGACTGATTGGGATATACTGGTGTGCCCTTTCAATGTTTCTTTTATTTCTTGTTACAATAGCAGCACCATATTGTTCGCCAGAGAGGAGCTCAGCATCCTTCACCTTATGTAGTAGCGACATAGCCAACCTGCTTTTGAACTCGGCATGAAGAATTCCTTCACCATCATTTCCCCAAATTTTATAGCAACTAAAAGCATTGGCTTCAGCAATACCAAAAACAAAAGACAGAAAACGAACTTCCCAGCGATATGTCTTCATGACATCATGAAAAGATACCATATTGTCTCTGCGGTTGTTGTTTGTGTCAACACTGCCTAAATATGAGGAAAATTAAGCTCCATTAGTACCTTGTATTTTAAGTAGATATGTTAAAGCAACTTACTTTTCTGCAATTCGTAATCTTGAAAAACTTGAGGACGTCGAAAAACTGAACCGTTACTGTCTTGGTAGGACTGAGTAGAAGGAGTCGTTGTACTGCAAGAAGATATCAAAGCTTTAGCTTTTTTATCCCTATACGAACAGACAAAAATAGTACGACCAGAGTCATCCACCTTCGACATAGCAGCAGAGCTACCACGCTCAGGAGAAAGACATTGGATTATATCAGTACTAGGCATTCCTCGAGGCCAGTACGCCCTCTTGGTGACCTGCATGATAGAGAACAAGCCCTGGTCTAATAACTTTGTTGTCATCTCAGGGTACCCAAACCAAGAATCAGCAATGATGGTTCTACCACTAGTAAACCAAGGCTTACACAGACGCTTAACAGTTGCAACTAGATTTCTGTCCACATCATCAAATTCTTTAGGTACCTTATCACTGACAGTGTCAAGTTGTAGAATACAATAAGTATGATTATCAGCAAAAGTTTTGAACTCTTGACCAATGGGATGGGGCTTTCGAGGCACCTTCTTGAGATTAGGCATACCACTGCCGAGCCACTGGTTTATACTCTCATCTATACAGAGATATTTTCCAGGTACGAGGGCTTTTCACAATGTTTCGTTGAATGCCGCGAGGAATCCACGAATCTGGTACAAAGGATCTGCCATATTTCTTACGGGATCGTACAATTCAAAAACGTGCTACTTCAGAATCAAAAAGAATCTGTCATAATCCATGTAATCCGAAAAGTTTATCTTAGGATAGAAAAGAGGACTTGAGCCTTTATGCCAGTAGGCCTTCTTATCAGCATAAACCATTACAGTCATGGTCATAAGAAGAGCCATCCAAGTCATGTACTCCAAAAAGGTGACAGTATTCCAGTTAGCAACTACAAGCGCTGCTTGGGCATTAATATTTGGAATCATAACGTCCTGGATATGATCCATTGGTAAAAAGAAGAAAAAGTAATCGGCAGGCGTACAAGTAGATTTGTTCGGAAGGTTGAAAGAGGAGGTAATGGATAGATATGAGGGTGATATATTTCGTGTGTCAACAGTGACAGATCCCATTGTCCAGCCATTGTTGGAGGCATAGCTCGTTTCATCATTTATCTCGTCTTCAGATTCGGAGGCAGTACTCTGTTCTTCATCTTGAGCCATAACAGGAACACGAACTGGTGCAGGAGGTTGACGTGAACGGGCTGGGCCTTTAAACTTCAACTTCGTTCCCAAAAATAGGAATGTATGGTCACGAAGGTCATCTAATTGTACTTCACAGATGTCCTTACCAGCAGCGTTAATAGACATGGCAATGACTTTCCCTTCTAAAAAACCTCCAGGAGCAGTAAAGTCGTGTGTCTCCTTAAGAAGCTCAGGAACCCTCGAGTTTCTAAGGTGGAAATAGGTAATAGAGATGCGAGCATCCACGGTAATCTTAGTACTCATTTTAGGCATTTTAATTTTTTTTTTAGCAATGTGCTTTGTGAAATGACGAATTCAAGACGAATGTAAAAATAAAAACGGCCGAAAAAAAAATTCTGTATTAATCTTAAAGGTTTATTGAAGCGGTTTATTAGATTTTGGCCAATTAAAAATGAGCGGTTGTGGGGTGAATGGGATCAAATATAATCGGCCATTTGTGGCCGATTTAAATAGTACTTGTTAATAAATAAAATGTCTGATATCACCAAAACCTTCACAACGTATAGTTATAACCGTATTTTGTTGGAAGCAGAAAGACGCAAGAATTTTGATCTTGAAATGTTGATCGAGTGCAATGAATACGACAAAAACTTTACTTTGGACGACATCAAGGCAGCAGTAGGAAAGCATTATGCTCAACTCATTCCCGAGGTGGAAAAGCCTCGTGCCCTGAGCAAATACAATGTCTTTTGCCATTTACAAAAGACTGTGCCTCTTGAACCTAACCATGAGGGCACCGAGGCAGTAACTTTGACGTCTCAATATCTGTCTGAAAAGTATAGAAATCAGACAGAAGCCGAACTCGAGATACTGGAGGCTCATACCCAGGAGTTGGAGAAAGGAAAGGTCATGGGAACCTACGTCAAGTCAGGATTGGCGAAATCCAAGGTGGAATCAACCCTGGTGTCCTTTATGCGTGCGATGAATACTTTTAACAAGTTTGAATTCGCATGTATTTACGGTCAGGGTGAATCTTGGTACGACGTGTGTGCTGGAGGTAAGCATATATTATTCTTTTTTTGGGCCATTGTTAATATTTATTATGAAGAGAATGTCGAGAAATTGGACATAAAGAAATGGAAGAAGGAGGTTATGTCCTTTGCCTCTCCTCCTCCTCCCGTGAAAAAAGGTTCTTATATGATACTAGTGAAAGTGACGATAAACATATATTGTATGCTTACATATATTAAGCTACTCCTGTCTCTGTGGCTGCGCACGTCCAAACAGTTACTACGGCCAAGAATGCTCTCAAGAGCCTCATCAGTAACATTAAATCAGAAAAATTCAAACTGTTTGTCTAAATTTATTATGCAGATGACCAATGTAGAACCTCTTATGAAAACGTTCCCTGGAAGGAATTGGTCAGAGGTGAGGATCTTGATGAGCTTCTCCGCGTAGAGGCTTTGGGTGAAGCCATTGACACTAGCAGGCGTATAGTTGTTGATGGCTGGCCATTAATTGATTTCGAGCTGAGAAACTTCTTGTTGCGAGGAAATTTGACGCGGGTAGAACGTTCTTACAATCAGCTCAGATTTAGAATGATCAACCCGCTTGCTGAGCCAAGCAGCCCAGTTGTCGAACCAAGTGACATGGAAAATTCATAAAAAAAAAAGGGAAATACACTTTGTGCAAATGTTTTTATTATTTTTGTTAGTTGTTATGATATCAAATGTCGGATAGATGATGATCTATGTTACTTACAAACAATCACATTTAAAGTATTTTATCGTCTAAAATAATATTGCAACTTATTGTTCAATATCAATGAGTCAATGATTATAACTGCTGAGCTATGCATATAAGTATTGGCATAATGCTCATATGTTACTGATAATACGGTCAATGTTAACACTTCCCAAACATGTAATCACTAGTCATGCAGGCAATGCCTAAGCAGATTAACCCAGTATATAAAGGCAAAAACAAGAAATACATTGATACTCAAGACTGCTTTGAAGCGGTAGTAAACTCTGCCGTAAGTCGTAGGGTATTTTAGCACAAGTGGCAGTAAACATTGACATCAATTACGGTCCCCACATATATTTATACTTGATCATTGTTTTATGAAAAATGAGCCGCATTCTCTTTATTTACAGTATCATAAGCGAATGCTCGAAGTTCCTGCCAGGGCTAGTGTCATGAACCACGTACTTTGCACTTTGCCCCTGACCACGAATCCCCGACTATTGGAATGTTCTGGAATCTCATGCTGAGATTCAACAACCCCAGTGTCCAGAACCTTCCAGGACCTTCCAAGACTATCCACGCAACAAACCTCCGCTTCCAAGAGATTAGTAATCATGACTCGTTTCCAAGCATCTCCGACGCCAAGCAATTAGTAATCATGACTCATGGGTTTCGGCCACGTAAGCTGAAACCAACACTAAGACTAATTAAGTACGCCAAGACATTCTTAAATGCAAACCCATGTTATCTGAAAAGATATAAATACTCTCCCTTTCCATTGCCTTCCCCGTTCCACGTCGATTATCTTGTATCCTTCCCCTTCCCTGTATAATCTATTACTATTATTAAATACTTTATAAACCACTCTTCCTTTGTCTTTGTATAACTACACCAAGGCTATAATGTTTCGCCTGATTCGTCCAAATGGACGAATTTTTAGTAAGTGTTTACCCATTTACCCAAAAAAAACGGATTGGGTAAATTTACCCATTTACTCGTTTAGACGAATTTATAGTAAGCGTTTACCCATTTACCCAAAAAAAAAAAAAAAAAAAAAAAAAAAAACAAAAAAACCGGATTAAATGCATAATTAAGGGGGTGTATTGTCGTATTTGGGTATGATTTATTTGAGAATAAACAAATAAATCGAATAAAATAAAAACATGGAATAAAAACATCCTTTAATATTGAGTAACAGCATACACCTGTATACTGCTACACAACGACTCCTACTATGAGTACATATTTCTATATAAAAAGATTGCATGATTGGCTTAAAATCGATATACGAATGACAGTTGGATATAGAATTCTATACCACTGAGTTACGATATCACCGGTCGGGAAGAGAAGCTTCTCCGATCAAATCAAGAAATATAAGAAAGAGAAACTTAATATTAATAGTTCTCTCAATGGATTAGCTACCCATAGAGAGAATAGAACAGCTATTTATATAAATGGTTCATTTACTTATATATTGATAAACACAACTTATACGACTGTAAGTGTATAAGAGAAGTAGTGCATGGAATATTTGGATGCCTATTTTCTACAACTAAATATACAAACATCGATAAGATGTTCTATATTTAGGATCACATATTTACCCATGTCTTAGATAAAAATAATCAACAGAATGGATAAATGATCAGACATATCTACATGTTCTACCACAGCCAATTAAACACAAAAACCTTATGCATCTTTTAACTAGCCACCGTTACACAATATCTTACTGGAATTCTGTATTTTAAACAGAACAATAAGAGTGTCCCAGATCGGTTGATTCAGGGCGACGTTATTTGAAATCAATTCTAACGAGTAGAATTCATTTAATGTAAGGCGGGAAACTGAGTATAGATTTATTACAAGACCAGAAAGGTTGACTCAACACAACTACCAGGGGAAGTTGTTCAATATAAAAAGGATCAATTATTTCATCGCAGCAGAGTTCTTTTAGTCTATTTTTACCTCGAATAAAGATATACTTTTTTCTCATTACTTTTTCTTTGTAATATTTTTGTCAAATACCACATGTATATTTTAAAATCAGCTCTCCCTTTCAGCCTTCAACCAAATAAAAAACTTTCGTTTATACATATTGAATCATTTAATACATTCATTCGTTTGAAAAAATTGGTTTGCAGTTTTAAAAGTTGATTATATATTTTATTTAAAAGAATGAAAGTAAGATTTATTTATATTTTGATACTTGAGGACAAATTGCTATGTAGAAGGATTACTATTTAAATGAGCTAAAAAGTAAACGGTACATGACATAACATGAAGGCATTGATTATTATGTATAGGAGGCAACGTATAATCTAAAAACAAGGGGGATAACCAAAGTTTTCTAAATGAGTATTAGGTTAGTTTTTGTCATGAACTCATTTCATCATGTCCTAGATCATGCCTTGATTTTAAACCCTTGTGAAACCTTGTCCTAAAATCTAATATCAGTATACCTTGTCCGCTACCAAACTCCCTGTAAAACCTTGTACCCAAAATAATATCAGTATACCTTGTCCGCTACCAAACTCCCTGTAAAACCTTGTACCCAAAATCATATCTGTATATCTTGCCCGCTTCCTGAATTCCTTGTAAAACCTACCACCAATCTGTATTCCAATATATTTCCCGCCTCTTGTCTGACTCAACCTTAGTAAACCTTTTTCCGATCATCTATTACTTCATATCCCAATCCAGTTTTCCCGCCCGTGTCAAATCAGAGATATTCCCCGAACCATCTAATTATTCAATGTCAACTAAATCCAGCCTGCTATTACTCGTCGAATCTCAATTACTCATCCTTGTCAAATAATCTGTTCATGATATCTGTTCCGTAAAGTCCCTTGTTAATCTATAATTTAAACCCATCGTAGCTTTTCCCATGTATAAGAAATAGTATAAATAGATGCTAGTTATTTATTAGAAAAACGTTATTCTGGATCTTAGTCCTAACCCCTCCCCCTTCTCTGAAATAAACTTCTTTATTATCATTTTTACTCTGACTCTCGTGTCACCAAGTAGTCTTCTTTCTGTTCTTGTTCTGTTTCTGACAGTTTTGATAAGAAGACTCAAAATTGATACGTACTAATTCCCTTTCTAAACAGAGTAGCCGCCACTACGGTAAAAACAAGAAGCTTAAGTCTGAAGAGATAATTAGAGAAAAGAAAAGCCATAAACGAAAAACACTTACTTATAGCACTGGGGTAGTACACTGTAAGCACGGCCTTTATACACCTGTCTATGCTGATTTAAAAGAGAGATAAGTAAGGGGAGGGACTTCAGAGATGGAATGATGAGTTTACCAGAGTGTAATTGCAAAAGAAGTAAGCCCAGACGTTTATTCAGTTACATGGTTACGAGAAACAAGAATGAATAAAAGTAATTTTTTTTTAAAAAAAACTGATTTATTGAGGTAAAAAGATAAAAAATAGATATTAAAAAAGAAAAAAGGAAAAGGAAAAAAAAAAGACTCCGTTTATATGTACTTTTTAGAGGTTGGTGTTACGACGGAGGGATGACTGGAGGCAGATAAATTTCTTTGTATACGCGGCTTTTTGACAACAGGACACTAAGACAGATACTCGTCTGCTTCAGGTAAATGGAATGAATGAGTAATTTTAAGGTTTGGATCTCAATTTTTATTTACCCAATCTGGGTAAGTATCCGCCCATAGACGAATGCTCGTTTGCTGCAGGAAAGTGGAACGGATTAAAAAGCTTAAATTTTTGTGCAAACTATATATTCTACTCAAAATGAACGAACAGTTACCCCTGGACGAATATTTACCCTTTTTGAGTAAATGAAGTAATTTTATTTTTGTGTACCATTGTTTATTTACCCAAAATGAACGGATACTCGCTCACGGACGACTATCCGCTCAGATTTGAACGGATGCTTACCCCCAGACGACTATTCGCCCATTCGTCCGCATTTACTCTGTTTAAGTAAGTTTTTTTAGCCTAGATGCTAGTAGGTATCTTTTGATATTATTGCTATAATATATTCCTAGCCACGTTCCTGACATCATAATCGACCAAAAACTTTGATACTCTAGTTTTTTTCAAGAATTCAAACCCAATTTCAAACTCCTATTCAAATCTGTCAAAACTCTCAAAATCAAGAAAACATATTTGCCAAGTTTCACTTCTACCACTCACATTATTCGCCAAGTTTCACATTACTCATTCTGTGGTATTTGACAAAATATTACATAGAAAAGTAATGAGATAAAAGTATATTTTTATTAGGGGTAAAAATAGACTAAAAGAACTCTGCTGCTATGAAATAATTGATCCTTTTTATATTGCACAACTCTCCTGAGTTTTAATGATGAGTCAACCTTTCTGGTTTTGGAATAGATCTATACTTTGTTTCCCGCCTTGGATTAAACGGATACTACTCGTTAGAATTGTTTCCAGATAACGTTGTCCCATATCAGTGGATCGGGAGCATGAGTATGCTAATAAATCTTTAGTATTACGAGACACTTATTTATCAGATCATGCAACGGTTACTGTAAAAGATGCATACTTGTTTGTCAAGTGTAATTGGCAATAGAACATAATAGTTGATCATTTATTCATTATCTTTGTAATGAATAAATTACGATCCCAAATATAAAATGTCTTATCGATATTTGTATATTTGGTTGTAGAAGCTAGGTATCCATTAATTCATACACTATTTCTTTATACTCTTTATCAGCAGTATAATTATATCAATATATAAGTAAATGAACCATTTATATTAATAGCTGTTCTATTCTCTCTCTGGGTAGCTAATCCATTGAGAGAACTATTAATATTAAGTTTCTCTTTCTTATAATTCTTGATTGATCTGAGAGGTTTCTCTTCTCGATCGGTGATATCGTAACTCAGTGGTATAGCATTCTGTATCCAACTGTCATTCGTATATCGTATTTAGGCCAATCATGCAATCTTTTATATAGAAGTATGTACTCGAAGTAGGAGAAGTTGTATAGCAGTATACAAGCGTATGCTGATATGCAACATCAAAGGTTGTTTTAATTTCATAGTTTATTTATTTAAACGATTTGCTTAATTATTCTTTAAGTGGATCGTACCCAAATACGACACATTCCAACAATTACTGTCGAAATCAAAATGTCACTCTCTGAAGACCAACTCCACACGCTCAATCTCATGGTCAACCAGGTTAACAACCTTCAAGACACGCTCCCTGGCCAACTCGAGGCCATTAACAACGCCATGCACGAAATCCAAAGTCGTATGACCCAGCTAGAAACCCAACAGCACGACTTGCTCAACCAAGTACACACCATTAACCAGAGCAACAAGACCGCACCCATCAGTATCAAGATTCGTTTACCCTCGCCCTTCTCTGGTCAATCGGCCTCGTGTAATACATTCTTCACACAGCTCTCACTATACTTCGCTGGTAACCCTGGTTACGACAACGATGCCAAGAAAATCTTACTTGCCACCTCTTGCCTGACTGGTCCCGCCTATGCATACATCGAGCCATACTTAAGAAAACTAGACGCTCTTCCCCACAACAAACCTGATGTTCTCACCTCGTACCAAGTATTCGTTGACACGATTACCGCTGCATTCGGCGATTCCGATCCCACCATGAGCGCCGAACTCGCACTTCGTCGTTTGAGACAAACAAACTCTGCCACCGCCTATGCCACCGAAATCCGTCGTTTGTCCTCCCTTGTCCTGTGGAACGATGCCGCTCTGGTGTCACAATACAAGGTCAATCTACGTGACGTCATCCAGGATGAACTTGATCGTCGCCCCAGCATCAACAATCTGGAAGCCTTAATGACCGCCTCCATCGACATTGACAACCGCTTGTTCCAGCGTCAACGAACAAGAAGGCTTGTACAAAGCCCTATGGGACAGACTTCTCAAGTTGTCACGAACGCTGCTGCTCCTATGGATGTTGATTGCCCCGCTGCTATTAACCCCTCTACCCAACGCCAAGTACCCCAGGACGAACGAGCTCGCCGCAATCAAGAGAAGGCCTGTTACTATTGTGGAGTATCAGGTCACTTCAGCAACCAATGCCCCGCCAAGAGACCCAGTTCAGGCCGCCAAACCATTTCAACAATCCTCGTAGGAGATAGTGTAAATCCCAACCCCAACATGATCAATGCCTTGTACGCCCAACCCAGGTCCGAAGTAGTACCCAGTAGTCCCATTGTCGTTAGGGATGACCTCCACTGTGTTCATATCCGTTACGATCACCACCAAGCCCAGATGCTTCATTTTCCTGTCAGTATTGGTAACACCAACCCAAAGGAGCACTGCATGGTAATGGCCCTTATCGATACTGGCGCTGCCGTATCCGTCATCTCCAAGGAGCTGGTTGACTACCTCCATCTGCTCATTACACCTAGCAACAACAATAGTCTTCACTTGCAAACCGCCGATGGTTCCCTTGCCCGTTCTAGTGGTTCTTGTATCACTCAAATGCGTCTCGGTGATACGATCCATCACAAAGAAGAGATCAACTTGCGTATTTTGGATGACCTAAATTGCCCACTCATTCTTGGTGTTGATTGGTTGAGAAAGCACCACGTATTATTAGACTTCACTACTGACACCACCTTACTCCATTGTGACACAACCATCTGCTGCGCCCCAACTGAGCCCACTCCCGTAATCTCGAACCCTTCTACACCTATCTACCCCCCCTCCAAAGTAGATGATAAATTTATTGTAGATAATAAAAAGTCTTGTCGTTACGCTTACTCTCTCTGACTATCTAATATAAGAATTAAGTCTAATCTTCCAATCATCGCCAGCCTAACACCCTTCACGCCAATTATGGAACTTCCAGTAGAATACCATGACTATGCCAAGGTCTTCTCGAAAACAGAAGCTGCCAAGCTCCCTCCTCATCGCACGTATGATCACAATATTCCACTGAAAGAAGGTTCTGATATCCCTTACGGTCCCATGTACTCTATGTCAAAATTAGAGTTAGAAACACTCCACGAATACATTCAAGAAAACTTAGCTAAGGGTTTTATTCGACGGTCCGAATCACCAGCAGGTGCACCAGTTCTATTCGTAAAGAAAAAAGACGGCTCCCTCCGGTTATGTGTAGACTAGAGTGCATCTGCTTTTCAGTAGTTCCTAACGTGTTTTGTGACATTTTTGAGCATTCATCTCCGACTAGTACAAGTAATATAAAAGGAAATTTATTCATAGCCAGATTTTTTTTATGTGGGGGGGGATTTTTTTTTTTTTTTTGAAGAAAATTTTTCAGTGGAAGTAATATTGGGCCACCGGCTGCGATTTCATAGGCCGGCTCTAAACAGCTTCAGATCAATATTTCAAGCCTTTCAATACATAAATTATTTTTAAAAAGGGTCACGCATCTTAAGAGTATACTTTAATATATATATTCTAAATTACAAGTAATTCCACCTACTACAGTAGTCGCTCGATTTAAGGGTGTTCGATTTAAGGGTATTTTCTATTTAAGGGTGGATTTTGGAAAAACAGCTTCCGTCCCCAGCATTAACACCACTAAACCACTATTCTATTTAAGGGTGAGATTCCAATTCCCCATACCCTTAAATCGAACGATTTGACGGTGTATTTTTGACTTTTTTCTAACTTTTTGATCAAATTTATTGAATGTCCGAATAAAAATAAATATTTCGCAGTAATGATCATATTTCACGGTTAAAAATGGCGTAGTGACTTCTGTTTAAAATAGTCACGCTTTTCGATTTAAGGGTATTTTCTATTTAAGGGTGAGATTTCCGAAATTTTTGGTCACCCTTAAATCGAGCGACTACTGTACATAAAAAAGGTTTAAACTTTTTTATCTTCTTTTCAGTGTAAGTAATATTGAGCCTCCGGCTGGGATTTCATAGGCCGGCTTTGAGCAACTTCAGATCAATATTTCAAGCCTTTCAATAAATATATTAATTTTAAAAAGGGTCACGTATCTTAAGAATAAAGTTTATAATATGTATTCTAAATTACAAGTTGTTCTACTTAGTACATAAAAAATGTTTAAACTTTCTTACCCTTTTTCAGGGTTGGTGATATTGAGCCTCCGGCTGTGATTTCATAGGCCGTCTCTAAAACAACTTCAGATCAATATTTCAAGCCTTTCAATTGATAAATTAATTTTAAAAAGGGTCACGCATCTTAAGAATATACTTTATAATATATATTCAAAATTACAAGTGGTTCTACTTAGTACATAAAAAAGGTTTAAACTTTTTTATCCTTTTTCAGGGTTTGTGATATTAAGCCTCCGGCTGCGATTTCATAGGCTGTCTCTAAACAACTTCAAATCAATATTTCCAACCTTTCAATAGATAAATTATTTTTAAAAAGGGTCACGCATCTTAAGAATATTTGTTTTAATGTATATTTTAAAATTCAAGTAGTTCTACTAAGTACACAAAAAAGGTTGAAGTTATTTCAAGCCATTGCTAACGATTATATAGTCTGTGCGCGGTTTTTTAAATCGTGAGCACAAACAGTGGGTTATTTCAAAATCCGACCACGGCTAATGATATTAGCGGCAGGTTATTATTGGCTCTAAAACCTTTTTGTACAGGTTGTGACATTTTTTCCCCGCCCCACCTAAAAAAAAAATGTTGAATCCAGAATCTGTTATGTTTTTTAATTTAACGAGGCTTTTTCAAACCAAACCTCCGTTTCGGTAAAAATTTGACCTTCGCTGCGCTGCGGTAAATTTTTGACCTGCACTATGGTTCGGTACGCTGCGCTTTGAAAAAGCCTCGTGCTGCCGCAGGCCTGTTTTTGAAATAACAAACTTAACATATATTAATTAACCATGAAGCCCATGCACCATTATAACTTAAGCTACACTGCCTATTATTAGTTTGATACTGGAGAAAACTTTGATGTTTCTCAATATATGTATAAATATCTGGAAAAAGACGATATCCCTAGACCCAGGCAGGAAAGTTGATCTACGCAAAAAGTATTAATTGTTTATTTATCTGATTAGCTATTCTATGCGCAGTGTTTTTGCTTCATAATGAAAGACTTGATAATCCAAAATATTAATTTCAAAGGCGACCCCTTCATCGACCTAAAACAATTAATTTTCCAGTTGTTCTCGAATAATGACATATTGTTTGTGAAAAAGTGTTCATATACTGTTTCTCTAAACTCGATAATATAATACTTAATACTATTGGTTGTTATACTGGGCCGGAGGGTAACCTCCACCCCGAAAACCCCATAGTAACAATTTTATTTGCAATGATTTTTTCCGTAAAAGTCACTTTTTATATTATGAATTTCTCCAAACAATCAGTTTTTATATATGATCTTTTTTTTTAGTCTAATGATTAATATTATGGGTCGTATTCTTGGGAGGAGTGGTTTTCCCATCCTCTAATTTTGTATCTCGGCTCAGAAATATTACGCCATAAAAAAAATGATGCTTTAAAAACACAGCGCTGTAAAAAAAAAAGGAATATTGTTTTTCAGAAGGTAACAATTTAATGCTAAATAATATGGGCCGTATTCTTGGGGGGAGGGGGAACCCCTCCCCCCAAACCCCCCACCCCTCTTGCGGGGGAAACCCCCGCACCCCCTCAAAAAATTCGTAACTTTGTGACTGTTTTTTACAATTCCTAATTCCTATTATTTTTATATATTAATATATGTAGATTCTCATTCTAATCAACATAAAAAACAATCCTAACCTTTCAGATGGGATATTAATTATAAAGAAAATGTGTTTTACCCATCTAAAAATTTGTCTCTGCTTAAATTTTTTTTAGGTACCACCTAAAAGCAGATGCACTCTATCGACGCCTCAACAAAATAACCATTGCTTCGCCAGCCGTACTCCCATTGATCTCAGAAACTCTCGAACGTTTGAACCAAGCCAAGATATTTACCAAGCTTGACATGGTAGGTGCGTATAATCTCGTTCGTGTCACCCCAGGTGATGAATGGAAAACTGCTTTCATCTGCCGCTATGGCCACTTCGAATATACGGTCATGAGTTTCGGTCTATGTTCCGCCCCTGCTACGTTCCAAGCCTTTGTCAACGATGTTCTCAGAGAATACTTGGACCAGTTTCTGGTTGTATACCTCGATGACATCCTCATGTTCAGCGATAACCAAGAAGACCACGACAACCACGTTCGCCTCGTAATACAGAAACTCCAAGATGCTACACTTTCCCTCAAGTTAGAAAAATGTGAATTTAATGTATCCACCGTCAACTTCCTAGGCTTCGTCATCAGCACTAACAGAATATCCATGGACCAAGAGAAAATTATGGCTGTATCCGAATGGAAACCATGTCGCAATGTTCACGATATTCAAGTATTTCTAGGGTTAACCAACTTCTACCGTCGTTTCATTAAGGACTATTCCAAGATGTGTACACCTCTTACATCACTCCTCAAGAAAGACGTCAAGTTGGAATGGTCCCCCCAAGCAAGTCATGCCTTCGAGACACTCAAGTCAGCTATTGTATCTGATCCTATTCTTCGTCACTATGACGCGGACCTGCCATGCCTACTTGAAACTGATGCGTCAGATTATGCTTTAGGTGCTGTCTGTAGCCAGACCGACAAAGACGGTAACACACATCCCATCGCCTACTATTCCAGGAAACTCTTACCAGCCGAGCAAAATTATCAAGTCTATGATAAGGAGCTCCTCGCCATCATTGCCGCCTT